TTTCCAATTCTCCTCTGTACTTTCTATATTCTTTTTGATTATCTTCTGTATTTTGGACCTGACATTTCTCATAAGCCTCCTTTTTCTGTTTTATTTTAATCCCAATTTCCTTAGTCATCCAGGGAGGTTTGGAAGCCCTCCCTTTCCCTTTGTGGGAATGTATTTGTTCTGTCTCTGAACTATCTCCTCCTTGAAGGCTCATTGCTCATTAACTGTTTTACCTGCCAGTCTTTCTTTCCAGTCCACTTTCGCTAGATCCCTTTTTATCTCATTGAAATTAGCCCTCTTCCAGTTGAGTATCTTCACCTTTAATTGCTCCTTGGCCTTTCCATAAGTACTCTAAACCTAATGATATTGTGATCACTGTTATCCAGATGCTCTCCTACTGAAACATGCTCCACTTGTCCCACTTCATTCCCCAGAACTAGATCCAGCACTGCTTCCTTCCTTATTGGGCTGGAAACATACTGATCCAGAAAGTTATCCTGCGCAAATTTCAGGATTCCTTCCCCTCCTTGCCCTTTACACTGTTATTTTGCCAGTCTATGTTAGGATAATTGAAGTCACGCATTATCACTACTCTATTGGTTTTGCATCTTTCTGAAATCTGCTTGCAGATTTGGGATCCTGTAGCTCAGTGGTTAGAGTGCTCGCTTTGCAAGCGAGAGATCTGGGTTCAATTCCCGGCAGGGTGAAACCTTGGGCAAGTTTCCTTACTCCACACGCCTGATAATTTCACCCACAAATATACAGTCAATTCACTTTACAGTCTATCCTGTAAAGCGATTTGAGACATCTAGAAGACATGAAAAGCGCTATATCAAATGTAAGGATTATTATTATTATTATTATTATTATTTGCTCATCTATCTCTTTCCCACTATTTGGTGGTCTACTCTGTAGGATCTCAGCCCTTTTCTTGACATGGACCATGACTTCTGGATGTTCCCCTTCCTTCTGTAGAACGTTTTGCACCCATTCCATTATGTCTTCTACCCTGGCACCAGGGAGGCAACATACTACTCTTTACACTATTGTGTCCTCAATGGCAATTGCATTGATACTCTAACCTGTTCATCCCTGTTCACCCATTTGCTTTTGACTCCCATCCCCAGAGATGTCATCACCCTGACCAGTATTCAGTACAGAGAACCGGTTTGTGAGTGCCACACTGTCAGGGGATTTCTGCACTGCCCGTCCCCTCTTCCTACCAGGCTGAGTGGTCACCCACTCACTCTCCTTCTTAACCCTCTGTGGCTGTGGGGTGCCCACCTCCTGAAATGTTCGATCATGGACTCTTCAGCCTCCTGTATGCTATGTAGTGACACCAACCTCTCCTCGAGCTCAGAAACTCTGAGCTCAAGCTCAAGCAGCTGGAGGCACTTCCTACACACGTGTCTGTCCAGGGCACCCAAAGCATCCTGGAGTTCCCACATGGTACACATTGTGCATACAACTGGTCTCAGCTGCCCTGCCATATTCCCAGACACGTTTTATATTATTTTAATATACCTATGATATATTTTTTAATTCTGCACCTCTTTCCCCCTCTGCACCGAATTCCCACTCCTTAACAGAATTCTCACTCTGTTCCACCTCACTCAGTTCCCTCCTCATGCTGCTGGGCTCTCTGCTCAAGGTTAGGAAAATTAGTTTTTAAAGAAAGTGTTGTTAGGATATGTAATGGTAATTAAGATACAACCATTGTTAGGTTTTCAGAGAGAATTAGATAAAGACGGTATCTGCAAATGAGAACTATAAGAGGGTATATGGCAAATAGGACTAAACAGATAGCTCTTTAATTAAGCCAGGATTTTCATCAAGCCAGCATGATGGGGCCAAATGGCCACCTTCTATGCTATAAATCTCTATAGCTCTAAGAAAGCTCTATAGCTCTATCCAAAGTATAGGTAGTAGACATGCACTGAATGTTATATTGATATTAGATTTATACGTGTTTAGAATTGTGTTTATCCATTGTATCCAAGGTACATCAGGACACAGTGATGTAGACCCAGACTCAGACTTGAATAGCATTAGAGAGATCAGCTGTAGACAAAAATTATATGTAGAAACCTGATCTAGGAATTACAATGGCTAATTATTATAGGACTATCCCTCTAGTCATACATAAAATATACACATTAGTAGTCTAGAGTCGTGTCTCTTGCGTCATTGCCTCATGAAATAATGGGAAAGAGTATATATATAATGAAAATGAGAATACTTTTTCCCTCTCGTTCCGACTTATCCTGGAAATCTATTGTATGAGTCCTCTGACTAATTACGACTGTTATATTGATGGAATTGCTGACATTGTTTTAACTTTTTGTCTCCAGTGACATTTGAGACCATGATTTAACCTGTCAAAACTAGCTCCACAAAACAAAAGCTCCCCGTCTATAACAGGAGAAGGTTCAGCGGGTTGTGAGAATAAGGTTGCAGCTGGGTTGGTTTCCACAGATGTCAGACATTCTTTTCATTTAATGGCGCGTGACTTTCTGCTCACCATTTTTACAGAAATGTGAACTGGGTGACAACTTTATCTCAAAGAAGCCAGAGGTCCCTGAACTGCACTCTCACAGGGCAAGCCTTTGTATTGGTAAGCTCTTGGGAAAGGGCACCCTTGTTAACCTTGGACTATTGCATAACATTTAAATAAGGGTTCAAGACCAAGAAAAATTATTATTATTAATAATTTTAATTTAATCTTAATTTAATAATAAATTCCAATTAGGGATAAAAACATTTCCTCCAAACCTACATCTTAAGAGAAGTAACTACTACATTGCTATATCAAACTAATTTCATAAAACTAATATTCAACTGATCCACATTTTTATTGCTTTGTTAGGTCGGCACATTTGATAACATTCTTGTCCCTGAATCAAGTTTTTCTGTTGGAACCCTACATCTGAATTTTTTGCTCTTGGTTGAGACAACATTCCAGTCTTGTACTGGGATCACTCCATTGAAGAAAATGCAATGCTTTGGATAAATGCAAGGAATATTGTTACTAGTTGAGAAGAGCAGGGAGTTTCTCCCAGGTCTTGACCAACAATCCTCCTGATAAATTTATTTTTCACTTCATAGCTGTGGGACTCGCTCTGGGCAAATTGGCTGCCCATGTTAGTCTAAAAATACACAGTCACTCACTTGACGGAAAATTAATGGTGAAGTGCTTTAAGATGTTGCCCTCTATTAAATGCAAGGATTATTATTGATTAATATGTTTTCAAAGATTAAATTAATTATTCACAGCATATTTTAATAATAATAATCCTTGCATGGCTATAATGCCTTATCACGTCATTGAGATGTCTCAAAGCTCTTCACAGAATACACAGTAAAGTGAATTGATTGTATATTTTGTGGGTGAAATGTAGCAGTCGAGGGATTATTACCCCCAGAAACAGATTTCAAATGTGGTATACTGCATTTTTCTTATTATGTATGACACTACAAAATGCAATCTGGCACAGCCAAGATGGTGCTTCAGTAGGTTATTTTAAGCATCGATACCATCTTAAATTTCCTTTTAGGTTCCTTTAGGCCTGACATGAGGATTGTCCAGATTTAAATGACATACCAAGGTTCATCCTACCAGAATCATAATAAATCTGATCCTTGTCAATCAAACACAGAATAAACGTCCAATCCTTCCAGTTCCGGCACTTTATTAAATGCAAGGAATAAGTTTCCTCACTCCAGATGCCTCTGTTTATTTAGCAGTAAGAAGGAACCCATTTGTTAGTCGATTGGCGGATCGCTTTCCGGGAGTTATAATCCCTCCCCCACAAAAATAATAATTTGGTCACTCATTCCATGACTATTTCTGGGACACTGCTGTCCGTGGTTTCACCCACAATTAACACAGTCAATCCAATTTACAATATACTCTGTGAAGAGCTTTGAGACATTTCAATGATGTGAAAAGAGTCTAAATCAAATCCAAGGAATATTATTATACAGTCATTTTATTGACTATATTACAGTTATAGTTAGACCAATGACCTAAAAATACATAAAATCTTCTGCTTTTACCATATATTGTGTGTTTGCAATTAATACCAGCACCAACTTCGTATACTCAACACTGAGCTTCACTGAGCTCTAAAGGTAAATAAACAGTAACCCAGATATAGAGATTGCATTGTCAATTGCCCTGTGCTCCTCTTCCTGTATTTTTATTTGAAAAATGAATCTTTTAATTTGTAACTATCAAAGTACACAAATACTATAGTGTTACCAAGTGGTAATGCGCTCCCATGAGATATAAGAACATAAGAAATGCTAGATGAAAAAAGACCAAGGTCCATCTAGTTCGCCTTCCACCTTCCTGGCGGTCGCATGTACATATGTCCCAAACTACCTATGTACTACATCCCATAATGCTATTTCCTAAAAGGAAACTATCTTATCTGTGTTTGAAGGAATCAACACTTAGTTGCAGTGGGTACACAAAATTAAGTGAATGGCAATAATATGCAAAAGCAAATTACCATTTTATGTTTGAATATTAATAATTATAATGGATTATAATTATTACAACTATAGTGAACTCTATGCAAAATGACTTTTCTGTCAACTCCAGTTGAGAGGCATTGGGTACAAGGTGGATCTTTGTAATAGCTGGTGGCTGATTATTCATTTGAATCGTGTGTTTAACGGGGTCAGAACTTTGCTCTAACATCCTTTACACATGTGAAAGGTTACGTGATGGAAAGATGAAGGGTGGGAATGCAAGACCTTGGCTTGTTTTCACTGGGAATCAGATGGGAAACGTTCCATCCCAAGCACCTGCATCCCTCACCTGGATAAGACAAACTAATCTCTTCTCCCTCCCTCCCTCCCTCCCTCCCGAAAGGTGTGATGAGAACTACAATTGACTTGACACTGAACCCTTCCCTTCTTCAGTGAGCCATGACGCTGGGAGATTAATTTTGCAGAGGTTGTGTCGAATGAAGCGTATATAACGCAGGATTTCACATCAAAAAGACACACACACGCACAGTCAGCCAGTGCATCTTCACTCTGACCTGCTGTCTCTTGGAAAAAGAAGATCACACAACCAGGTAAGCTAAGTCTGACTCTTCCTGTTCATCGGACCAGGGGATCACATAAAGACTGCTCCTCGTTTTTTGTCAAATAACCACAGCATTGTGCTGGATAAATTGGTAGATTATCCCAGATCTCTCTCTCTCTCTCTTTCTCTCTCACCTTACATGCGTAATTGTACTCTTTATAAATTACACAATGACCAGGTGTAATTTACAAGGTTACTTGCGCAAGTTTTGTTCCATTACAGATGGGATGGAGCAGTGTTTGGGAAAACTGAAATTGATAATCAGGCTTTTTTTTAAAAAAAGGAGTACTTAACTGTTTTTTTCAAAGTATTTACTCAGTACAACAACAACAACTTGCACTTATATGGAGCCCTCCACACAGTTAGCATCTCAGAGAACTTTGTAAGGTATTTGCTGGAAATCTATAGCAGGTCAAAGAGAAATATTGGTTAATGTATTAATGTTTGAGGGCGAAGGAATTATGTCTAAGCAGTTGGACCCGAGTTAACCTATCTTTCTTCTTTCAAATGCTGAGTAACCTCTAGTCTATTTATCTAGTCTAGACCCTGATCACTATTTATTGATACGACTGACTATAAAGCAAACATTTTTTTCTATAAAGCTCCAGTATAAGTTTTGTAACTGTCAAAAATAAACGTAAACTTTTTATATAGTTATATCTATATAAACCCATCGGCAAAACTAATATGTTAAAAATCATGTTTAACATGGGTGTGAATGATATTAATTACTTTTTTCTCTCTCTTAATTGTTCCTCTCTTAGCTTTGCAAATGGCAATCACTGACATTCTCGCTGCTTCTGACATCGATTCTGCTATCTCGCAATTTAGTGGTAAAGTACAACACTTCTTATAGTTTTCTAGGTTTTCACCTGTAAAATCCAAAATATTTAAGATTTTTCATATTTAAGTTCAATGAGTAATGCTTCATGAAATGTCTCTAGCAACGTTTTTGTATTGTGAGATACTGGGTCTAAACTTCTTTAAACATTTGTACTACAAACCATACTACTATAATATGTATTAATAATATGGTCATTTATTTCACGACTGTTTGTGGGACACTGCTGTGCACATTGGCTGCTACATTTCACCCAGAATACGGTCAATTCACTTTACAGTGTATTCTGTGAAGCGCATTGAGACATTACAAAAATGTGATAACACGCTATATCAAATGCAAGGATTATTATATATTGTTATTTCCTATGATTCTTAGATTTATCCATGTAATCAACTACCTGCTTCTAACTCAAAATCAAGGAAAAGTTGGGAAACAAGTGTATTTTTATACAAAAAGTATAAAATAAGAAGTCTTGCTGTCAGCTCCGTCTAAAATTGTTCATATAATCATAATCAGCTTTTAACAATTGTTTTTGGAGTCGATTATTGTTAGTTTCCCATCTTAGTTTTGTTGTTTGTGGTTAAAAAATTGACAATTCGGTACATTTTTTTCAAGTATTCTTGATTTGACAGTGAGCAGCAGTGACAAGTGCTTTGAAGGGGGTTTGATGTCACTGAATTCACACACAATGGTTGAAATCCTATCACGGTTGAGGAAATACATCCGATTATTCTCTCTATTTAGTATTGGTAACTCAGTATTAAACACAGAAAGGTTCAATCCCCTCTTGCAGTTTAGTTCACTATTTTAACCAGTTGGGGGCACTACAATTACAATTACTGTACTTAACATAACTCTTCCAGTTCAGTGGAGACAGAAAACCAAACTAACCAGGTGCCAATGTAGCTTTTAAAGCAAATTTGGTGATGGTTCTGGGATTTAACCTGTTTGAAATTTCCTCTGAGGATTCACATAACACTTCCTGATTGATATATTGTACATCTTTCATTCTAAATGAGCTCATTGATACTACAATACTGCCCCTGGAAAAAATTGCAATGTCAAAATTTCCTTCTTTCCCATAGCATAGGATATTAAACTGAGGTTCTGAGGTTTGTGCAGGTGGATGTTAAAGATCCTGTGACACTACTTGAAAAGAGAAGGAAGTTTCTTGCAGCGTCCTGGCCAACCGTCCTTCAGGTTCCGTCCATAGCCTTTCACTTGATCGATCATTGTAAGGCCTTCCTGTTTTCAAATTGCTGTTTGTTACAAGTAATCACTACACTTGACAGCAACGCTTTGAAGCATTCCAATGTGAAGGCGCTATAGCAAACGTAAAGATTACTGTTATCATAGTTCCAGCACAGTGTGGAATACTGAAGAGCAAGATAGCAGACAAGTTGTTTAGTGCTGTATTGTTGAGGGGCTGCAGTGCAAGTTTCAGTCCTCTTTTAAGTAGGCATTTGTGGTTTTCAGCTCCTGATTCACTCAACTTGAAGAAGTTTTTTGAGGCATCTGGTCTCTCCAGGAAATCTGCAGACGAGGTGGCAAAGGTCTTCGAGATAATGGACCAGGATAACAATGGCTTCATCGAGAAGGAGGAGATCAAGTAAGAGGTTGGGTGACAAAGGGCCAAAGGCGTATGTGACGTGTTTCAGCGTACCTAAATCTTTCAACGGCGACAGAACCACACCCCCCAATGGACATCTTTTTTAATAGATAATCATGAAATTGTGGCATTCAACTTTTGGCCTATGGATATTGATCATTCACTGGGGGCAGGGAATCCTGTTCAGCTCCTGTTAATCCCGCAAGCCAAAGCCCTCATGGATAGAATGGTCCTAGCTGGATAAGCAGCTGGAAAGCTTACAAGATAATGCTATCATGGTTGATTGTTGGTTGTATCATGGTTAATGTGTGCAATTGTGCTGCCATATTTGCCTACAAATACCCAGTCACTCTATTTAACAGTAAATCCTGTGAAGCGCTTTGAGTTATCCTTTCGACGGAATAAGGCACTATGTCAAATACAGTGATTATTAATATTCATATTATATTGGCCACATAGTGTGGAGTTTTGAGCAGTGGCACTATCACTGTTTGATCAGTGTGACTTATGCCACAAGCACCTTTCTTTAATTATTCTTGAATATTATTGTTGCGGGTATGCATTGGAAATGGCACAAGACTGATTGTTTCATGGTCGTCTTCTCTTGATTTCAGGAAGTTCCTTCAGTTTTTCTCCTCTCGTGCCAGAACACTGACCGAAGCTGAGATCCAGATTTTTATTGCAGCCGGAGACAAGGACAGCGATGGCAAAATTGGGATAACTGGTAAGTTAAGTGTTAAGAAAAATCACCATAGTTACATCTACAAAGGAATAAATTTACTGCCAGTGGGTTGAATTATGACAATGATACAAACCACTTGACTAATGCAAGTTCAATGCATCCAATTCATTACAGAATTCCAGCGCATGGTAAGTGCATGAAAGAGAATCAGCACTAAGAGAGAAGACAAGCCTAAGAGGGCCTGTGCTGTTCTGATGCGTGTTGTCAAATCATGGCAAGTGCATACTTACCTGAAGGTTTTGTTATAACCACACGGCTCGTTACTAAGATGTACAAATGTCCATGTGTTTTGTGTGTATAATTGATGGATTTGTTCAAACTGTCTGGCAGAATAAATAAATAAAAAACTTTTAGGAGAAACAAGTTTGCAATCTATATATATATATGTGAATGTCGGAATAGAACATTTTCAAAGAATATTTCAGCCAAAAGGCTGGTTAAGGTGGAGGGCGTTAATATATGCCACAAAGTGCATTTTGAGGCTCGGTTATTGTTTAAGTGCACTTTCTATTCTTAAACTTATAAGATATAAATTTCGCCGACAAAAATATACATTTTATACATTTTATATAACTGTGAAGCACCTTGAGATAACTCAAGGATGTGACAAGATGCTACATCAAATGCAAGGATTATTATTATTAACTGAACAAAGTCAGCATTGTTGTGAAGGTGCAAAAGTTCCTTCTTATAGTAAAATTATATAAATAAGCAATTTCAGGTAGAGATGTACATAATAATAAGGGAATATAATCTATTGCACACATGAGGTAGACTGTCAGGCTAAAATAAAAACATACATACAGAATTGCAGTATACACACAGAGAGAAAGCACAAACACACAGACAGACACAGAAATGCTCAGGCACAAACACAGAAATACAAGCCCCATCAGGGATTAAATCGTCTAGGTGTTGCTCTATGGGCTCTGGCAGACCTCAGGCATTTTAAACAGGAGGCTATTCCTGCTATATAAACTATGACAATGTGCTGGCACTGTGGGGAGAGGGCAGTCCTAGCCTCGTCCCTCATCATAGTCAGATACTTTCTGGCAAAAGTCTCTGGATATAAATCAGTTGTGGAAACACACTGGGGAATTGAGGCCAACAGCAACTAAACCCAGCACTTTCCCTGAATCCAAGGTGTGACTTTCTGTATGTCACTATGTACAAAATGAATGCCTACAGAAACAGTCACTCTACTTGATACAGTAGTAATTAAAACAGTTTGAGATATTTTGACAATGCTGAGGGGCCATATTAAACAAGTTCTGTCTCGCTAGTCTAATGCAGGTAGAAGCCTTTAGCCAATGGGCCAGTTGGGCCAATAGAGTCTTATCCATTGATTTAATTTAAACTTGTTCAATTGCATCGAAATATAAAATCCATTTATACAAAACGGTGGGGTAGGCTAGTTCCTACAACTTAGTCTGTGTGATCATTGGTGGGGGGGATGTGGGGAAGCAACATGATAACAAAGATTAAATTCCTTGCCACAACTCAGAAACATCTTTACTGATATTGCACCTAGATTCTGCCATCGATGCATTTCCTGCTGCGATCTTTTTCATACTTGCCCTTGGTTTTGTGCAATGCTAACATTACCAGTGGGTTAGGTTACATAACTCCAGGGGTGAGCATCAAATAAATGCAAATTGAGGGATATTACCAAATGGCTGAATCATTGAACAATGCACAACTACATCAGCTGACACTTGCACCTTTAGTTATGCAATTATTTCCAAAGAGATCTGCCGTCTCCTCAGTGCCCTGTCAACCAGATCAGGTTTTAAGATTGCGTCACCTTGAAACAGCTTTCCCAAGTTTCAAATATGCACAGGATGGAATTAAACCTGGTCAGCTTGTCACATACCCGTGTCTCACTTTCACTACCAAAAAGACCTAGTTAATAAGCATTGAGTCAGATATGTATGGTGAATATTCAATGCTTTATTGCATCCATTTGCTGCATTTCGCAGCAATTCCATGTGAAGCGTGCTGAGACAGTTGGGCATTATAGGGGCTTGTATCAAATGCATTGTTATTATTATTTATTATCCTGACATTTCAGGTTAATAATTGCATTTCTTACTCAGTGGCTGGATGTTACCGCTTTTCATTCCACCTCTACATCAGGCACAAAAACTTGAAGCTTTACACCTCAAAACTTTGGAATTCTCTCCCCCAATCCCTCTGCCTTGCCCCCTTTTTCCCCTTTCAGATCACGACTGAAGACCTTCCTCTGCGATCGTGATTATGGTCACCTCCTCACTGCCCCCGGCTCAGAGTCAGGCTCCCCCATTGTTAAACGCTCCGAGAACAGTGCCTTGCGTGAAGAGCGCTATATAAATTCAAGTGGTTGTTGTTGATAACCCTGAATAAACTGGGCTGTTGAAAGGAGTGCAGCTATCAGACAAAAATTAATTAACAAGTACTATATTAGGTGCCAATGTCCATTATACTGTGATTGATTGATTCTTTTTTTCTCCCCCTTAAACTTTGGTTCTCCTCAAGGCAAATATGCTTATTTGTTGGTGCATTGCAAGCTCCGAAGGCAACACACAAAAACACACAAAAAGATAGCGTTTCAGAACCAATGGAAATGTCTTTCCAAAAGAACTGTATCAGGTGAACTCGAGATATAAATAGAATCAGTTAATTAGCTAGGTAAAGTAATTCAATAGCAGGTGAAAAAAAAATGTATTTGATTCCAGCCAACGCAATTCAAGTAATGTAAAGAATCACCTTAATGGGTTGGCAATATAAGCCAGGTCCGCCCTCACACACACTTACAGAAAGGGCTCCATTCACATCACACCTGGGACAAGATCCTAGCAAGACGTTCGTAAAGGTAAGACTCTATGTGTGTGTGTGTGATTTTTTCTGCCCTTACAAATAGAATGTAGAAAATTAACAGACTTGCTGTTTCTACAAGTTGTGAGTTTAAAGCAAGAGAAATTGGAAGACTATCTCAGTTTCACGTGTGAAATACACAGTTTCTACTGAGCTCGCATCGCACACACTGAGACTTTATATCTGAATGTGAGGGACATGGAAACAATGCTTTTCTTTGAAGGGTTATCTAGAAGCTATTTAGAAAATTATACTATTTTTTAAGTTATTATTGCACATTCTAAAGCACAGAACAATGCTTCTTGTATTAGTTTTAACCGGACACTTTTAAGGATGCTGTGCTTTGAGATCCCAAATGATATAGCATCAACTAATGCACTGAAACCTTCGGATATATGATTAACATGTCGCTTTAAAATGTAATAAAAAAAAGATTTGCTTGGTTGTAGACATCAGATGTGCTGCATTGAAATCAATGCATTCTTATTTTCTGAAGGATTTCAGTGCTGGCATTTCTGGAAGCTGGAAGAAGGGGAAAATGGTCTTAAAACAACCTTTAAACTGGAAAAGAAAGGGAAATTGAAATTATATTTTCAATTTATATTTTGAATATAAATTGAAAAACATACTATTATTTTCAAAAGTTTAGTGTAATCACTGCTGCTATTTATTCTGAGAGATTTGCAAACTAAGATCTTTGAGAAACAGTGCTGAGTGAGTGCTTTGTGTACAAGCGTGCATTAGAGATCTGCTGATAAATGTTTGTCCACAATGACCTTATTGTATTTCATTCCCGAGCAGGTTAACAATGTTAGTCACTGATATACTGGCCGCTTCTGACATTAGCAACGCCATTAAAGAATGCCAGGGTAAGGAATACATTGCCTCATTTTCTGCGTCTTCATCACTTTGTCATAAGCAAAAGCTGACAAAGCACACAGTCACTCCACTCTACAGTATATTCTGTGAAGCGCTTTGAGACATCTCAGCAATGTCATAAGGCAATGTTATAAGGCGCCATATCAAATGCAAGGATTATTATTATTATAAAGTTTACACTAGACAGCATTTCATGTTCCTTCCTTTCTCTCCTTTTTTCAGCACTTGAATCCTTCGATTTCAAGAAATTCTTTCAGACTTCTGGTCTATCTCGAAAGTCTGCAGACGAAATCAAAAATGTTTTCCTGGCCATGGACGATGACGACAGTGGCTACATAGAACTGGACGAGTTGAAGTAAGCTGATGTATAACGTCTCATCTGCTCAGTGTGGGTGTCTGAGCACTGTAACCTATTTCCTTCCCACTCTTGTACAAAAATACACAGTCAATTCACTTTACAGTATAATAATAATATATTATGTATAAAAATATATTCTGTGAATCGCTTTGCGACAGACGTCTTAACGACATGATGACAGGCACTATATCAAATGCTAGGATTATTACTGTTATTGTACACTTGGTTTACATAACTAATTCCTAAATAACTTATCTTTCATTAATGTCATCTTACAGGTTAAAAAAAATCGTGGATTTTAATCAACCGTTCTACTTAAATAGGGATTGGGATTTAAATCATTTCTTTGATGTCGTAACCTCAGATATTAGACTAAGACAACTCAGTGACAGATGGTCTTGGATGGGCTTCATAGATCAGATTATCCATACTGGTCAATGCCTCAGTGCAAACTAACATAAATACATGGGAACAAACTAATGGCAGAGACTGGTCGATATTGTCTGACAAAAATCAGAAAAAAATAAGAATTATTTCTACCAATTTTGCTTATGGGAGCAGCATAGTTCTATTTGGGAATACATTTATGTAAAAAAAATTAGACTGAACTGGGAACACAAGTATAAGATAACGACTAGAGGATCAAAAGAGAATTTAGGAGGAATGCTGTAATGCAGAGGCTAGTGAGAATGAGGAACTTGCTTCCTGAAGCAGATAGTACAGATGCATTTAATGAGAAGCTCGGGAGATGGGAATAGAAGGGTGTGGGAGGGAATAAGGAGTAGGCAGACAATCACATGGATATAAACACCGGCATGGACTAGTTGGGCAGAATGGCATGTTTCTGAGCTGTATGGTAATCTATGAAATAGTTTCAGCAAAAAGAGCACAGTACTTATTTAACAAAATAATAATTGTTTCCATTTGATGTAATGACATATAATGGAAAAACATCTCAATAATCTCACACCGTAAATTACTTTGATACAAGCCATTATGTAAGCAAATGTGACTGCTAATCTTCACCTGGAACATTGCACAAACAGAGAGTCATCAATTAGCTTCCGGATTTTTTTGGTGACATTAGATGAGAAAGGAATATTGGGCTGGATGTGAGGAGAACTCCCTATTCTTCTTCCAAATACATTGATTGAGATTTTTAACATCTACCTGACTGGACCTTAGTTTAATATCTAATCTGAAGGGCAGCCTAATACATGCACCCTCGTTAATGCACCAGAGTGTCAGCCTAGATTATGAGACTTGTGTCCACAAGCTTTTGACCCAGAGGTGAGAGTGCTAAACTAAGATTAGCCAATGAAAGATCTTCTGAAAGTTCAGACTCGTGTTGAAGTCTGTATCCATGGGTGCTGGTTGCCTGAATGGCCATTCTTTAAGTGTCAACCTTAATTGGTGAGTGCTCCTGGACTGTAGGAGGGGGTGGAGGGCAGGAATATGTATCCAGCAGAATTGTATTGATTGCCCTCAACAACCTCCTACACATTCCTTCTAGCAAGAGTAATTAGGTGGCAATCAGCAATAGGAATTTTGGTTTTACCTTTCTTTCCTAATACTGAGGCTAATTGTAGAGCAGGAATAAATTTAGAACATTTGAGCTTGTCCACACTCCAGAACAATGAAGCTAAACCATCAGAGAAGCAATACACTTTATTGTTTCATTGGAGGAGTCTGGTTTGTTGTTGTTGTTGATGTTGTTTAAAGGAATTATTATAACTTGTTTTTCTTTCTCAGGTTCTTCCTGCAGAGGTTCTCTCCAATTGCTAGGGTGCTGACTGAGGCTGAGACTGAGGCATTCCTTAAAGCTGCAGACACCGATGGTGATGAGAGGATTGGCACTCAGGGTAAGATAATAAATGGACCTTTTCAAAACGTTGAATTATTTAAGAAAGATGTTGTTGACTTGAATATACATGGGCTTCAGTTTTCAACACTGATGGTCAAAAACTTATGTGATTATTTTGGGCGATGTTCTGCTTTATGCTCTCCAGTAAATTTGTTTGTGGGTTAAACAATATTCTACAATCAGGAAACCTGGTAAAGATTGCTACTGTGCACTTGTAGGTAATTGTAATATAATTTTAAATGCACAATTCATTTTTATAATGTAATTTTATTTATAATTTAAATTTGCAATATGTTATTTATAAAGGAATTGGATTATTATTTGAGGAAAATAATATTTAAGGATACATGGAAAGGGCAAGAGAATGGGATTCGAGAAGATAGCTGCAGAGGTCCATTAAAGAGATAGTTTGCTGAATGGCTTCCTTCTGTGCTGTTATGTTTTTTTCTACTACTCCACAAACCTTTGGAACTGCCTCCCTCTACCACTTCTGTTTCTCTATCGGTCTTTAAATCCTGCCTTAAAACTAATTTCTTCAACCATGTCAATGGTCATTTCTCCTTTATCTAAATTGCACTAAATTTTGACGCAGAACTATCCACATGTTAACACTAATCTTATTTATGTATTTATAGAATTTGTAACCCTGGTGATGTCGTAGACTCTACAGAACTGAAGAGAACAGACTGCCTCTTTCGCTTCTTACTTAAACTACAAATCAAAATACAAGGCACAAGTTTATACAGCAGAATCATATTACTAATAACAACATTGTAAAAGTTGCTTTGGACTTGCAGTCCAGACTGGTATTTGTATAATATAGATGGAATAACCTGATCTGTAAGAGCAATGAGATGGGAGGATCAAAACAATAAAAGATCTGTCCTTGTATCCAACAAACTAAATGGATGTCTTTTTATGGTAGAATGAGGCAGAGGTTGTACTGTGTATTGCATGACATCTTGCAGGTTCGGTCCTACTTGAAAGATGATCTGGAAAAAAATATTTGAACCTGTGAAAGTACATTAACAGTCAAATGAGTTTTCCTTTGCTGTGGCCATGCGGAGTCCTGCAGTTCAGTGGTTAGAACATTCGCCTCTCAAGCGAAAGACCTGGTGTTCGATTCCCAGCAGGGCAAAACCTTGGGCAAGTTTCCTTACTCCACACGCCTAATAGTAATCCCTCAAGAGAACAAAAAACCCAAGAATAAATTGGTCACTTCAATCCACGACTGTTTGTGGGACACTGTTGTCCGCGTTTCACCCACAAATATACAGTCAATTCACTTTACAGTATATTCTGTGAAGCACTTTGAGACATCTAGAAGGTGTGAAAAGTGTTATATCAAATGCAAGGATTAATATTGTTATTATTATCTCCATGAGTTAAGTTTTGTGCGGTATTAGCTGCATCTTATTCCTTTTATGGAGCAACAAACATAATTGAGGTTAATTTACATGAACAACTTGCATTGTCTTTGACTAATGATATTAATCTGGAACACATTCACTTTTTTTTCCCTCTTCAATGCATTCACCTTTCCTGATAAAAGTCCAAACTTTCCCTTCATGTGTTTCACTTTCTGACATGAAGGAACTGATACATACTTGGCTACAATCCCTCTCCTAACTACTTATCCGGTTGTTTAAGGAAGGAGTTCAATCTGTGGAAAAATATCCTTGTTCACTGCCACTCCATATACCCACCTTCTGTACATAAACCCAGGTTGATTTCCTTTCTCCCTAACCCAAGGCTCTGACACCAATTACTGTCTCAGCTGAAATCAGCTAACTCAGCACATACAGGAATTTGAACCTGGTCTCTGGGGTCTTGCTTCACACAAGCTTTGAATTAGACTATATAGGAGCTTATTTCACTTGGCTCAGAGGGTAGCACTCTTGTCGGAAAGTTAGACAAGGGATTATTACCCTTGGAAAACAATCTCCCCATTGGGCCTTTGAGCTTATATTTTCGTCTGACACCAACCCAGTGCTGGAGGAGTGCTCATTGTTGGAGTTGCTGTTCTGTTCTTCCAGGTTCGATTCCTGGCCGGGGAAAATCCTTAGTCAAGTTTCCTTCCTCTACCTTCCTCTGTTTACCGAGCACTAAGCAGGAACCCAGTTTTAGTCTATTGGCGAATTGTTTTCCAAGGGTAAGAATCCCTCAAAAAAAATTTTGATTACTCAATCCACAACTGTTTGTGGGACACTGCTGTGTGCAATTGGCTGCCGCGTTTTGCCCACAAAATACACAGACAATCCACTTTACAGTATGTTCTGTGAAGTGCTTTGAAACGTCTCGAAGACCTGATAAAGCGCCATATCAAATGCAAGGATTATTATTAATTATCAAATTAGCTCTAGGGAGAATCCCCCACCACTCCACCTCCCTGTTACCAGCCACCTGACCCTCAACAACAACAACTTGGATTTATATAGCGCCCTCCACTCCGGACGGCATCTCAGAGCATCTCAAAGGACCCTCTCCTTTGGGAGGCAAAAATCTCCAAAGAAAAACAAAATAAAAAAATGACCAGTTGAGGGAAAAAAGGTTTACTGGGAGAATTCCTCTCCCTGCCCCCATCATCGTAACAATCTAAGACTCAGATGGGATTGATAAACTCAAGATTTCTACTAGCCCATCTGTGAAAGTAACTTAGCTTGTCCATGCTTTTCCTGCAACATATCCCCTCCAAGCCTACGGTTTGTGCTGTCAACATCAAAGTAGCTCTCGGGACAAAATGTTCATCTAAAGGCCATCGAGTCCCTGAGAATGCAGCTACCATAGCTAGAGAGGCAATGAGTAACGCCTCATTAATCTAGTACAATTGTTTGAAAAGGTGATAGAAGTATCCAGTAACCGATAGTTATTGGATGTAAATGCCCTTGGATTTTCAACATTGTTTCTGTATGGAATTTAAGGCAAATTAATTTTAGAGTATAGCTGCTACTGAACTACTACCGAGGGTACAGTTCACCCATCCCAAGGGATTTGTTAGTTTAAAGCCATTTAAGCCTATCAGGAATCCCAGCCTCCATTATATTAAAGTCCTGGATCTCAAACAATGTTTGCTGGCTGTTGGGGGATGTTCTTAGTATTCTCCCTGGTAAAAACCTCCAGGAAGTAGTCATTTAATATGTTTGCTATCTCCTGTTCATTCCTTCTTGAACCCCATTTGAATCCTTTAGGTTTTATCATCTTCCCTGACTACTGAGTATTTCCTGAAAAGGCAACAGCGGCTGAGAAGAGAGTTCTTGGTCTCATTAAATCAACCATACCTTTACTCTCCTCCTCCAGTCACGCCAATAGCAGATGATGAATTGCCAAATCAGGAAGATAAGATCTCATAAAACAATGCTACAAAGTTCTTTCCTTTCCACTGACGTTGTTTTTCCACATTAAGATCAGCTGATAAGTGAATGATTATGTGATATCTTGCTACCAGCAATAGTTTGTGGGAACTTCCTGAGACCATTTCAGCTCGCCGCTTTATGATGTTATTTTTCCATCATGGTTAAAGGTGCTTAAATCACACAACAGTTCTAATGGCTTAGCTTACCTAAGTAAGCATTGAACTGGCTACACTGGACCTACAAATGTACAAGGTCAGGGCTGCAATTTCTTAACAAAAAAAATTCTTCTGTAACATTGCCTTTGATTTCTGTGTGCATATTAGTCCAACGCTGATTATGCCAGCACTTTGGGGGACTAGGGGAGGGTTAGGAAAAGAACGTTTTGATGTAATTCGGAGCTGTGGTTCAGACGCCAATAACAATGGTGGGATCCATCTTCCCTTCCAAAAGGAAGCAAGTAATGATCCTTACACCAGATCAACTTCCAGCAAGTGTTACGCTTGATCTTAGCCAAAACCCAAGAAACCATAATCAAATGTCACCTTCACCATCCTGGTACAGATAGCTCAACCAACACAAATTCCCCTAGAGCCTGGCTCATGTTCGATCATGATCTGACTCAGAGGTGAGAGTGCAAACAACTGAATCAGGGGACATAAGCTGAGATGGTTTCAGGTATAGTGCCAATCACACCCACACAGAATTTATCCCCTACCTTTCCTGAAATCAGTGACTTATTTTCTAACAAACTATTATGTGAAAAAAAAGGCACCGGTGTACCTTTCCTCTTTTCAATCATTTTTGTTTACAACCTTCTCTAACTATCACACCCAGCATCTCAGAATTTGTTGTTAAGTGTGTATTAGGGACTTGACAGACAGACACTAGATAGTACCTGGGATCCCAGCTCACAATGAACAGGAAACACCATCACCATCACAGGTAGTAGTATCACTATCTCCCAACTCTGTTACAGATCTGATCTCCGTCAAAAACAAAAGTGAAACATACATGGGTAAAACATAAGTGCAGTAGATATTTATTTACAGCATGTACAAATCTTCTTCCAGCCCAGAGTTGGGTTGTGCATTGACGTAATTGTCAAAGCACGCTGAAAAACTGCAAGGTAAAGTTTTTGTGTGACACAAAGACTTCGAGTCAGGTATCAGTCGCAAGTACATTCGATGCTGTGTTCTCTAATAACATTGAGCATGGTTAAATGTGTGGTGTTGGCTTGCAAACAATTAAGAAAATGGGATGAAGATGTAACCACAATACCAGTTTCCCACCTGCTTTGTTTATTTGAAAGCTATGTGCAGGCGATACCGTTTCACTACACGAAATGCTGATCTCTGGGTTTTGCTTTGTTTAATGATTTATGGCGAAAATAAGTCACGTCATGCTCATATTTGCATTTGGATTTGTGGACGAAATTATTCAATCTTCCGAGGAAAGAGGAGACCGAGTGACACATGCTTGTAATCAACATAGTCTCCTCTGGGCATTTATTAGCGTTGCATTTCCGTCCTTCTGATGTGGTAAGGCTCTATACCAAATGCAAGGATTATCATTATTATTTCTCTTCTGCACGTCCTTGCCATCTTTCAAAATCTATAGCTGCTTCCTGACACATGACAGCAGCAATTTCATCCCGAGGGTTATAAAACAGAACAAAGAGGCCTGTTTGCTTGAACCAAACTTTCTTTTATTACTTTTTTGACCGCAAACCATGTGAAAGAGGCAATGGCTTGGACTTTTCCATGTAAATTTCCTGCCGTTGCTGATTTATTCATATGGATGGATTTCTACAAGCGATGAAGATGAACAACAAAAATTGTATTGTGGTGACCCACTTGCATTTTGTCTATTTTAGTTGAACGCTATAACCTGACAAAGTTAGACGCTTCTTCGATATCCTTGAAACTCTCAACCACGTATCCAAGCTGGTGGACATTGAAGATCCCATGGCATTATTCAAAAAAAAGGGAGCTTCTCCCGGTGTCCTGGGCAACAATCCCCCAAATAAAATGGGTCAATCACTCCATGGCTGTTTGTGGGACATTGCTGTGTGCAAACTGGCTGCCGTGTTTCGTCCACAAAATACACAGTCAATTCACTTTACAGTATAGCCTGTTAAGCGCTTTGAGACATCTCAGCGACGTGATAAGGTGTTATATCAAATGCAAGGATTATTATTATTATTATTATCAAGCACACAATTCTAGTGCTCTGCTTGTTCTGGATCGTATTGCCCTTTGAAAGTCAAAGCTATTGTTTATCAGTAAACAGACAATGATTTTGAAAGATGACAATCTTAAAGACATATAGTTCTATCTAAAAATGACCTCAAATGATAGATGTTTGGCTTCAGGGTTGCAGTTTGGGATGATTATTGGCATTAATTGTAGAACTTTTAAGTCTGAAGTTAGGTCTTTGTTTTCATCACTGGAAAATTTTCAATAGAGTCCTACTACTCATGTATAATAATAACCATTACATTTGGTACAGTGCCATTCACGTCGGAAGGTAGTCCTAAACCTCTTCACAGGATATACTGTAAAGTACATGACTGTGTATTTTGTATCCAGGCGCCTCCAACAATACAACACACTCCCAGCACTATATTGGAGTGTCACCCAATGTGGGGGTTGAACTAATAACCTTCTGACTCAGAGGAGAGAGTGCTACTGACTGAGCGAGGCTGTCGCAGCACAAGTTGTCCCTTTCAGGAGAAGATGGCAATAAAAGGAGAAAGACTTCCTATTTTTAGCTCTGCAGTTGTTGGCTTTGTTTTAAGAGCTCCGCATTTTTTAATGTTTTCTCAAGTGTCTATCGCTGGATATAGAGTTACAATATTGTATCTCCAACCAGGCACAATGCTGATCTAAGATGAAATTTTATTGAGCAAATCCTTTGTTTCTCTTGTCATCTTGTCCTGTTTCAGAGGTATTGTACAGGTGTCACTGCTTGGTGTCAATTGGCAGACTCTTCCATTTTGAGCGTCATTCATAGTTTGGTTACAGATATGGGCTGTGGAGTAAAAGCCATTAATATTTGATCACTATAATTAGTTATTATTATTATTCCAACACCTTCTCAGTGCAAACATTGCTCACGGGTGGAAACCCTTCATTCGCTCGGGTTCCCTATTCCACAAGATTGAAGGGTATAAAGAAGTGTATAGATTCAAATCAAATCATATCACGATAGAACTTGACAGCAGAGAAGTTTGTTCGCTTCGGAGTGCCTGTGCTTTGTTGGCTTTGTCGAGCTATCTACTCGAAGCCCATTTTGCCGCAGGTGCTTATCTGGTTCCCTTTTACATACGCAACGGCTTCAATAGGCAGTCGCGATAACACGTTCCACACGTCAATAACTCCTGTGACACAGATGTCTTCTCGTTCCAAATTTTCTAACGCCCTCCCCCCCCCCCCGCCCCAGTCTGGAGCCTGGTTGCGCCTGGGCCGGAGATACAACCCCGCAACTCGATACGCGGCGCCAGACGCTCGAGCAAAACACCGACACGCAGCGGCGGCCGCCTCGGGACCGTCGAGCCCCCCCCGACCCCACCCCCCCCCACTCTCCGGCACGTCCTCCCGCCGCCCGCGCGAGACACGGCGACCAACGTAAATCCCTGTCCGCGTCTCGCGTGGCAATATCGCGCGAACGGGGACGTCTCAAGTGATTATCGCGCCGTGGGCGGAGCAAAAGCACCGCAATTTCCCCTCTGCCCACCCACCGCCCGCCCAGAGGGTGTCTTTTTGTGGGGGGGTTGGGGAGGGGGAGGGAAGGGGTGGGGGAGGGTGGGGGAGGGGGAAGGAGGGGGTGGAGGAGGGAGGGGGTGGGGGAGGGAGGTGGGGGAGGGGGAGGGGGAAGGAGGGGGTGGGGGTGGGAGGGGGTGGGGGAGGGGGAGGGTGGGGGAGGGGGAGGGAGGGGGTGGGAGGGGGTGGGGGAGGGAGGGTGGGGGAGGGAGGGGGAGGGAGGGGGTGGGGGAGGGGGAGGGAGGGGGTGGGGGAGGGAGGCGGTTGGTGTTCGCCCTCCAAGTCCCAGTGCAAGTGCCAATGTGGTGACGTGTCAGGGTTTGGAGCAGCGGAGGGGGTGGTGTGTCCGCTCGGCCAGTGGGGGGCGCTGTGGAGCCGAACAGGAAACGGAAACGGCTCGCGGGGGGGAGGGCGGTAGTGGGGTGAGGGGGGAAGGGGAGGGCCGTGTGGTAGCGGTGATGGTGGTTTTTTTGGGGACTGGAAATCCAGTGAAGAAGAAGGTGAATTGACTTTTAAGTGAAACCCGTGTGTTTGGACGTCGTTCACGGGGGGCGCGGCTTTTTTTTGTGGGGGTGTGTGTGTGGGGGGGTGTGTGTGTGTGGGTGGGGGTGTGTGTGTGAGGCTGTGTGTGTGGGTGTGTGTGTGGGGGTGGGGGTGTGTGTGTGAGGCTGTGTGTGTGGGTGTGGGGGTGTGTGTGTGTGTGTGGGGGGGTGTGTGTGGGGGTGTGTGTGTGAGGCTGTGTGTGTGTGGGGTGTGTGTGTGTGAGGCTGTGTGTGTGTGGGGGTGGGTGTGTGTGTGGGGGTGTGTGTGTGTGGGTGTGTGTGTGTGTGGGTGTGTGTGTGTGGGTGTGGGGGTGTGTGTGTGAGGCTGTGTGTGTGGGTGTGTGTGTGTGGGTGTGGGGGTGTGGTGTGTGGGTGTGTGTGTGTGAGGCTGTGTGTGTGGGTGTGTGTGTGTGTGTGGGGGTGTGTGTGTGAGGCTGTGTGTGTGTGGGTGTGTGTGTGTGGGTGTGGGGGTGTGTGTGTGAGGCTGTGTGTGTGGGTGTGTGTGTGTGGGTGTGGGGGTGTGGTGTGTGGGTGTGTGTGTGTGAGGCTGTGTGTGTGGGTGTGTGTGTGTGTGTGGGGGTGTGTGTGTGAGGCTGTGTGTGTGTGTGGGGGTGGGGTGTGTGTGTGTGTGGGTGTGTGGTGTGTGGGGTGTGTGTTTGAGGCTGTGTGTGTGGGGGATCTCTAGGCCTCGAGAACCGCACAGGTTGGTTGCGGTGAAGCGGACGCGCTTTGCAAACGGCTTTATTTCTGCTCCCGAATCCGCCTCGTTCGCCCCCCCCCCAGTGCCCCCTCTCCCTCCCTCCCTCCCTCCCTGAGGTTCAAATGCTTTGGGTGCTTCCCCCCCAAAAAAAGAGAGAGAGAGAGAGGCCTCTGTACTCGGGCGATTAGTCCCAGTTTGTCGCCTGGTTACAGGTGAGGCCTAACTGCAGGACACAAGCACTGGATGATGGGGGGGGAATAGCCCCCCCACTCCCCCCATATCCCCCCCACTCCCCCCATATCCCCCTCCCCCACCCCCCGGTGCTGCTGAAACACATGGCTTCATGTCACTGCTAACAGGGGATTTTCAGCAAAAATTAGTGCTACACACAAGTGCTTCCTGGTTCCTCTCTCTCTCTCTCTCTCTCTCTCACAAGACAGGATCTGTACAAACCACTGGGTTGGGGGGGGGGGGGGGGGATGTCTTTATTTATTGCCCTGTTGTTTGCCTGGAGCTGGGATCAGCCACTGTTAATATTCGGACCTCATTTTGAATGGAGGGTGATCTACTGTCGTGATCCATTGCTGCTTCCTCACTCTCACTGTCTCGCCATCCCTGCCCTGATATTGATCATAATAATATAATAATAATAATAATCCTTGCATTTGATACAGCGCTTTTCGCGTCGGGGGGAACGTCCCAAAGCGCTTCACAGAACACACTGTGAAGTGAATTGACTGTATATTTGTGGGCGAACGCGGCAGCCAATTGCGCACAGCAATGTCCCACAAATGGTCGTGGATTGAAAATGACCATTTTATTATAGGTTTGTTTTTTTTGGAGGGATTATTATTAGGCTCTGTGTGGAGTAAGGAAACTTGCCCAAGGTTTCGCCCTCTGCCTGGAATTGAACTCAGGTCTCTCACTTGCAAAGCGAGTGCTCTAACCCCTGAGCTGCAGGACTCCACAAGTGATCAGGTGGGGAGATTCCCTGTCCTGTGTGTGTGTGTGTGTGTGTGTATGGGGGGTGGGCGCGGGGCTGTTATACTGCAGATAACCTGCAAATTACAGTTGCTGGCCAATCCCTGGAGGCCGCACAACGCCCAACAACTTGTATTTATACAGTGCCTTTCACTTGCCTTTATGTAGTTGAGGGTTTGCATGCGAGCTGGAGGGGTTGGTGGGGGGGTGGGGTTTGGCTTCAAGATGTGTTGGGGCCGAGGGGGAATGGGGAGCCGTCCGAAGGCACAGTCAAAGAGCAAGGTCTTCGGATGGACCTTGAAGGAGGCAAGGGTCGGGGTGAGGCAACGACAACCACTTGCATTTATATAGCGCCGTTCACGTGGGGTAGGGTCACGGAGCTCCATCCGAGAGGCAAAGGGACTCTCAGATGGAGTTCCAGAGGGTGGTCCTAAGGCTGATGGTGGGACGGGCAGGGGACGTGAAACAGTGCCCACGGAGCGGAGGGAGCGAGCGGGCTGGTAAAATTTTAGCAGGTCACGGAGATAAGATTGGGCATGGGGAGCAGGGAGAGGATGGGGTGATAGGCTCGCGCAATCGGGTGCAGGAGAGGAGACAAGCTGCAGAGTTCTGAATAGTCTGCAGTCTGGAGGGACGAGTTGGGAAGTCTGGTGAGCAGGGAGTTAGCATGGTCTAGTTCAGTACAGGTGGGAGCCCTTCATTGCTGGAGGTGCCGTCCTTCAGATCAGATGGTAAACCAAAGGCCTTCCTGCTGTGCCCAATAAAGTTACTGTGGCACGATTCAAAAACGGAAGGCAGTTTCTCCTGATGTTCTGAGCAAAAATCTTTCATTTAAATTAGTCACTTGTCTATCGGCTGCCGTTTGCGGGACTCTTGCTGTGTGCAAAAAGCCTGTCACATTTGTGTACGAAAAAGTCCCTTGATTTGAAATAATTACCGCAAAGCACTTTGAGCTGTTTCAGCATTGTAGAACTCCATCCCCCAGTGCCTTCGCTTCCTCCCTTTCCTCCTTCAAGGCCGGTCTCAAGACCTTTCTCTTTGACCGTGCCTTCAGCTCCCCTCTCAACTCTCTACCCCCTCCTCGCTCCCTCCCTTCCCTCACCCTGACCATTTCCCCCCTGCTCGGGTCCCGACCCAACTGTCCAGCGCCTTGGGACGTCCTCCCGACGTGAAAGGGGCTCTATAAATGCAATCTTGTTGTTGTTGTACAACACTATAAAATGCATGATTTTCAGTGCTGGTTGGGAGCAAGGGTCCAAATCTATATAGGAACACTGAGAACATTGATGATCTCTATTTCTATCTAGTCAATTGTTACTGATCCAAAGTCAATGTTTTTTTTATAAAAAGCCAATAATCCAAGGAAATCAGGACTTAGAGGTCGATGGCCGCAGAGGTCAGTGGACGTTAGTTTTGTTCTGACTTTCCCTCTTTCTCTCTCAGCAGCTTGGTTTCTGAGACTGTTTGTTGCCCGGTGAGATCCAAGTAATGTGCTCAAACACTTGGACAGGCAGACTACTCACAACTGGACATTGCTGATGTTGATGATAAGGTGAGCCGCGATTCCCATTATTTGTCTCATTGCATCCATTAAGAAGTGTGGAATGAAAACTCATAAGAACTCCCACCTATTGGTTCATTTGGTAAAACTGCTGTCCAGTGTGAAACTGTGAACTACAGATCCAAAAGATTCCAGGTTCGATTGTGAGTTCAGTGAGCTGATCTCACCTGGGGTGGTGGTCAAGTACCCTTGACTTGGGAGGATAATATCAGCCAGGGTGTCACTTTTGATTGCTTAACCACCTGTCTCTCTGGGAAGTGTCTATATGAAGTAAGATTAGATCAAGTTATGATCGGCTGTTCTAAAAATCTCATGGCAGTTTTCAAAAAGAGAATAGAGTGTCTCTCAGCATCGGCAGAAATCTTCCAGGTTAATTGAGCACGTGCCTCATTCTTGCTGTGTGTAAAATTGGTTGCCGCATTTGCCTACAGTAAAACTATGAGGAGCTTTGAGACACCTCAACGACGTGGAGGATTATTGGCTGGACATTTGGCCGTAGAGGTTTTATGGGATCTTTGACGTCCGCCCAACCAAGGAAGATAGTGAATTAATTTAACGTCTCGCCCAAAGGGCAGCTCCTCCAGCAAAGCAGTGCTCCACTAGGACTGGGCTGGAGTGTGAACCTCATCTGTCAATTCATGTCCTGACATGAGGCTTGAACGCTCAAGCTTCTAATCCAGAGGCAAGAGTACTGAACCAGGCTGACAACTTAGGAGGATAAAACTGAATAATAATAATAACATTAATAATAGCAGCATTTGATATAGCACCTTATCACATCGTCAAGACTTTGCAGAATATACTGTATGGCTGTATCGACTGCATATTTTGTGGGTGAAACACGACAGCCAATTGCGCACAGCAGTGCCTCACAAATATTCATGGAGTGAGTGGTCGATTTTATCTGGGCGATTGTTGGCCAGGACACCGGGAGAAACTCCCCTCTCTTTTCGAATAGTGCTATGGGATCATTAACGTCCACCTGAACAGGCAGACAAGACCTCAGTTTAATGTCTCATCTCAGGATAGATGACTGATGAGCTTAAGCATACACTTTTCTGGTCTTAAAATGGAGCGAGTAATTATTTTAAAATCTAGGTTCTGTAATTGCTTTGTTTGCAGCTGAGTGGAAGGAATGGTGTGGCCTTCTCATTAATGCACTTCACATCCAAACCCTTTCCTTCCTTCTGATTAAACACTGTCAACCAGCTTGTGAAGCCGACACTGATACTGTAGACCTGAAACCAGATCCAGTAGCATATACCCTCGTAAGCAATATTAGACCCAGTATCTGCAGGAGTTGTCGGTGGAATTGCAGGTGATTAATAATGCATAGTGTAGCAATTTGCACATGTCCTTTCTGATCATTTTTGAACTTACGAATTAAGGAAAGTCAGGACTCACAAACAACCATAAGGTCAATGACAAATTAATCTTGAGGGTTGTCAGGACTTCAGGAGAGACCATAAACAGATGTGTATTTAGTTTTCGACGTATCTTTAGACTATTAGGTCTCTGATGCGCCACGTGTAAGTAAGCACAGTGGGACTTACAGATAGGATTTACAGATGCCCTGACTTGTGTCGAAATGGACGCTTTGAAACGTTTAACAGATAAATAATGAGACTGAGTGGAGAAAGGGAAAGTGAAGGCTGTTGACCAAAGACATGGTTGAAGAGATAGAGCTATTCTACATCTAACCTTGTCTCTTTTTCCTTGGTGCTTAGCCCTAGGATGACAACAGCACAAGAAAAGCAGTTTCCTCCGTCGCTGCAGAACTTTTTCATTTACAATCCAAAACTGGGACCAAGGGAAGGTGAGGTAGGTATGAAATTTAAACTCACTAGGTGCCGGATGGATTGAGAGTGAGTCGCTTGAATCTAAGGCTTGAGCATTAATGGTCTCAATTGTGAGGGGGGTGGAATAGTGGTTGTGCCTGGTTGGAAAATGTGTTGTGTTTCTCTGCACCTTCCCACAAAGCGGCAAACTGCTGATAGAAAAGGCTCCTGGAATGAGGACGATTGCAAGTTCAAAGCATTATCATAACTACCATCCTCACAAAGTCCTGGGCAGAGGTTTGGAGATATCACAGCCATTTTAGAGTTTGCAATGTCATTACCACTCTTATCTCCACAAGTAACCCAGCGTAAGTTGAGTTTGGTATGTGCTGAGATAGCTGATCTCAGCTTGAGCAGCATTTGAGGTGCCCAGTTTCCCTCAATGCCTATTTTGGTTCAGGAGGGGGACACCAGCTTGCTATCCAGGCAACTGCACCCCCAGATGAAAGAGATCCACATGTGGATAATGGACAGGATCAAGATTGGCCTTATGTTCTCGGACATTCTGCTAACACCCACTGCCAAGGCAGTACTGGAAGGAGAAGTCCCAGTAGAAGGGGAAAAAATAGTTGAGCGCTTTCAGGAGGAATTGGGAGAGAGGTGATTGTGACCCTGATGTTCTTTGTGTTCCAGGAAGAGAAAAAGATCCTCTTTTATCACCCTACTGAGGTTGAGAAGAATGAAAAAATTAGGAATGTTGGATTGTGTGAAGCAATTGTTCAGTTCACAAGGTAAAATTAATCAATCGATTTACTACCATTCACAAAACACGCATCCCAGATATGAGTTTATAACTCAACTATTAGACCAGGTTTCCACTTTCCTACTTTTCAAATAATATACCCTTGCATTGATGACACATCCTGTCGTTTCGCCCACAAACTACACAGTCAAACCACTTTACAATATGTTCTGAGAAGTGCTTTGAAACATCTCAATGACGTGATAAAGCGCTATATCAAATGCAAGGATTATTATTATTGTCTTGCATTCATTTTGTGATAATACTTTGCTTTTACAAAGCGTGTTTCACGTTGGGAGGATATCTAAAAGAGTTTCACGCAGGTGACTGGGAGCCTGAGCTGCCGAGCTCAACGGAACGGAAGAAAATGGACTTGCATCTTGAGACGAGATGGAATTTCATGTTTTTGGAGTATACCAAGTTCGGGATAATTTTCAGTGATTTTTCTTTTCCCGTTCACAGGACCTTCTGTCCCACCAAACCTGCAAAATCCTTACACACCCAGAAGAATCGACAGTTTTTCCATGAACCGGAGGAGAGTTTCTGGATGGTTATGGTACACGCTACTTGGCATTCTGCAGAAAGGTTTTGTGAGGGTTTCGCTGGAGCAGTTTGGCTTGTTGACCTGAATAGCTGCCTCCACAAATGGCGCAATGTGTAAAGCCATGGTTGATGAGTGTCTGAGCCATACAGAGCAGGAAGGTCCCAAGTTTGATTCCCTCGGGGTTTGTGCTGAGTTCGTTGAACTTTCTTGGAGTGACAGTAATTGATCTGCAATTGACTCAACACTCTTTACTCCACACGCACGCCTCTGTTTACCTGGCAGTAAGTAGGAACCCAGTTGTTAGACAATTGGTGAATCGCTTTCCTGGGCTAATAATCCTTCCAAAATATAATAATTTGGTCATTCAATTCACAACTGTTGTGGGACACTGCTGTGTGCAATTGGCTGCTGCATTCACAATAAAATATACAGCCTTTATACACTTTACAATGTATTCTGTGAAGCGCTTTGAGATAGCTCAACATCTCAATAGGATTATTATTTTTGTTATTAGGGCTTCGGAAGAAGATAATTACCTGGGTTCCTGTTCCTGATTGCCTCTTTGTGATGTTAACCCATCGTTTTAACAACTTGATAACTGCTTTCTTCTGTGGTATTTTTGGATTTATTTGCTTCAGCAAACTTTGAATCCCAGACCTTACATTGTGGAGCATTTTCTCGTTCAGTTTTTTAAAAAATGCACAAAATTGACTTTTTAAATAGAATTAAAAAGAAAAGATCGGGTTGGAAATCTGAACTGCAGCGGAACATTTTGAAAATGTTTTGGAAACATGTGGCAGCTAAAAGAGAAAGCAGGTTGAAAAGTTTTGAAATACTTTGTGGTTTAGCATCTTCTCGCTCTCTCCTTTTCCCTTTTGCTCTCCCTTTCTCTCTTTCTCTTCCCTCCCTCCCTCCATCCTTCTCTTTCCTTCGCTTGGCTCTTTTTCCCTAACCTACCCTTCCATCAGTGTACAAGGTTAGTTAATTAAGGCTAATTAATTTACCAAGTACTGTTATTTATTTATATCTGTGTGTTTCCAGGTAGTATCTAATCCTATTATTGAAAGGGTTAATAAAGATGGAAGCACTGTTGTGGAATACCAGGAGGATGAATTACTGGTTAGTTTGTGTCTCGCTCATTTCAAACGTTGTTTCAGTATTTTAAAGACCTACCATTTTGATCTCCCTTCACACCCTGGCACCTTCTTACGTGTCCAAATTGCTTATTCCCCACGCTCCGCTCAGCTGGCTCCAGCCTCCTGCATGACCCTCGTCTCTCCTTTCCAACAACGGTGGCTGTGCCTTCAGCCCCTACTCCCCGAAGCTCTGGAACTCTATCCCTCAACCTTCCGCCTTGCTTCCCCAATTTCACATCACGCCTTAAGACGGCTCCTGTACGGTCCCCTCCCCCTGGCTTGGCGTCAGGCTCGAACACTTTAAGCGATTCCAGACGCTATCCTGCTTGAAGTGCTCTATATAAATGCAAGTTGTTGTTCATCAATTTCTTGAGTGCTTTAACAGTCTGCATTCAAAGCTCAATCTCATGTTCACTTTAAACGATCCTTAAAAAACACTCAATGAGTTACTGGGATAAGTCCATACTTATAATTGTAACATCATCTGTATGAACCTTTCCTGTAACATCTTCAATGCAATTTGTTTCTTGCTCATCTTATAACACAGTAACCCTATGTTTTAGGATACGGTCTACGGGGCTGTGATACAGCAGTGCTACAGTATGTACAAAGTAAGGACAGTTATTTTCTTTGCATTGTTTACTTCCCTCCAACTGGCTGCTCTCCCCACTTTAATGTCTGCTCCTGCCTTTTTGCTCAGCTTTTCAACGGCACCTTTGCAAGATCCATGGAGTTGGGAGGTGTGGAACTGCTGATTCAGAAGCTGGAGAAGTTTTTCTTCAGGGTAGGCACCTTGATTCCTTCCTTAGCTCAACCTTACTTACCCTCTATCTTATATAGTTCCTGAAGCATTACGGTCACCGAACCCCCCCCTCCCCCAGTCTCGGCATTGTGCTCCACCGCTGTCACAAGCCCTGGGATGCTACCCTGCATGAGAGGTGCTATATAAATGCAAGTTGTTGTTGAAGGGCAGGGCCATAATGTCTGAAAGCTCAGCCACCGACTATGATATTGGGTGAAGAGAGGATCAGGACCACTTGCGATGAATTGAATAACCCTCCAAAACCAACTATCGCATGTGAAGACTGAGACAAGAGTAGCTGGCTTCACGAGGGGAGGAAATTGATGGTGGGTGGGGAGGAAATAATAGATTGTGAACAATTTACATAGCACGGAAACAGGCCATTGGTCCCAACCAGTCCATGCCGGTGTTTATACTATACTGCACACGAGTCTAATTCCTCTTGGCTTCTTTTCCGTCTCTCTTCTCCCCACTCCTCCCTCAGTACCTGCAAACATTGCACTTACAGTCACGTGATTTGCTGGACGTGTTTGGGGGAATCAGCTTCTTCCCTTTGGATAAAATGACGTACCTGAAAATCCAGTCGTTTGTCAACAGGATGGAGGAGAATCTGAGTCTAGTGAAGTACACTGCGTTTCTGTACAACGACCAGCTCATCTGGTATGCTGGATGGGGGGGGGACAAGCAATATCTTAGTCAATACTGGGGTCTCTAACATGTGCTCTCAATTTAGAAATTCCAACCCTTTTCTCTGATAATCCCTCCAAAAAAGAATCATTCTTCATGACCGTTTGTGAGACACTGTTGTGTGCAATTGGCTGCCGAGTTTCGCCCACAAAATAAGTCAATTTACAGCAGATTCTGTGAAGCGTTTTTGAGACGTCTCGCTGACGTGATCAGGCGCTATATAAAATGCAGCGATTATTATTATCACTTGGACTGTGCTTATGGCCCTTTCCACCTTTCCCCTCTCCCTATGCCGTGTCCCTTACTCAGCCACTGCCCCACCGTTGTGAAGCGCTCCAAGACGTTTCCCCACATGAAGGGTGCTGTGTAAATGAAAGTTGTTCTACGCACAGTGGATTTGAGTACGAGGCTTTGTTGCAGTAATACTAACCTTACCAATTCCAGTAAGACTACCCAGCACTAGTAATACAACAGGCGGTGGGTGATTTTAACCGGTCCTGGTAACTCCAGCAAAGATAGGTAGGAAATAGAAACTATTGAAGAGTCGGTGACAGATCCTGTATTGTGATCTTATTTTCAGGAGTGGACTTGAACAAGATGATATGAGAATCCTCTACAAGTATCTCACAACCTCACTCTTCCCCAGACACATGGAGCCTGAGGTACTTTTAAATACAGTACATTTATTTTCCTTCCTGCATCTCAACCACCTCACAAGGGTCAGCATCCTCATTCTTCAGGTAGAATCGTGCAAGCTCTGTTGACAAACCCAAAACACTCCTTCGCCCATTCTCACCCATACATTCCTTTTCCATTATGGGGCCTTGCAAAGTAAACAGGCACGGATTCCCTGGCTGAATTTGCCATTGCTCACCCTCCAGAGCCCAGTGCTACCAAGTCTAGTTGTAGTCCCAAATGCTGAGATAAGCTAACTCAACACACCGGCCTATGCAGCTCAACACTACCTGGGTTTACCCACATGGTTATTGCTTAAAGCTCTCAAATGCATCTCTTACCTGGCTTCAGGTTTATTAGCAACACATCGTTCAATGATACTCAGAACTCACATTTTGTTAACATCACTTGCCTGATGGGGACAGTCCAGGGCACTTACTTTGTGTTCTGTGCTGTGCTTAAAGTTGATAGGTCGAGATTCGCCGGGGAGAGGAGGAATGACGGGAAACCTCCATCACTATGGAAGGTACATGGACTTCATTTTGTGTTCTGATGGTGAATCTAAATATGAATCCGGGGTCACCAGCTGATCAAGCATAATCAAAAAGACAAGAGGAAGGAGCTGTGTCAATATTTAGCCCAATTGATCACAACAACAACATTGCATTTATAGAGCGCCTTTCACGTCGGGAGGACGTCCCAAGGCGCTGGAAGCCACAAAGCCAGATGCACAAAGCATTCTATGCATCTGGAAATAAACTTTGTTTAAAACTGCAGTTTTGTTTAAAACTGCATCGCTCCTTGTTTTTATTGAGCATGTGCCAGATCCCACTTAGTGGCGATTGACCGTTGGAGACCCCTGTATTACATGAACATGCGGTGCTCCACACAAACAACATGTCACATTCTGGTGGTATAAATGTGGCCTGAAAACCCTTCATGGGCTTAGCTTTAAGACCACTGTCTTTTAATGGTTTCAGATTGTGCAGAATTTTCCGAAATGAGGAATTTCAGGCCTCGGAACTGCCTGGTGCTGAATCAATCAGTTACAGTGTTTACAGTACAGAAACTGCAAAGCAGTCGCACCCTGGCTTCCTCTACAGCCACACACAATGCTAACTGCACCAACTGGCTTGCTTTGAAACAAATCCCAAGAAGCCTGTGAACCTTCTCTTCCCCACTCCCCCTACACCACACTGCAATGAGTTTGATATCAGTATAAAACAGTCATTAAAATGCAGTGTGTTTTGTCCAGTTACATCCTTGAGCAAACCTCACTGATGGACTGATGTTCAAAATCCAGTCTAGACTGACAGCACCCGGCTCCCCATTACTTATAGGAGGTGTTGGGAGAGAAGCGTCTATCTTTGTTTGTGTGTAAGGGCGCGAGGGCGCAGTGTCTTATTTGACAGATTTTTCAAGTATGCCTCCTGGTGGCTTGGCCAAGGAGATGACAGTGTCTCCGAAGCTATCCCTGGACTGGACTTCCCTCCTGTCCAAGGAACTTACCGTGAATTATTGGGGAGGGAGGGATTGACGATGGACAGGTAATGAAACTAGTTTTCAAAATAAAGCCATGGGATTTCCGCGGTGCAGGCTGCCTGCTTGAATGGAGAAAAGCACTGAAATTCATAGAGCTTATTAACCTCTTAATTGGGATTGTGTAGAGGGTGATGATGTTCTTTGTCCTGTGCTCGTGCAGTGGGAGCTAACGACGTGACCAGCTGTGGCACAGCGTCACCTAATGGCCGAAGGAGACTGCATTAAGTGCCTGCGATTGATCACCGTGTAGTGACATCTGTCGTCAGCTACCAATTTGTACAACTGTTTGTCCTGCTTGTGTGTATATGTGTGTGTGTTGGGTGGTGGGGGGGGTTTAAGGGGCAGTTATTAGGTTTATCAGTAGTAGAAAATAATCTGGTGAAGAGTGGGGTGTTTTCAGTACACACCCCTCCTTTGAGTTATATTATCCTCAATGATTTTTCTTAAGAGAAAAAAACTCTTCTCAGTTTCGGAGCTGAGGCAGCGGAAAGGAAAGGACTTTTTAAATGCGATTCTAATCGTTAAATGTTTGATTTTTCTCAATGTGTAAGAAAGTAATTTAATTGTTGTGCTGAAATGAAATTCTTTTTCATAAAAACTGCATGGGGTGAAGTTCCATTAAACAGTGTAAGCCTTTCTCCTTACTTCAATTCAGCGACTTAAATCAATGTTCCGAATTCTACATAAATGGTTTCTATGCGACGCCTCTGCTTCTGGCCTGCGGATTTCTTGTGGAGTTTTTCCCTTGTGTGTGCATGCTCGTTCCTCCGCATTGCTGAGTGCTATCCTTGGAGTGCTATCCTCAGCTCATTTTTGTGTCTCTGAAGTTAATCCTGAGTGAAACATATCCCCAGTGATGTTCTTCCATCACAGGGGCCATTTGAGTTTCATCACTTGTGTGTGTGTGTGTGTGTGTGTGTGTTGAAAGCAAGGCTTATTCTACCAATAACAGCGAGGTGTAAGAGACCAGTTATGCTGTAGCCGTTGACCTCAAGGCCTGAACGATTCTAATCATCAAATGTTTGATCTTTCTCAGGTTTCTGACTGGCCCGAGTAATATAAATGATCCGGAAATCCCAATAAGATTCCCCAGAATCTTTGTGAACACTAAAGATAAGTACGAGGAGTTGCACCTGATTGTCTACAAGGTGAGACTGAGGTGCCCTTTCATGTTTTTAACCGCACAAGGCTAAGGGTAAGCTTTTGCTGCATTGCAGTTTGGTGAAATAACTGTATGAGAAACCATTGGTAGAAAGTGCAGTTATATTTTTTACTTTCGTCCCCTTCTTTGCCCCTTCCCCATTTGCCCCTCCTATAATTCTTCCCACCCCCAAATGTTCTCCTTTCCTTACTCCGCTGGAGTCTAGTTCCACACGCACACATGCACCCTACAGCGCCCAGATTGCCACAGAACCATGGACAAGTACAACACAACAGGAGGCCGTTCGGCTCACATTTTCATGTTGGTGTTTCCTTCTACAAGAAGATGTCATTTTTAGCCCAATTCCACGCCTGTTCTTAATGTGCAACTCCAGATAATGAGCCTCAGTAGCTGTTTAACTAATCTCGTCAATTTTGTCTCCGTGAGAAGTGATGGTGTGGGGAGAGCTGAGCAGTGATGGATGATAAGCAGGAACCTAGTTATTTTGTCCCTTCACCTAGCGCAGAAACACCGAGCTAGTTATTCAATGGGGTGTGTTGATGTGCTTTGACCCGTATCATCATTGTGAATTTTCTATGTATTGTGTACAATAGAAGCAGGGATTTTTCCCAGAATCATTTGATAAACATAAAAGTTCTCCAGCTGGAATGGGAAGCAACAATCTATCCTTTTGTTCTGTCCTAATGAGGCGAGTTTTACCCAGTTAACAAGGCAACTGAAGCGGGTCTAGACATGTGTAACTGAGCTCTACCTCAATAACTCCAAGCTTGTGGACCGGCCAAAACAAATTTGCAACACCAATATGATACCAGCCTCAGTCGCTATGTGTGCCCCTTTGTGATGACCGTTGATTGATGGCTGCATTGTTCAGAGAACTGAGAAAAGTTCTTTGGTAATGCAATTTTGATGCAAAATGGTAACTGTATACAGCAACACCTGAGCTATTTATTGGATGAGGATGCGATGGAAATTCTGCAGTGAGTTTAATGCTCCTCCATTGATCCAGGCGGAAATGGGAATCTAGGCCCGTTGGTAGCACTACGATAGTCAGATTTGCATTAAAGAGATTTTGTTCAGGTTGTCAAAGGTTTAACTAGAATTCTCGCAGGAGCTCTCCAATGGAAAGATATAGCTTATATAGGAGAGCTCTAGAGGGAAAGCAAGCATCAGCACAGGCACCATGAGTCGAATAGTTGACTCCTATACTAGCTTTCTCGCTGGAGCTATCTGTTCTGTGTTCTTTTCAACGTTGATATGGATTAATCTAGAACAGACATACATGATACGTATTTCACCCACGAAATACATAGTCAATCCACTTTACAGTAAATCCTGTGAAGCGCTTTGAGACTTCTCAATCACGTGATAAGGCACTGTCAAATGCAGCGATTATTATTATATTTCCATATTCTAATCCTTTGTGTCAAAATGCTTCTTCCAATTTGCCCCATTTTGCTTCTGGTAGTAATCAGGTTACTCTCTTTCTCTACTTCTTTCTCTGTTTACCCTATCCTTTCGATAGTTTCTATTCACACTATAAATGATAATTCTTGCAATTGATGCGGTGCCTATATGGCCTCTTTTTGTACTGTCAATGCTCTGTGCTTCTGCTATATGTACTGGTCAGGTTACACATTGTAATTGAAATGTATAAATGTTCTGCTTCTGTTTCCAGGCCATGAGTGCCGCAGTTTGTTTTATGATCGATGGTGAGTTGCTTTCTCGGAAAGTCCTGTTCTACTTTAGATTTTGTAACCACGTGCGTCACATTTAGTCCCCTTCTGAAAGTGAACATCTGAGAGTATAGGGCAACCCCATTAGAATATTCCCCCCACACCCCCAATCTTTTTAGAGCAGGCTCCCTAATAGCACTGTGTCCTGTGGACCACGTTAATCAAAATGGTGGTTCACCCGGCTTACTTCACACACTCAGGAATGGCTGACACTTGGGTCATGGGGTCACCATTGATGACATTTTCTAATTGCACACGTGCGCAAAAAGTGTGCAGACTTCTTCACCAGGAAGTGACGACCCATTTTTTCGCACTTTATGTTATGAGGGCTGCCCCTGAGATATTGGACCCGGATTACTGTTTTCTAACGATAAAGGTTTGCCCTGTAAATACAGACAGATATTTGTGCATCTCTGGACAACTGCCTTGGTTTATGCCACTTAATACAGGGATCTATCAAGGCTCAAATCATATTACGTTATTAATTTTTAAGTGCATCACAAATGAGCATGAAATAGATGCCGGGTATTTCCATCAGAAATCTGCTGATTCCCATAGATTTGAGAACACTTTAGATGCTGATCTTCTCATCTTCAAACACATTGTGCTCCTTGGGTCTTCCAATGATGATTTAAAAATTGCCTTGGTTTGTTTTGACAGCCTCAGTGGAGATGACGAGGGAATTTTGCCAGAAGCTAGACAGCCTTGTGGGCCCACAGCTCACTCTGCTGGCGTCTGACATCTGCGAGCAATTCAACACCAACAAACGTCTGTCAGGGTTAGTTTGCTCACATTCTCCATCCCGGCAGGCTGTGATCCACAAATGACTGTGTTATTGGGAGCATTGTCTCTCTATTCTGTGCACCTGGTCTGGTGCTGAATTGAACGTTGACCCTGGTCCCACCACTAATGCCAACTGACCTGAAACGGTCAACCACGTCTGGTATTTATGCCCCTTTTCACGCAAAGGGTAGTGGAAATCTGGAACTGTCTCTCCCAAAAGGCTGTGGATGCTGGATCCATTTAATTTTTTAAGACTGAGGTGGGTAGATTTTTGTTAGGTAAAAATATCAAGGCATATGGGGCACAGGTGGTTATTTTGAGTTGAGGTACAGATCAGCCGAGATCTAATAGAATGGCGGAATAGAATCCTGTTCCCATGTTCCAATGGAGTCATTGATACGTTCTTCATATTGATTAGCTTTGCCTGACGTTTTAATTGACCCCGAGTCCTCAGATGGTGCCTAAAAGACAAACAGCCTGAGCTTCGCAATAAAATAAGAAACAGTACAGCAATTGGCTCATTCGCTGTCGAACAGGGTGATTCATGTCCTGTTCACGCTTGTCAAAAGCATTTTTAATGGGATTTGTATCTATTACCTGCTGTCAGGGATCAAACTATATTACGTTATTAATTTTTAAGTGCATCACAAATGAGCATGAAATAGATGCCGGGCATTTCCGTCAGATATCTGCTGATTCCCATAGATTCATGGAACACTTTAGATGTTGATCAGCTCATCTGCAAATACAGCACAATAGGCAGAACGTCTTTAGTTATCCGATCCCCTGTTTATGGCTTGTGGATCATTCACCAATTCAGAAACAAAAAAAAGTTGTAGTGTGCACTTTGTTCGCCTACCTTCTCTTCTCCTTCACTTTCCTCTCCCAGTCACCCTCTGGCTACTCGCCAAAGTCTTCACGACTGAGCTGTGGCGGTGAGTATCGGCTGTTTACCTATGAAGCCAGCCTGACACCTAAACCTTTTCAGCTGGAGTCACTGGGTAGTGACGTGGAGCAAGAACCCTGGCATTTATTTCCCCCCCCCCCTTCCCTAACCCAGGGGCACTGAGGCCAATTGCGATCATCACCCAGCTGATCAGATGTATGGTACAGGTAGTAAATGTATGGAACAGGCTCCCTAGGGAGACGGTGGAAGTACAAAGTCTCAATTCTTTCAAAAGCAAATTAGAATGGTTTCTTTTAGGAAATAATATCTTCGGATGCAGGATATAGTTTGTCTTTTAGGCACCTATCTGATGTTCATGTGACTACCAGGATGGTGGAACCTCTTATGTTCTTATCAATTAACTCATCACTGATTTACATAGTGTCAGAGACTTTTGTACTTTGGTAATAATTTCTCAAAGCAGCTTACCAAGAAATGACTTTGGCATGGTTTAACCCAACGAAACCGAACGGGCCTATTTGTAAATTCCTTTTGCTGGACAACGCCTTAATGTTCGATCTGCTTATTTTCCAGGCCTGAAAAGGAACCACATTTCAAATTCATATACTTCAATCACATGAACCTGGCTGAGAAAACCACAATTCACATGCGTAAAACAGCCAGCATGTGCCTGACCTCAGTCCACCCAGATCTTATGAAGATCCTGGGAGATATTAACAGTGACTTCTCAAGGTACTATATTTATTTCAAATTGGCAGTAACTACCAATGTAACAAAGTCAGTTGCTATCAACTAAAGTGTCTTGACCTCGGCTTCATTCAGTAAAACACTATTATAGCATTTCGCCCACAAAATACACAGTCAATTGTTGTCATTGTACGCAGAGCGGACGAGGACGAAGAGATCATAGTGAAGGCAATGACAGATTACTGGGTCGTCGGCAAAAGATCGGACCAGCGGGAGCTTTACGTCATCTTGAATCAGAAAAATGCCAATTTGATTGAAGTGAACGGTAAGATCTTTCACATGGGAGCAATGGGTTCTGTCTGTGCAGGAAGAGAATGTCAGGGTCCCAGAGTTAATCACTGTGCTGAGTGTGTTGATCTTAGTTGGGGCAGACATTGGGACACTACGATTGGACTCAGCAGCCCTGGCTTAGGAAGGAAGTTACATTAAATATTTTCACGAGGCTCCCTAATTTGTAGTGAATTGAATTAACCATTTCCTGGGCTATTGGGAAGTGATTGGAGATGTACATTGATAATAATAATTCTTGCATTTGATATGGCACATTATCACGTTAAGTTGTCTCAAAGCGCTTTGAATAATAATAATGTCTTATATTACTAATAACCTTAAAATTATCTTAAATTAAAATTGCTACATCACCAATGTTTATTTTTGAATTTTTTTCCCTGCCTTTTTTTGTCGCCAGAGGAAGTCAAGAAACTTTGTGCGACTCAGTTCAATAACATTTTCTTCTTGGATTAATGATTGCTGAGATTGCCGCTTGTAACCACGTCTACAGATGGAATGTGAGTTTCCTGCTTAGTCAGATATATAAGGTTAACTGCGTGACGTTAAATGGGACACGAGGCTCCTTTAGCTCTAGACTGCGAGGTCATCGGGCTGATAATAAACCAGCCTTCAGCAAGAAGCCCCAGCTACACCCAGGAATTTGCAGCGGCTGATATAGGAAATCCTCATGGAATGTAAAATAATGTTAAGATTTTAAATATTTATCATAATTAATAGAGAAACGGAATTAAAGAACGTCAACTTTATCCACTCCACTCCTGTAATTTATGACAAACTTGTACTGTAAAATAAATTTACAGTAACGCTTGAGTGAGATTTTTAATTCATTTCCGTGTACGTGTGTGTATTTGGGTTTATTTATGCATTAACCCTCAATACATGGGTTAGAAATTTTCAATTCTTGAAGGCAAGATGTAAATAAGTCTTTTTACATGATATGAATTATTTGTCCACTTAAAAGATATGGATTTTGATTTAGGTGTTATTCTGTATTTATGATTCTGTAATAGTTTCAACAACAGTACATAAAGGTGGTTGCAGTAAATTGGTAAACTTTTCATGATTTCTTGAAATCAAGACTGCATTTTAGTATTGCATGCATAATGTTTACTAATTTTGCATGTAAAACTTGACGGATTATCTGTATTTTTTACTCCCGATACTCCGTTTATGTGATCCGTAAAGAAACTGACCATTAACAAAGCCGTACAGTTTCTAGATTCGTATTTGATACTATTTTTCAAAAAAAAATATTTTCTCACAAAAAAGCCAGGAAATAGTTTGCATTTTTTAAAAATCTTTGCACACGAAACAGGCAGCTGAATAATATAGTTCCTATCACAGCTTTAAATAAATGAGTTTCATGGTCAGACTGCTGCTGGTCCTTATAGCGTTTGTTGTATTTTGCCAATTATATCAGGGCTTATTCAGCTCCTCGTGAATAACACAATTTCTCTCAAAGGCTCACCTGAGCAGTTCCATTACTATGACAACCTGCCCATAATATTGGACCCATAGAGACCCAGGTTCAATCACTGGTTGGACTTAGCTGATCTTAGCTGTGGTCCTATACTTGACCACAATGCCCCTGTGAGAAGGAGGGGATCAATCCTACTGTTTTTCACTCTTTCCTCACATACACACTCACAAAGTAGAAGTATGAGAACAGGACCAGGCTTGGCTGCAATTCCCCCCCCCCCACAAACAATCCAAAACAGTTGCATTGGGTAAAAATATCTAATCTCTCCCTTTGTTTAGGTGATAATCTTTATTGCCCTTTACCGTACTTACTGATTTAGTCCAGTGGAAATAGTTATTCCCTCTACCTCAAAAACTCTGATGGAACACCTACATCAGGTCTCCTCAATCTTCTGGTGAAAATTGCTCCAGTGTCTCTACTCACAGAAATGAAGTCTCTCATCTTTGGTATCCTTGTGAATCTCCTCCATGGTTTTGCCAGCTTTAATAAAGTCAGGGAGCAAGCCAGAGGGGAGCCGATGTAAAATAAACCTCATCCTTAAATAATGTTTCTTAAGGTGTAAGAAATGTGCTACCTGTAAATTTTGAACATTTTATTAATCACCAAATGTGAGTTTTACCATCGCCAAAGCCCTGATGAATACTGCAAACAAATAAGTGTTCCACCTGTTAACTGTTATTCTTTCTCTTCCTCATTTCTCCGAAGGTTTGTGTGGGAAAGCTCAGTGCTGATTTATAATTGTGACGATGCATATTTTGAAATAAAATGTGTCTGCACTATGTGAGACTCTTGTTCTTCTGCAACTTACCACACAGAACTGCATTATAATAATAATAATCCTTGCATTTGATACAGCGCTTTTCACGACGGGAGGACATCCCAAAGCGCTTCACAGAACACACTGTAAAGTGAATTGAATTGACACAAGGGCTTTAAACCACAACCTTTTCGCTCAGAGGAGAGACTAACACACATTGACGTAGTATAAAGTTTCCTAACTTATGTTTTTTTCAAAAAAAACTCATCCACAGGGTCAGGGAGGGGGGAAATCAGCCAGGGATCATGTCATTCTCACCTCCTGCTGGATTTGCATAAGCAAATCTGTGTATTTGGAGATGAGAACATGGTTGATGGTTTGTAAGTGTCAGCAGCAGTAACCCACAGTTGCACAAGACCCATCTCCAAAAAGGGTCAGATACTGATAATGGATAGTTGAGTCAGCTGTGCTTCACCTTCCACTAGGGTGTGGCACTATGGAGCCAGTAAATTCCAGTGAGATCAGGCTCTTGGTGTGGTCATGTCATTAACGAAGCATTCAAAAAACAAAACGATTAGAAAATAACAGTAATATTTGCAACAGAGAGAGCGAGACCAACATTTAAACTAAAATTGCTTTGACCTACACTCAACAGCAGTCCTTCATAAAAAAAGGGCAGTGTGGAACATAAGATCAGACAAAAATGTAACATGACTGGAAGGTTCAAAAGAAATAAAGCAGGAAATTCTACATACAATATATATGCTTTACAGCATATCTCGTGAAGCGCTTTGAGATGTACTCCAGGGGCACTATATCAAATTATTATTATTTATGCTATGAGGTTTGATTTCAAAACATGAAGGCATTTGAGAATAAAAAAGTGTAACAATGCTTGAGTTTGAAAGTCGAGTGAAATGTGCTTATCAAATGTAATATCAACATGTATATCTGAGGGGTTTAAAACACTTTAAAATAAATGAAAAAATTAACATTGTGGCAAAACAGAGAAACAGCAAAAAAGCATCAGAAAGCAATGCGATATGCAAAAGTGACCTCTAGTGTTCATTATCTGCATGTTGTAAAAGGTTTATCAGCTCTGGTTTTCAAAGGCAAATCACAAGATAATAATAATTGTAAAGTTAAATAACCTTTTAACTTCCCACATTTAATAAACGCTAAACTTTGACGTGAAACTTTACTTAACCTTTACTTAAATAGTGTTTATTCATTTCTTTAGTGGCAGAACAATGCCATTTCTTCTAATGATCTGAGAATTGCTCTTAAACCAGGGTAGAAAATATCATGGGAACACTCAGCAGATCAGGCAGCATCTATGAAGAAAGTGAATCAACGTTTCGGGTCCACAACCCTTCGTCAGAACAAGACCCTTCGTCTTTTGTGGATCCAAAACATGTTGACTCACTTTCCTTTCTCCATAGTTGTTGCCTGACCTGCTGAGTGTTCCCAGCCACTTCTGTTTTTGTTTCAGATTTCCAGCATCTGCAGTATTTTGCATTTTGTAGAAAATATCATAGTTTCTATACTTTGGAACCTTCACATATGAATTGAAGGTAAAACAATAGTATGCTGAAACAATAAAAGGTTTTTTATTTGAATTATCTTTTAATGAAAAGCAACGGCTCAATTTCAAGACTGCTTGGTTTTTAAATGGATTTCTTCTTCTTTTTGTTTACTCCAGATTTGCTGGTGCCAGATACAGTGTTAGATATCGGGCTTTCCTTTTTTGGTAGAGGAGTGTTTCCATTTTCCACACTCTGCTCAGGGGAATAGGTTTCTCGTAAAACTTTAATTTCCTCTTCTTGTTTGGTGGTGTTCTCTTGTTCGCACACACTGTAACAACAAATTGTATTTATACAGCATTTATATCACATGAGGAGGATATCCCAAGGCGCTGGAAGCATGTAAGTAAGAATGCCACATTACCTGTTACTTTCCAGAACCGATGAGAGGTAGGGAATTTTGAGATGGTGGGGAACTTAAGACAGTTTACGTGTCAGTAAATGCCTTCATTACTACTCACTAAGGAAATGCTGCATATTCTGAAATGCAACATCTAAAAGCTTATTGTATGAAGAATGTTGATACAGTAACATACTAGTACATTCAAAAGTCAGTCGGACCAATTAAAATCTACGAATCTAAATGCTAATGCTAGCTAGTAAGTCAGGTATCGCTGGGAGTAAATGTTAGGAATCGTGCACTGTCAATAGCATTTTACTGAATGAAGCATAACTAAATAGTGGATAACTAGTTCCTCAGGAGGAGAGATCATAAACGAAAGGGGCAGAATCTTAAAATTTGCGCAGTTAGAATTGAGATCAGAAAGCATTTCCAGGCTAACACGTAATATGTATTTGATATAGCGCTTTATCATGTCGTTGAGATGTCTCAAATTGCTTCACAGAATATATTGTAAAGTGAATTGACTGTATTTTGTGGGTGAAACGTGGCAGCCAATTGTGCACAGCAGTGTCCCACAAACAGTCAATGGATTGAGTGACCGATTTTTTTGTTGTAGGGATTATTACCCCCAGAAAGCAATGCTCTAACTGACTTAACAACCAGGATATCAAATGTAAGGATTATTATTATAGGGAATATTATTTATTCACAGATATCCAAAAATGTGGAATGCGCTGCCTCAGAAAGACACAAAAGATTGAATAACTGCGATGTTTAAGCAGAAGGTAGATAGATCTTTGGGAAGTGATTAAAATATATGAACACATAAATAATATATACATTTTTAAAAGTATTTTTCTCTTTCCTGGGAACACTACTTGCCAGATATCTACCCATCCCAGACAAGATTTACTTCAGTTAAATCCTGGACCCCTTCTAAAATTAATCCAATCTCCTCCCAGCATGGCGCTGGAATTACCTGGTTAGGAATATATAATAATCCTTGCATTTGCTATAGCGCTTTATCACGTCTTCAAGACACCTCAAAGCGCTTCACAGGATATACTGAAAGTGTAGCGACAGTGTATTTTGTGGGTGAAACACAGCAGCCAATTGCGCATAGCAGTGTCCCACAAACAGTGAGTGACCAAATTATCTTTTTTGAAGGGATTAGTATCCTACGGAATTAAGATTTGTTTTAGTCACTTGAACATTACCTAGTTGGTTCCGATACTTTTAATTTAGCCAAGTGATCCAGCTCTTTCTGTCGCAATTTAAGTTTCTTTGCCTCCACTTTGAGAACTTCATTGCAGTCATAGGCAGGAAATAGCTTCTTCATGAAGAAAATGTAAATCTGATTTAACCACAGTTCAAACACATTTGTGGTTTCAGTTTGCTTGTCTGAAAACAATAGCATAGGAGAAAAGAAAATTGATTAAACTATTAATGACTTATAATGTAAGAACTATTTCAATAGGCACTAGGTGAGGCCCTGAGTGTTGGTTAGGGAGTGCTCGTCACAGTCAAACCCACCTCACATCCACACGTGAACATTTTACAGCAGGCATTACTGATTATTAATACCTTGGCTGTTTCTTCCTCTTCTGGGAATACTGAGGATGACTGTCTATTCTCATTGCCACTCTGGCTCAGATTAGCTAACTCCACACAACTTCGCAAGGATCGAACTTGGATGGCCTACAAGGTTCACGTGGTTCATTTATTTTCAGACATTTTGGGACCTCATCCCAGTATATCTTCTCTCAAACGGTCATAAGATTTGATGGTCACAAAACAAGGCGTTTGCTGTAGACTAAGCCTACATAGACTATGGATGGAACAAACCAGTCTTGAGGAAGCTATGTGAGGTACATGATGGAATAAAAGGCTTGGATTTTCTTTTCTCTTGGTCTACATGTATCGTTCAGAATAAATATGCTGATTTCTCGCAGGGTACAAACCAGATATTGTAATCCACATTGCCACAATTGTGCCCGCCAAAACATCCAGCAGCCCTTTGGAACTATGTGCCCTGCGGGTTCTTGACTATTAACACTTGCAAGCGGCTATAACCCTGGCCTCACAAAATAATTTGGAAGAGACCATCCAAGCATGTATAGCCAGGCTGTACAAATGTAATTCGTTCCTGTTGTTGTAGTGGGAAACACCGGTGGTAACATTGCAAGTTACAAACCCAGTTGTGAAGCTGAAAGAATATGACTTTTATTTTACGAAAACTCTTCACTCCCAATTACTGTTGAAAGTTATAGTTGGAGCCTTGTCCCATTGAGTACTGCAGACTTTAAACAGGCACTTTGCAAAATGTTGCTCATGGAAATAAGACCAGCCTTAATTTATTCACCTGATTGTGCCACAGACTCAGAACTGCGATTCGTTTCCACTACAACTGGTGGTTCCATTATCAAGATAGATTCCAAGATGGTTTGCATTCTATCATCTTCCTTGTAATTCAGAAGTTCTGTACCTGGCCTACTGGAATCTAAACACATCAAAAGGAATGAGGTACAACACTAGATTCTATAAAACTACTAACAAGTCAATCTGTTTTTTTTAGGGATAATAATAAACAATAAGCAATTTTGATACAACGTATTTCACATAGGGAAAACATTTCAAAATACTTCCCAGTATTTGCTATAAGTGGACACTGTGTATTTTGTAGGTAAAGATTATTTTAAAATCCATCCCTCTCCCTGCATAAATAATCTTCCTTTCTTTTGATACAGCACATTTGAAGAGGACATCTCCTGATATAGATAACAATATTACTTGCGTTTGATATAACGCCTTATCACGTTGTCAAGACGTCTCAAAGTGCTTCACAGGATATACTGTGAAGTGCAGTGACTATTTTGTGATCAAACACGGCAACCAGTTTGTATACAACAATGTCCCACAAACATCCATGAAGTGAATGCCCAATATTATTTAGGGGATTGTTGCCAAGACACTGGGAAAAACTCCCTTCTTTTTTCGAATTATTCCATGGGATCTTTAATGCCCACCTGAGCAGGCAGACGGGATCTTGTAATCACGTGTAATGTTTTAACCCACAAACTTCCAATCTAATTTTGAGTGTCCTACCAACTAAATCAGTGAAGAAAACTAGGGCCAACTTTCCCCACTATTCTACCATTAGATTATTTATTTATTAAAAAAGTTTAAAATATGAATAGTAGAACACTAAATACATTTCATTATAGTTTCAAGTGTTTTCTGTGTTTACAATTGTATTTTCACCCGCTGAACATACCCTGATTGGGTTTCATACTGGATTGGATTCCAGAATGTTTTTCTTGAATTCCAAACACCTTTGAAAACTCATCGTCTGACAATCTCATTCTCAATAACTAAAGAAACAATATTTAAAAAAAAAATTGTTATAGAAAGAGGACATGAAATTGTGTGTAATGTTTGTAATTAAAGGCTTTAATGCTCATTTAATGCATTTAATATAGAATGAAATGAGCACTAAACCTTTAATGTTCATTTCATCCTATATTGTCTACATCTATGCACACACACACACACACACACACACGTGTGTGACTCACACAGGCAGTCACACATGGATGATTTCGAGGTCAATTCAAGCACCCACATCAGCAGTCAACTATTCATCTATCACCAGTTTGTGGGCTAACCACATGAGGATGCATAAAATACGAAAGAACACTGCAATTTATAAAATTACAATCATATTTCTTTGCCAATATATTATTAAAAAGGTTCTAGATAAACCTCAGATCTCCTTGAACTGTCAATGGACGCTCGTTTATGGATGCTGGATCCACTCGAAATTCTCTGATTAGTTTCAGGAACATTTTGTTCGACATCCTAGTAAAAAACAATAGTTCATTTTGATTCTCACCTTATATTTCTCACACGTTCAAAATCGACTGAATGAAAATGGTAGCGCTGATATAGCAGGCATATTCACCCGAATAGGTTAATAAATAGGTTTAACACCTCATGCAAAGGACAGTACCTCTAATAAGGTAGAGCACTCCCATTACTGCATTGGTTTGGATTGTCAGTGAAGACAATTTGAGTTCAACATCCCGACGTGGGCTTGATCAAGCCCACAATCTCTTGATTCCGAGGCAAGAGGGCTACCAACTGAGCCAGACTAATACACAATGCACATATTTAATTAAGGAGCTTTCAATAAATATTTCTGAGCTCTGAACAGATTCACTTGATATATTCATTGTTTCTTTGGAGAAGGTAGGATGTCGAAGAAATACCCACATGGGCGGAAAATTGCTTTTAGATAGCCTTTTTATCTATCCTCCGACTAGATCTTCCCTTTGCACAACAGTTGAATGATTAAATTGTGTGTTGTGAGGTATAGATCCGTATTCGCTTGAGTTAGTTGATCTCATCCAGAGCAGTGGCACTACAAAGTCTAGTTCAGTCTTCATGTAATTATGGTCAATCAACGACCTGACACACAGTATAGGCTCACACAGTAATTAGCTCTTTATGCCCAAAATAACTGACAGCTATTGGTTCCCACGGAAATAATCGGCTAAACAAGTCAGGAAAGAACATGGGGAGAAGAACCAGTAACTAATGATTGTTATTAATCAACATTGATCATTAATGAATGATCAATATCCAGCCTTCCAAACATCATGCATTTCGCCCACAAAATATACAGTCAACTCACTTTATAGTATATTCTGTGAAGCGCTTCGAGGCATCACGAAGATGTGATGAGGCGCTATATGAAATGCAAGGAATTTTATTAGTATTATTATTATTATCACGTGTTTATAGGAGTTGAAAATTATTGATCTGAACATATCAGCTATACCCACTTTTTTTAATAAGATATCCATCTCATTACCTGCTCCCAAGTTCCAGCTATTCCAGCTGTGTCTGTAACCACACTCAAAGTATTCTTCAGGTCTGTAGGTGTTTCAGATTCCTTGATCACATCCTTAGTTACGTAAATCACTGCACAGCCGAGCAGGGAGTCCATAAATTCCAGAAACGTTATCTAAAGAAAGTTCCAAAATAACAATGAGTTTTTTTTCTACCTTTTTGTGCACAGCTTAGTGCTGGATTCTATTTGAACGGAGTCAGCAGCCTGAGTCAGGCAAAGTATTCCAAAACTTAATTATTCATGTGTTCACTCATATTATTATTTTTATTAAAATACCACTTTCACTCTAGGGCTACCGCTTTTACCTTGGTTCAAATCTGACTCCATCCCACCAAGCCAAAAAATAAAACTGTGACTCCTACACCATTCTACCTGTAGTGAAATGTATTTAGTGTTTTACCATTCACATTTTAAACTTTTTTTAATAAAATGGTAAAATGGTGAAAATGTAGAAAAAGACGCAATCGGCTTTATTTTAACACAAATTATGGAATATGGGTTCTTATTTAACTAAACATTTATAGGAAAGTGACTATACCCATTAAATCACTAAAGTTTGTATCACACTCTGATCTTATGATATACCTCCAGATCCATGTTAAAGTCACGGCCATTAGACACTGCAGGGTTGTCCTCTGAAAATAATCTCACAATTTGTCCAGGGGTTAAATCTATACTCAGGAGATCTAAATCCTGCAGTTAGAAAAGAACATTAAAACAGAATAAATGCTATTCAAGGATTTATTTACACAATAAGCCAAGCCATGTTGGTTTATTTTATATGCTATATTATAAGGGAGTTTCTCCCAGTGTCCTGGCCAACAACCTCACAAATAACATTGATCATTAACTTCATGGCTATTAGTGTGACAATGCTGTGTGCAAATTGTCTACTACCTACAAATACACAATCACAAAGCTTCACAATAAAATCTTGTGAAGTGCTGTGAGATGTGTCAACCACATGTTAAGGCATAATATCAAATGAAAAGATTATTAATATAAACTGGCATTACATTAGTCAGGAAAGCACTTTTTCAGTTAAACTATATCACTGGCTCCCATAATGTATCTAGGACAATTATACAGTGGGCAAAGGACTAATGTAACACAAAACGACACAGACCCAAGTAAGATCCGAGGTTCAATTTCTGGCTTGTTCAAAGTTAGCTGATCTCAGTTGGGGCGTCAGTTGAAGTGCCACAATTGTTCTTAATGTTCCTGAAATTCTGGGAGGAAATCAATCAGTCCTATTCATTATCCAAACGATCCTCTATTAGACTTGCACGTGCAGTTAGAACCAGCACCCTCCAGTATCTCCCCAAGCGGCCATTATTCATGTGTTAACCTTTAGATGTTGACAGGCTACATGACTACAGTGGGGGGGGAGGAATCTGGCCAATTTTGTCCTCACCCAACCTCTACACATGTGCACCTTTCAGCAGGGATCTTATGGATAGTGATCAGGAGTGGGAGTCCTGGCTGATTTTCAGGGGCGATGCATCATAACTGCTGCGGCAACAGAGGTCAGTTAAGTTAGCATGGACCTGGATTTGAACCTGCAATCTTTCAGATTTACTCAATGGACCTTCGTAACAGTGAACCTAATTGTTAATCTGCAATTATGAACATCCTTAATGTAGAACTGTATAATGAGATCACAAAGTCAATCAGTCACATGCTAATCACCCAAAATGTTGATCTTTTAGTTTATTTTTCTAATAGGAGGTCTGATTAATAAGTGTACCTTCAGCATCCACAAGAAGTGCCTCATTGTCATGGTGTAATCATAAGGTGGCTTGTGGTTTTGTCTACAATAGACACTGTATATCTTCCAGCATTTATTGATATAGTCCAATGCAATCAAAGTTTTGCGGTGCTCTTGGAACAAGATCCCTACATCATCAGAGAAGAAAGACATGGTCACAAATTACAGAACAAGTTTTCTCCTGAACCTTTCATTGTCTGAGAGATCTGGCAACCAATATACTCTTTTAACATGGGATGTCTGTCTTGGCGGACAGACACACATATAGACATTTCGGCTTTATTGTTATAGATAACCATATGTCCAATGGATCTTTAAAGGTGTTCTTGGTTTCACTCCTACCCATTTCATAGCCTTTCCTTATAGAGGAATCAAAGAACAGCAGCTCATTAGGCACTAATAGTATTTAATTTACTTATTGGGAAATCCAATTTGGGCATACCTCTAACACTGCACGCATAAGGAGTAATCTTGTTGTCCATTAGTTTGTTAAAACAGTCAACAAGAATTGGTCCCGGGCCTCTGAAACAAAGAGTATCACTACTGTGAGAAAGGTCAGAACAGCTCAAGATTAAAGTAAAAAGCAGCGATAGCAACACAGAATATTTTTACAGGAATCAGTCCAAATATTGCACATCAATCAATCTTATAAGGCTATGGCCTTCGATTTTTGCCTGAAATTTTTTTTGTGTCATCTCCTGTTGTATATGTGCCAGACTATGATAAGTCAATAACACGTCAATAGAATTTACAGATCAACAGCAAGCAATTGGTCTTTGCAAACGATTCTATTACATCAAGAGACATACGGAGTGAGTAAAGGTAGAAAAGTCTACAAGATGACAATTTAGTCATCACGTTAATCTTGTCTTAAAAACTACATTTGGCAGCAATTTGTCTGAAAGTGACAGAAATCATAGAATAGAATCATAGAATCCTGCAGCACAGAAGGAGGCCATTCAGCCCATCGTGCCAGCTCTTTGAAAGAGCTATCCAATTTGTCGCACTCCCCCGCTCTTTCCCCATAGCCTTGTAGTCTTTTTCTTTTCAAGTATATATCCAATTCCCTTCTAAAAATTATTATTGAATCTGCTTTCACCACCCTTTCAGGCAGTGCCTTCCAGATCGTCATAACTCGTTGCGAAAAAAATTCTTATCTCATCTCTCGTTCTTTTGCCAATTATCTTAAATCCGAGCCACCTGCCAGTGGAAACAGTTTCTCCTTATTTACTCTTATCAAAACCCCTCAAAACCAAATGCGATGTCTTACTCGTGCTTTTTGTAGTAGATGTGGTATCCAAGGATGACAATAGAACTCAGAAACTTCCGCAGCAGCATCATTTCAAAGGGTGAATGGATCTCCTCCACCGCAGCAAAGTCTTCTGTAATAAGTAGAAACATTGCAGCTTGACTCCTTGGTTTTTTGAGGGGAAATGCTTAGCGTTTTCTTATTAATTTCTAACACAGCACAACTTGTAAGTCTATCATCTAGGTTGACACTCCAGTGCAGTACTGGAAGGTGGGGGGAGGTAACATGAAATGTTGCCTAAAATAATGTGTTAGAGTGAAACACCTTCAAAATTAACAAGGAATTAGGTTAATAAAGCACCATTTTATCACCTCTGGGACCTGGATTACAACACAGTCCAAATGGATATGAAGTGAGTTTGGGCAATGACATACCACATCCTGGTGTGTGGGGTTCTATAGCACTCAAATAAAATCACCCGCAATTTGGCACTAAAGTGGCAAACTCAATCAAAGAGGCAGCTTTTGTAGGAAGTGGGAAAATTCACACTGGTGCAATAGGGCTCAAGCGTATGACTGTGAACTTGGGAACTGCGCTCGGTCACCAATCTGACTCGCATTTCATATAGCGCCTTATCACTTCTTCGAGATGTCTCAAAACACTTCACAAGATATACTGTAAAGTGGAGTGACTATATATTTTGTGGGCGAAACACGGCAGCCAATTGACTTCCTTGAACTCAATACTTGAAGAAAAAAACACTTTGGCTTATTCTTTCGATGACATTTCATTTACCATAAAAAATCCGATCCATTTCCACTATTGTCAGATGATGGTGGTGAAATTTACAATCTTTCAGAAAACGCCAGAACTGCAGTTTGTTCAGTAAGAAGGTATTGTCGATTGAGGGTTCGTGTCCCAGACAACTATAAAACCCGTACATTCTCTTCAACTCAGTAAAATGTCTGAGAATGGCATACTTCACCTACACACAGAAAAACTAATTTGAAAATCAGAGGCACCTATTACTCAATTTTAATGAAATACTTTATGTCACATGCATAATTCAAGATTTTTATATTATTCTGTTATTGTGAAATTATCAGCGCACAAAATTATAGAAGCTGCACTATTTCCCTTGTATTCATAAGATGAAATACAAGGGAAAGATGNAAAAAGACCAAGGTCCATCTAGTTCGCCTTCTACCTGCCTGGCAGTCGCATGCACATATGTCCCGAACTACCTATGTACTATATCCCATAATGTTACTTCATAAAAGAAAACTATTTAATCTGTGTTTGAACGAATCAATGCTTCAACTGTCTCCCTAGGGAGCCTGTTCACTAGGTTCATTATTCTCTCGTAAAGTATATCTTAGTATCGCTTATGAATTAAAACATGTATGAGCAAATTGTTCAGTGCTATTTGACACAGGACCCCAATACTGTACTAAAAGTATACACTGAATCATTCAAGGAAAATTAAAATTTGCTGTTACATTTCTACATTTTATGCAGAATAACTCACACTGAAGCATGCTCCAAGATACAAACACACCTTAACATTTTAATAGGTTTCGGCCTTGAGCACAAGCCAAGAGCATGGTATTCTCTCTGAATCACATATAGTTACACTGTACTTGCACAATAAGATTCCTGCAATATTGCTGAAATCTCCAACTTCCATAAGCTCATCGGAAGCATCTTACATGCACTGCAGTAAACTCTATAAATAATTAGATCCCATATTCAGATCAATCTGAAATTAATTTGTGTTCTCAGTATTTTACTGATCTGAGTGATGAATATATGACTGTACTGAAGTTAGACCATTAAAAACAGTGACTTTTTTTTGGAGGGGGGAAAGGGGAAACAGTGATGTTCATTGCTAGTTTGGTGGAATTTTACTTTCTACGCTTTAAGTTATATATTTGCAATTTATGTACCAATATGATTTATGTCTAGAATTATAAAATGGTGCAGAACAGATATAGACTATTCGGCTGACCAAGCCTGCACTGGTGTTTTTTCTCCACGTGCCAACTTAATCCCGTTTACCTACTGGCTCCCCATACCCATTAAAATTATTTTTTAAGCATCTATTTAATTCCTTTTTAAAATAATGATAGATTACTTTAACAAACAGAAATTTATGTGGGTAAGACTTCTATACTCATGTCAATTACTGCACAATTATATGGTATATTATTGCACTTATTTTTAAGCAACTATTAAATGCAGCATAACTAGACAATGGTTTTTACATTGCTTCAGATTATACACACAGTAATTTTTCAGACTTTAGAAATACCTGTATGAGCTCTTCCTCTCTTTCAGCAATTGGAATCTTCTCCAACAGTGAAGAAATGTCAAGCTCCACATTATGCTGCAGGATAGCTGCAATACCACCTTAAAAAAAAATTCAGTTACTTTGACCTTATCTGTCACATACAGTAATCCAACATTAATCTTCTCATTCCTTTTTGTTAGTTTTATTGNAAAAAATATTCAGCAGAAGTACTTAAGAGAATGCATTGCAATACAATAGAATAAGCAAAAAAGAATATAGTACAATAAATCTGGAGAGGATGAATGTGATTATAAAAAGCTTTGAAAATAAAACTGTTCCCACCAGACTGACAGTAACAGTCTGACACCTAAGCATGATAACACCTCTTACCAGTTTCAAGTGGTGAATGGGTTCGTATCTCACTGAGATCAGGTGTGCTTATTCCATCCATCCAAAAACTAGGGAATTCCACCATACGATCCTGAGAAAACTCACCATCAAATATAAGTCCATTCTTAAAGATGATTTTCCCCTGACATTGTGGAAGGTAAAAAAAACGTCTTACTGCTTATATGTAAACCCTTAAAATATATGATTTCCATATCAACCATGCAGCAGTACAGAGAATAATGTGAATGCATGGTTTCCAAAATCATTGCAATGGACTCCATTTAAATTTTTTAATGGACTGAATTCTGATTAAAAATAAGTATGTTTACCTACACGAACATAAAAGTCCACAATGCTGGAAATGAATTATTTCAAGGATTTGTTTTTATATAAAGTTTTCCAAAAGTGATCTTTTTCTAAAACAGTACTCACAGAATGACAGCAGAGTACAAAACATATGTAAATAATACAGAAGAAAATAAAAATCCTCTTAAGAAAGTAAGTTTAAAACAAAGTGACATAAAGGAAATGTAAAACACAATGGTCTAAGAGGTGCTTTACCCAACCGTGTTTCTTGTTTAACTCCCAGTGCCCATCATAAATTGCACCATTAGCATAGAAGAATTTGCCACGACCATGGCGGAGTCCGTTCGCCAACTCCCCAGTGTATTCATTCCTCAGAGGATACTGGCTTCCAGGCACTCGTTTCAGTAACCAAGTCTGGGTGCCAAAGCCATGCTGAAAGAGAAGAAAATGCTGAGAGAGCTTCTCCAACTTTCTCTATTAGATCACGTGAACTCTCTAAACTGAAATCCACAACATTGAAACATTTTTAATGTAAGTTCAATTTGAATGTTACTCTTAACTGTTTTGTCACTAACAGTTTATAATCAATAGATAAACACTTGAATAAAGGATTCAATAGGAAAATAATATAGTAAACAGCAAATTATATTTAAAATAATGCTTCAACTACAATGCCCCTTACAGTCAATTAGCAGCTGACACTGACTGTCTTGACTCACACATGAAGGAACATTTCCCGAGTTTCAAACTTCAAATTCTGTTTACATGCAGAAAATCTTGACAAAATTAAAGGAATTATGACGCGACAACTGCACAATTGCTATATTCGACAGCAATTACCTGTGAAGTACTTGGAGATATTTTGACATTGTATCAAGTTTAACGATTATTATTATGGTAAGGAATAGGTCATATAATTTCCATGTTAACAATCTTGTTAAGACTAAATGTATGAATTCATTCCCCCCAGAAAGAGGGTCCTACCTGAATGCCATTTTCCCACTGTCCCGTGTATTCTTCATTGGTAGAAAACCATCTCATTGTGCCGTCCCCATGACGTTTAAAATTTTTCCATTCGCCTTCATACACATTCCCAGATACATACCTGTAGAAACAGGCTCACTGCATTATGGAGCTCCTTCGCTTCGTGGAGCAGTTTCATTTAACACCTGATTAAATATTCTGTTAAATCTGCACAAATTTGTGAAATATAAATATTTAGATGAATTAAAAAAATTGACTTGTTCAGAAAGACTGTAGATTGAATCCTGCCTCCGCTGGGTTAGCGGCTCTCAGCAGATAGGGCTTCGGTGCTGGTGCGGCAATTGACCAATATCCACGTGTGGATGTGGTGAAAAATCAGCCATGTTTCCCCATTCTCTAGCGACCCCTGCTGGAAACTGCAGGTACCACGTCACAACAAGTTCAGTGCGACACCTTCCTCAGTGCTAACTCTCACCCATCCAGGTTCAGAGAGCGTTGTACTGTATTCTGCATCTGGCCATGCTGTACGTGACCTGGGTATGTATTCCATTTCTCCGCATCCATCACCACGTTGAGTACAAAAATTCAAATGAAAACAAACTTTGTCAATCGGTGCCGATCAATGCGGGTAACCGGTATCGATCAATGGAGGTGGCAATGAACTCTTGTTTATTGAAATAAATGCAGTGGAATTTCCCAACATGTTAATAATCTTCTGAACAAAAAATAAAGATAGGTCACTATTTTGTGTGACTACCCCCCTCCCATCTTAAGTGTTAACAAAAACTTGCCTATTCTTATTTCAAAAAATCGTTTACATTTAAGACTGTGACTTTGCCTTACAAATGATTATTCTTGAAAATATACTTGCCGTCTTATACCCCAGCCTTCGCTGACATTGTTCACCCATTCACCTTGAAACCATGAGCTTCCTTCTCGGTTGTAGTACACAGTGCCCTGGAAAGCAAGATGACAACAATATGCAAAGGAGGAGGCATTACAGCAAACAGTCAAGTCTGCTTAAATAAAAACTCATCTTCCTTTCAAATTACTGCCATGGGATCTTTAACTTCCACATGAACAGACAGACAGATCCTTGGTTTAAACTTCTCAACTGCACCTCCTCAAGCAATGCACTGGAGTTTCAGCCCAGACTACGAGCCCAAAGGTACAATGCAGGGCTTGAACCCACAAGCTTCTGACACAGGGATAAGCGTGAGCCGATCTGACACAAGGCATTGACTTAAGTTGATCATAAAAATAGATCTCTTTGCCCTGTCTTTATATTGGGATTTTCAACTACTAAAACAAGTTATAGCAATCAACATGTGTTGGGCTCCAATCTTACCTCTACAGCAGGGGTGGGCAATTACTTTGGCTGCCGGACCACTTCACGAGTTTTGGTAAGCTTCACGGGCCACACACTTAATATAGATGCAAATGCTTAATAATAGCTCAAAATCAAGTCTTACACTTGTACATGCATAAAATAAGGTCCATATAATTGACATTCATTAAAATTAGGTTAAATAAAAATAACTCATGGAGCAGACATTTATTCGATATTCACATATTGATGAGAATGTGAGAAGCTCACTCAATGGGAAGAATGAAAGCGCTGATGTACGTTAACCAGACAATTGAAGTCAGGCATCGTCTCCGTTGTTCCAATGCGGAGTACTGCTTTAAGGTGGTCATCAGTCATCACAGATCTATGTATTGATTTTTTGAATTTCATCACAGAAAATGTCTCCTCGCATATGTATGTTGATCCAAACAGCCCAAGCATCCTCTGGGCATGAGCCTTTATTTTTGGAAAGGTATATTCATTAAGAGAGGCGTAAAAACTGGGAAGCGGCACTGAATTGAATTGCTACGCAAGCAATGGATCACATTGCAAGTCAATAAACTCAAGTTGGAGGTCAAATGGGGCTTTGTCAACATCAAATGAGAAAGGTGAAGAGACCAAAGACAGGTCATAAGAACATAAGAATTAGGAGAAGGATTAGGCCATTCGGCCCCTCGAGTGTGCCCCCCCCCTATTCAATAAGATCATGGCTGAATCCTGGAATCAGCGAGAAAATTTGGCATGTAAGTCAAGTAGTGACAAACTATACTTTTTAAGGCTTAGATCGCAAACAGTAATCTGCTGCAAAATCCTTTCCAGTGATATATGTTGAATTCCATTTTAAATTGATTCTAAATCAAATGATTCTTTGATTCTAAAAATCCACGCTTTCTGTAAGGCTGAAAAAGCTCTCTGAATTTTAAAGCTAATTACAGGCTTAATCTTTTAAAGAGTTTAAGAATAAATAATTAAATCAAAGTTTGTTTACCTTCCCGTGTCTTCTGCCTTGATCCCACTGCCCAGTGTAAGAGATGACTTGATCAGAACTTCGGAAAGTCCCATTTCCATGACGTATTCCGTTCCACACCTCTCCTTCATAGGTGCTACCATCTGGCCATGTGTACAAACCATTTCCTGATGGCACATTCATTGAGAAGTCACCCTGAGAAACAGCACTAATGTTTGAGATAGAAAACCTTTATTTGGTTATATTCAGAGAACAAAAGTACAATGAATACTTCTTCCGAAAGGTCATAGTCCTGAAATGTTAACTCATTTTCCTCTTTCCATGGATGCTGCTGGACCTGCTGCGTGTTCCCAGCGATTTCTGTGTTTATACAATGAATACTGTTGACTTATTTTAATTTCTAAAATCACTAATCTCATAATTTCTCAGTTTGCCGATCAATGGACATTTTCACTTGAAATCACATTGAAAACGTAGATATAGTTTTGCATTCTCTTACTTCATATTTCAGTCCGGTGTTCCATATGTATGTTCCTCTGCCATGCATAAGGCCTTCAGAAAATTGTCCCTGTGGGAAAATATCATGATTAATAATGATCCTCACAAAGGAGATCATGATGATTTGAAGACATGACTATAAATGCTGAGACCAGCAAACTACGCATGGATCAGTCAGCACGGATCTATCCGCTACAAAAGTGAGGCTGCCCAAGGAAGATTTTTTAAAAAACTTTTTATGAACCTCAAAAGAATGAAGAGCTGAGTGAAACCACTGCGATTTTGACAAGAATCTTCTGCTTTTTGGCCCATGATGACCCAGCAATTGACCTATCAAAAAGCGTTTTCTGCCCCCTTTGACAATCATAACTCCAGTAAAAATGACTTTGTACTTTGATGTTAAATGCCGAACAAAACACTCTTTCTTCTACTTACTTGATAAATATGGCCTTCTTGGAAATTGGCAACAGCTTCACCCTCATATAGACCATGAATACGTTCTCCTTCATAGCTGGAAAACGAAGGGCTCCTTTTAATCCATGGAAATGAATCTGCTCATTTCATAGTAAACTCACACCTTTCTGGAATTAGGTAAGAAGGATGCGTCCCTCCGGGGAGAGAGTGCGCACTCCATTCCAACAACCTATCTCTGGTATTTCCGCGTGTGGGCGGGAGGCAAGGAATTCTCAGTTTGGTTCGGATACTCTTAAAGCAACGGGCGATGGGTTTCCGGCAGGTGTCAAGGAGGTCACCCAACTGACCAAAACAAAAACACTCCACAGGTAACATGGGCGTTGTGTCATTTTGAACGTGGGGAATGCTACTTTTCATGGGAACACATACTTGTTGATGGGTGGGTGGGGGGGGGGGGGTGAGGGGGTGGGGGGGGGGAGAGGAGAGAGAAAGAGAGAGAGACACATTTTCTGATTGGGAAAGTGGAACAAGCTTGAGCAACCGACACCTCTCCTGCCCCCGCTCCCCGGGGTGAAACTTGGAAAGCGTTGATATAGTAAATAACAGTAACAACAACAATAATAATACTGACGTCAAAAAAAAAGGTGATAAACGGGGAAGGATCCCCATAGGCCCAGCACCACCCCCCCCCCCCCCCCACTCTCTCTCTCTCTCTCTCTCTCACACCTTTGCACGATGAGCTTGGTCAGGATCGGCTCGTTGTAGTGCACCGGGAGCTCGGTGACCTCCTTGGTCGGCTCCTCGACGCCCGGTTCCACGCCAGCTGCCGCGTCGTCGGCGGGGGTGACCTGCTGCTCGGAGCCCGCGTGCCCCTTGAGGCTGCTCTCGGACTCGTCCCGGATCGACTCGATCCGCATCACCCGCTCGGCTTCTTCCGCCGGGGGGCCCGGCTCCGACACCTTGGCCTTCTTCTGCGGCTCCTTCTCGTCTTTGCCTTTCTTGCCTTTCTCTTCTTTGCCCTTTTTGGGCTTTTTCTTGTCTCCTCCCTTCGCCATCTTCCCGCGCGTCTCACCGGCGCGGCGGCCGCGTCCAGGGCCGCCCGCGTTGCCATGGCAGCCGAACGACGGGAGCCGCGCAGGGACAGGGACGTTCGCGCACGCGCACACACGCGCACACACACTCACACACGGTGGCCGGGGGGACACTCGCGGCGTTTTCGAAATCCTCACTCCCCCTCCACTCCCCCACCAATTGCGTTTGACATATATTTGCTTTCGCCCTTCTCACTCGGAGCCACACACAATCACAACGATTCTGCCATCCCTGCCTATTTTTTTTAATGTATGTTATATATGTTTATATATATTTTATATCTACTACTAATAATAATAATCCTCGCATTTGACACAGCGCTTTTCACGTCGGGAGGACGTCCCAAAGCGCTTCACAGAACACACTGTAAAGTGAATTGACTGTATATTTGTGGGCGAACGCGGCAGCCAATTGCGCACAGCGATGTCCCACAAACAGTCGTGGATTGAAAATGACCAATTTATTATTGTTTTTGGTTTTGGAGGGATTATTATTAGGCTCTGTGTGGAGTAAGGAAACTTGCCCAAGGTTTCGCCCTCTGCCTGGAATTGAACTCAGGTCTCTCGCTTGCAAAGCGAGTGCTCTAACCACTGAACTACAGGATTATATTATATATATATATATGTATAATTCCTGGCATTTGACGCTGCACCTTCTCACGTTGAAACGTCTCCCAAGAGCTTTGCGGAGTTTTCCCGTTACTACCTGTGCGATTAGGAGGCGATTATTATTCTTTTATATATATATATTGTTTTATTACGTTCCTACTTTTGACAGAGGACTGATCCCACTTTGCAATCTTTTTCTTCAATTTGACAGTTAAAACCTTCCCCCCCACCACCAGAATAAAGTATCATGTTCAAATGCAAGGATTATTATTTACTGTTGTATATGCAATCCCCATTTCTTAAAAGGACATCACGCTTTTGGAAGTGTCTTAGCAAAAAGTGTTCCCCAAATGCACACGTTCATGTGTCAACCTGGCAAAATTGGTAGCAATCTCCCCTTGGAGTCAGAAGGTTGTGGGTTCAAGCCCCACACTAGGTCTTAGTCTAAATTATGCCATAGTCTAAAATGATACTCCAATCCAGTGTTGGGGCTATGCGTTGTTGGCCGTCCTTTGGATGAGATGTTAAAACCGAGGCCCTGTCTGTCTGTTCAAGTTTGATAATTGATCTTGTTGAATCGTAAAATTTTGATCATACATTAAAGCACGTGATCCGAATAATTTCCCAAGGACTCAATGATCAGGAAAAGGAGCAGTTGCAAGTGTATGAAAAATAAAAACGAAACTATGTAATTTAATAAACAACATGAAAAACAATTGACAAATGCTCCCATGAACCTGCATAAAGTGATTAAAAATTGCAAAAAAACAAGTTTCAGTAAAATGACAATTATTGCTAGCGCAATTTAATAAGATTTGAAATTATACATTTCAAAATAAAAAACAGCAACTATATCTTGGAATGGCATAATTGGGAGTAAAATTTCAACTTTGTCTTATGTGTTAAAAAAAAAGAAGCTTGTATTGCAGCAGATCATTCCACAGATATCATGTCCAGGTTTGCTAAATGTCTCATGGTTGGACGTCCATGTGGGCAGTTCCAAGGATGCTCAATCTCACCCATGTGTGTTATCAACTTCTTCATCTCACTCATCTGAAGTGCAGTTCCAATCATCACCTAACAACAGAGTTGCACACTATATAAAAAAAAATGCTTTCTTTCCTTAACCTCTTCGCTGAGGCAACCAAATCTATTTTTATTGGACTAGTAAAGAATGATTTCTATCCTGACTTACTTTCTTTGGACAGCAGCATAATTTGAAGCAGGAGTTATGCAACGGGAAATCTATTTGACATACCTCACATCGATGTTATAGCATTAGCTTGTGTACTTCATGGCATGCTAACTACTGAATAAACTTGCTGTATAACATGGTCAGGATTACTTTAGAACAGTACGTACCGACTTTCTGCAAGCTCTGGATGCAAACATCTGCCTGACTCTTGAAGGGCGGCACATGAGTCCTGGAGAGTCACTCAACATGAAAATAAGTTCTTCGATATCCTGTGGACCAAAGGTCCAGTTCTTACTCGTTGGCAGGGAAACCAGTTTCACTCTCTCAGTAGGAGAGGCTGTAAGAAAAAAATCAATGCAAATAAAATATTTTAAAATATTTTTGAGTTTCACCCAAAATATAGTCAATTCACTTTACAGAATATTCTGAAGCGCTTTATATCAAATGCAAGCATTATTATATTATTATATATACTCCAAAGATGCTCATAGAAAGAAACATGCTAGACAAGACAAGTGATTCATTATTTAAGATTTTTCATATTCAGTGGGGTGCAATATTTTGGGGAAGGATTCAAATGGATGTTAAACGCAACATAAAAGAAAGGGATTCAGTAGAATTTCACCAAAGATACGTGAAGCAAACCTTCTTCATCTATAATAAAATCAAAACCATTTTTCCGGAATATTTCCAAGTTGTCCATAAGTACAGTTTCACTGACTGCTGTTAAATGAAGTTTCTGGGGTCTGAAAATTAAAAACAGAATAGAGAATATGGATGGTAACAAGAGCATACACGCTAGAGCAAAGAAACATCATTTCCATTCTGCTTTTACAACTCATTCAAATGAGACTTCAATATTATAGCACTGTACATTCTACAATAGATTCCTTTAGTCTAGAGTAAAAACAGCGAAGATGCCAAGTAAGACACAACTTTAATTTGTACTTGACAATGATTCTATTCATCTGAGTGTGGCCCATACATTGCTTTGACACTAACAATATAGGGAGTAAAGAACAATTCCAAAATTAGTCCCTTCACAAATGCTACGGCACAAAAAAAGGGCATCTTACGCTATAAGCTTTTGACCTTGAAGAACTGTGTGCTGCTGCAACATCTCAAAGTTGTACTTCTCATCAGTGGCATGCTGGTCTATAATAAACAGGTCGGAGTCCAGCTTGGTGATGATAAATCCCAAATTGAACTGCCCAATAATCTCCATATGTGCAAACCTGTCTTTGCTATAAAAGGAGATGGCAGAATGAATGTCATTCATCATAATATAACAGCTATACAAACTATTTCAATAAATAAAAATGTTTCAATATTTTACTCAAGATCATGTAGCAGAACGGACATTCAACAGATCAATTATAATACTTACATTTTTGAGCGCAAGATTCAATGAACATAAAGCTTCAAAATAAATGAAAAATAGTAATAATTTGGTCACTCAATCCACGACTGTTTGTGCAGTATTTCACCCGCAAAATGCAGTCAATTCACTTTACAGTATATTCTGCAAAGCGATTCAGACGTCTGAACAATGTGATAAGACGCTATATCAAATGTCAAGATTATTAGGGTTATAAATTAATAATAATAATAATAATAATAATAATCCTTGCATTTGATATAGCGCTTTTCACGTCAGGAGGACGTCCCAAAGCGCTTCACAGAACACACTGTAAAGTGAATTGACTGTATATTTGTGGGCGAACGCGGCAGCCAATTGCGCACAGCAATGTCCCACAAACAGTCGTAGATTGAAAATGACCAATTTAATTATTGTTTTGGGTTTTTTGGAGGGATTATTATTAGGCGTGTGGAGTAAGGAAACTTGCCCAAGGTTTCGCCCTGCCTGGAAAATACCTGCAATAATAGTATTGCAGGTATTTTAAAATTACCTGATCTGCTTTCGAAGTTCATCCTCTGCTGCGTGATTATCCCCAGGATTAATCTGGGCTCGAAATTTCCTGCATTTCTGTGCATCTTCCTGATCCGCTTGCTGCCTGTTGATTTTCTTCATCCTTTCACTCAACTGGTCCATGGAGAAAAGGAGCGTCTCAATCGTTTTATTCATTTCTACAGGCCGATCAACTTGTGAAGCAACAGGGTGCGGGAGACGAGATGATAAACCAGGCACCAAATGCTGGTGATCGACTTTTAAGCGTTTGGTACCTTGATGGATGTAATTGTCTGGCATTAAGTCAGTCAATGGCAGACTGTCTTCACCCTTCTTTGAATCATCTTTCCCTGTTGACAGACCCAACTCAGGAAGTTCAATGCCGCTGCTCATTGTTTCAGCTCTCAGTTCTTCACTGCCTTTAACTTCAGGCGAACCGGTCAAACTGTCAGGCGATTGGGATGAAGAGGTTACGTCAGGCGTGCTGCAACTGAGCACTGAATCGGGTGTTGTGCTGCCTTTACCAGAATCGGTTTTGCTTTCGGGGTTCCTGGAATCCTCTGTTTTATCAGAACACAATGACGCATCGCAATCGTTTGGATCGGGTACACAGTTCTGTCGTGGGCTGCTCGGTTGTGCGCAACCAGTGAAAAAAGACTGCAGTTTCCTCTGCCCAGACTGCTGTCTACTATGCTTCAGATCGCATGACAAGGACTGCCGCAGGGAGAACGCCTCTCGTAACCTGGCAATACTGTTACACTTTATTTTCTCGGAGTGCGATGTCACAACAGGGGCATCCCGCTCGGTTTTGGCAAAGTTACTGGTGTCCGTTGTCTGTGGAATTTCTTTACGAGTTCCTATCACTAGGGGTGAAGAGAACGAGGAAAGGAAAAAGAAACTATTTAACACACAAATACCCTGTGTCCAACATTAATCCATTAATCTGAATCTCCAATACTACTTATTATTATAATAATCCTTGCATTTGGTATAGTGCCTTATCACGTCGTTGAGAAGTCTCAAAGCGCTTCACAGAATACATTATAAAGTGGATTGACTGTATTTTGTGGGCAAAAAGCACTGCAGTGTCCCACAAACAGTTGTGGATTGAATGATTTTTTTGAGGAATTATTTTTTGGAGGGAAAGCGATCTGCCACTTGACTAACACTCACTTACTTGCTACTTACTGGTAGGTAAACAGAGGTGTGTGGAGTAAGGAAACTTGCCTAAGGTTTCGCCCCGCCAGGGAATCAAACCCAGATCCTCTCGTTTGCGAGGCGAGTGTTCTAACCACTATGCTTCAGGACTCCAATTATTCAAATGTTCTGTTTGTTGCTCACCAAGACATATGTCAAGTTCTTCAAGAAATTCATTCAACGTGCAATAAAAATTCAAACTGTTGAACATTTCACATTTAGTTTGCTAATGTAGCAAGAGTTATGTTCTTTGGTTAGCTTTTATAACTAAGAAGACAGATGCACTCATATTTTACCTGGATACTTCTGGATAACACTGAACTGGTTGACACCTGAGTCATACATCTGAATAAGGGATGATTTCAGAATCGCAAGGAGTAGCTTCTCCTCTTGAAGAAAAATTTGTCTCTTGTCAGGTGTAACGTTGACATCAATACACTCTTTTTTTTAGAAAAAAACACAGCAAAGTAAATGACAATGTTAACGAAGCATGGAGTAAAGTGAAGGTTACATCAATGCTTTGGTTTCAAATTACAAACAATATGCTTATTCTCTAGCCTCAATTTGTAGTGTTAAAAGCCTGATATAGTTTCTGCTCCTCATTACGTTGGCTGGTGAGTGACTTGTTTTTCGATAACATTAAATATCAGACGTTCAACGTCCAATCAACCACCCTTGAAAGCTGAGGTAAAATTCGAGTGCGGGGTGGGTTCTTTACAATCTAGCAGTACAAAAATATTCTTTACAATGTAGTAGTACAAAATCACATTGCTGAACCCCCATTTAGATCACAGCTTCATGACACCTGCAAAATACATAGCATTCTGGGTTCTGAGTAACATTATATACAAATATTACACACATCTTGCTGACACTCACCAGCGTCAACACAGATATTCAGGGCAACAAACGGATACTGGTGCCTGTTATACATATGATAGACTTCATTCACAAGTTTTGAAACCTGAAATCAAAGGATAGAGTTTCTCATTAATAAGTTCAAGAAATCAAAGTGCATCTACTAAAGCTTACGTTTGCTCATTTATTTTCTACTCCATATTTAGTTATTTTTCTCTTGGGTCCTCGTTTGTTAATAAAGAAATGGAATGGACAGGCAGGGAGCAAGTGGCCCACTACAGAAGGCTCCGTTGACTCATTCAGTTACTATTTATCTATCCACACACTGCTCTTTGCAGAGCCTATTCCAATAGGTCTAACCCAGCTCAGAACATGGGGAATTAGCAACCTGTTAACACTATGGTCTGCCAGTGCATTGATACATGAAACATAATTCATCATCACCTATTTTAAGTGCAACTAAATCAGTTGCGGTTAGAAGGCAGACATGTTTAAACGAACTCTAGCCCACCCCAAGAGTTGAATAAAACCATACCAATTTTAAACTTAGCATTGATTTTTACCTTCGGTGGATCACATGGTCGTTGATTAATGAAAAAAAACTGTCGATCAGTAGAACTTCTACCAATTCCATGATCTCCTCGAGACAAAAATCCTGCGATTCTTTAGTGTATTGTAGGAAAGAAAGTTAGTGTTACACAAGCTCATTGTTGGTATTACTATAGTATATTAAGTTATTAAGAAAAAAAATGAAACCATACATTTAATTTCATATTGAACTAAGATACTTTTAAAAGACTTTTAAAACACGCAGTCAGAGAGCTGCAAAACAATGGGAAAATGTTTGAACTTGTGGTGAGAGATGGTGGATCTCAAATCCAACTGGATCTCCTGTCCACTTAGTAATCATAATAATAATCCTCGCATTTGATATAGTCCCTTATCACGTCATTGAGATGTCTCAAAACGCATCACAGAATATATTGTAAAGTGGATTGATTGTGTATTTTCTGGAAGAAACGAGACAGTCTTGGATCGAGATACAATTTTTTTTTGAAGGGGTTATTACCCCTGGAAAACGATCCGCCAAATCGTCTGACAACCAGATTCCTACTTATTGCTCGGTAAACAGAGGCAATGTAGAGTAAAGAAACTTGCCTAAGGTTTTGCCACACCCAGGAATCGAACCTGGATCCTCTTGTTTGTGAGGCGAATGCACTAATCACTACACTACGGGACTCCACGAGTGAATGTACAATTAGCCCCTTTAATCAGAAAGTCTTATTTCCACCAATTTTCAAAGAAGAATTAAAATAAGGTAAGGAGCAAATCAAAGCAGAAACAGTGTCAGATGAGTGAACATTTAATGATCAACTATGGTCACATAAGGTGTAACCTACGATCGTTCACCACGTTGCACCACAAAAGTGCACACATCAGCTTTCAACACAGTCAAACAGGGAAAATGTTCCCATCAACAACAACAACAAAATTACATTTACAGAGCGCCTTTCACGTCGGGAGGACGTCCCAAAGTGCTGAACAGTCAGGTGTCGGGGCCCGAGCATGGGGGAGAGGTGGTGTAGGGATGAGGGAAGGCAGAGAGGTGGGAGGGAGACCAAAGGCACGGTCGAAGAGAAGGGTCTTGCGACCGGCCTTGAAGGAGGCAAGAGAGGAAGCGAGGCGAAGGGACCGTGGGATGGAGTTCCAGAGTGTGGGGGCAGAGAGCCTGAAAGCCCGGCCACCGATGGTACGGCGGGGGGGAGACATGGAGCAGGCCGGAGCCCGCTGAATGGAGGGAGCTCCCCTTGGGGTAAATGCTCAGTGCAAAGCAGTCACTGAGCAATCAGTGTTGTGTTTCAAATGTAAAATGCCATCAGTTTTGTAAAACCATGTTTTACGTAAATCCGTTAGTTAAATGCTGGGATTCAGTAACCAAATGTTGAACACAACCATTCAGCATCACTTACGTGTACAGCTTTTCAGGAATTTCAGCAGCTTTAAGTCCATAGTCTTCACAAACAGTCTCACTAGGGGGCATTTGAGCAAATGGGACAAGGCTTTGCAGCTAGAAAATATGAAGGAAAATGTGTGGTTTCAGCATTTTTATCTTCAATATTGTAACTGCAGTTACTGAAGTGATCTTATTATGAGGCGGATCTCTCAGTGTGATACAGGCACGGGTGAAGCTCATAGATACTTGTCCTGTGTTGAAAGCTGATGTGTCCAACATGTGATGTAATATCATTTTGAGGTAAATTTTTGCTTGAAAGTGACGAACAAGTGTAAGTGTAAGTGGAAGCAAAGCTTGAGCTAGAGTAGTGACGTCAAATCTGAATCATGCTAAGTATTATTTGATAAGTTTGCATGTTCTCAGCAATCACTTGAAGTCCTCTCCAGTCCTCTCCAGGTCCTATCCTCTCATGGTAGCACATTGTGACTGCCGCCTGATAAGTGAATGGCTTCAGTTTTGCTATGCAACGTACCAGACTCATGCTACTGGCTTCTCCAATGGGAAGTAAGAACCAACTTTGCATACGGTTATAATAAATGATTTAAAGCAATCGTACTAAAAACATTGAGTCACTATTGAGTAGTTTAGGCTTCACATTGATGTAGTGTAATTGCAGCCGTTTGGCTGAATTGTCAGATGTCAAATCAGAATTCAGCAGTCTGTGAAACCACCTAAAGAGGAAGACCATTTTCCTTCACACTCAATGAAGCACAACTGCTGCAAGCTTTAAAAGTTTAAAAAACAGCAGGTCTGCTGGAGCTCGCATGAAACTTTAAAGTTAAAAAAGTCCTGACCTGGCAACGTTTCACTGGCAATTCATTCCTTCAGACAGCAAGAAGTAGAACTCAGTGCACACATTTGAAATCTCCTTTACAAAGACTTATTTGGGGTTGATTCCAAAGCCCTGCTAGTTCCCAATTTGAGAGCAGCGCAAGTAGGCTGTATAACTTTGCACTCTCTATCAAAATCACATCAATATAAAATGGCACCGATGAACTGAGGAGTACTGCCTTCCAAACAGAACCATTTTCTTACACACACACACACAGACATGGTAATCTTATTCCATCCCCTATCCTCTACCCTATTTTCTCCTTTGTCTTCCTTGTCCTACCTCCCCCTTCTCTGTTAGCCCTTAAAAGCCTCTCCCTCCCAACATGCTGACCCCTCTGACGAAGGGTCATGGACCTGAAACATTGACTCATTTTCCTTTCTCCGTAGATGCTGCCTGACCTGCTGAATGTTCCCAGCGACTTCTGTTTTTGTTTCATGGTAATATTATTTTACCTGTTTTGGCCCGAATACAGCACTGATGTTCTCTTTTATAGTGCTGCATCCACTAGTGCAAACAACAGGGTTCCGTTTTCCTTGTCCAACCTGATTTGTACAGTTTATCCGCACACCTGTAGCGATGATGCAGTAAGCTTGCAAGACCTGCACCATTTTAGCATATTCCTGATTTAAACGAAAACAAAGTAAAAGATTTTGTACTTCTTAAAAACAATAGCAGCTGCGACATTCTTTTCACTCATAAGAAAATGCCAAGAGGAATACTGTGTATTGTAATCATTTTTCAAACAAATGAATTAGCTACATGGATTCAGAATAGATTTCAGTCACAATACTTGTAATATCACAAGTCAATTTTACAATATTAATATCACAATGATCACAATACAAGTCTCCCAATCCTAAAAACAAGCTATTCACACTGCAGGCAAGTACTATTATAATAATAATCCTTGCATTTGATATAGCACTTTTCACGTCGGGGGGACGTCCCAAAGCGCTTCACAGAACACACTGTAAAGTGAATTGACTGTATATTTGTGGGAGAACGCGGCAGCCAATTGCGCACAGCAATGTCCCAGAAACAGTCGTAGATTGAAAATGACCAATTTATTATTGTTTTTGTTTTTGGAGGGATTATTATTAGGCTCTGTGTGGAGTAAGGAAACTTGCCCAAGGTTTCGCCCTCTGCCTGGAATTGAACTCAGGTCTCTCACTTGCAAAGCGAGTGCCCTAACCACTGAGCCACAGGACTCCACTATTCAAGAGCACAGGAACAGGAGTAGGCTATTCAGCCCCTCAACTCCAAATATTACCAGTCTTTCTCTCCAACAATATTACAATCAACCACATTGCACAATTCAGTAGCAGGGACTTATACCAAGAGGGTCAATAAATCGACAGAATTAGGAGTTTAAACCACCATTATCACATTCAGTAATGTGCAGTCTCTTTAATTATTAATTAAATGCATTAGGTCCATCACAACTGCATATTATTTATTCATGTTAAAATACTTTACCTTTTTAATATTCCGCTGAAACTCTTTGTTCCTTACAGGAAGTGTGAGAACAGCTGCTGAACACTCACAGTTGTCCCAATCTGTCGGGGATGTGGCACTTTCTGTCTAATGCAGCCATTATGATCGTACACCAGACGGGTTCCAACCTTGGCTGCTTTGTGACAGGTCACAATGGTCAGGTTGCTGAAAAGGACGATAGAACAAAGTGTGCTATAAGTGCAGCCGATCCCTTCCACGCCAGTAACATAAATATTCTAGAATAGAAAAAATGCCTGTACAATATAGTCAAAGAGACATCACCATACATACCTCAGCGCACATAAGGAACTCAGAGCTTCACCTCTAAATCCAAAGGTATCCACATGCACAAGATCAGAGAACTCTTGCAGCTTGGAAGTGTAATGCTTCAGGGCTTTAAAACAAATTGTTTTGCGTGTTACAAAACGGCATCACTTCAATTGATGCACAAAGCCTACTCATTTGCAGAATGTGGAGTGTAGCATATTTTTTAAATCATTCTCCCAATAAAATACAAACGTACTTAGCCCTTCAAAATTTTCTTCCGGTACTCCACCTCCATTGTCCATTACTTCAATCAGATCTGCTCCACATTCTTTCAGCTTAACATCTGAAAAAAAAACATACACCAGAAAAAACATAAAGTACTTTTAAAAAGAAATTTGGTGTTTCATGAATCATCTTTTTAGGTTAATCATCACAGCTTTCCCATCAAAACATACAACAACAACAAGATTCCATTTATAGAGAGCCTTTCACGTCGGGAGGACGTCCCAATAGCTGAACTAGTAAATAACAGATAAAACAATCCTTGCATTTAAAAATATACAGCTATTACACTTTACTGTTTGAATAAATCCATTGTGAATGTCTCAACTACATGATATATCAAATGCAATGATTATTTCAATATTATACACAGCATCATCATTTCTATCTGCCTATTTTAGGTGAACATTACAGATCCTCTGACACTATTTAGAAAGAGAAGGGAGTTTCTCAAGAACCCTAACCAGCATTCCTCCAGATATATTCCCGAATGTTTGTGGGACATTGCTAGCCCAAATCTACAAAATGTTTGTCTACAAAAATCTACAAAAAAAAACACAATCCTTGACAATAATTTCTTGCAAAGTGCTTTTCCATGTGATAAAGTGCAATAAAAATGCAAGTTATATTTTTCTGAACAGCGAAACATTTCAGGAGCAAGTTTAACATTTCAGACTGGCTCTTGATTAAACTATAATGAACATTTCTGGAGGATCATGTCACGTCAATCAGATGCTACATAAACTGTACAGCATACAAAAAATATTGACGTGTGTGCCTTGACCTCTCTGCAGCGATCATATTTCCGATTTCTACAAAAGAGAGTTGCATCAGTCTCTTATGTTGCAGGTGCCATATACATGCCATAATCTTCTTCTTTCCCTACCTCTTGCCATAATCTTTTTCCAGACAGTAGCAACCGCAGCAATTCCTCCAGTGATCAGTGCTCCCAAATAATGCACTAACAACACTTAATTAAACAATGCGCATCTCAAAAACATAATGCTTCTCCTCACCAACGTTAGTAGCACCAGCATCTAGACTGTTCTCCACCAATTCTTTGACAGCAGTGCTGAGATTAAGCACAACTTGTCCTGAGCAGATCTGATGCACCGACTGTTGGTCAATTGGCTTGATTGCTCTTGCGGGAGCTGAGCTGAATAAATAGTAACATGGAATTAATCAGAAATTGACAGAATAGTTGCACATAACCAATAAAGGGTGAGTAATAGACATTCAATAAAGGTATAGACATAATACGTTATATTACAGATAAGATATACCACCAATAGTGATGCACAAGTGGGTAGACTGTAATACTAACAATTACTCATTGCTCTTTCACAGAGGCCAAGGGAAATGGACTCCACTGAATAGGCACCCTCAATGCCAGTTCATTTTAACGTGAGTGAAGCTGATGCAGTTCTGTGCTTTTGACATGTTTGTTTGTTAAAAACCTTTAACGACATCGCAATGAACCATTCGACAATGTTTGCTTTCCTACAGCTGGTGCAGAAAACATTGACACTGCAGTTGTGTGGGTGCCATGCATTTAATCAGCACAAACGTATGCCGTACGTAACCAGTATATTGGAGTTACCACCTGTATAGCTTTGAGCTGGAGAATTAATTTTTCTGGCCCTGTCGATTCTAGACTCGGCAGAGAAGCGACAGCCTGGCTGCAATGGGCAGTTTGAGATATTACATATTTCGCCCACAATATACAGTCGATCTACTTTGCAGTACATCCTGTTGAAGCGCTTTGAAGCGACTCAACTACAGAAGGCGCTGTATCAAATGCAAGGATTATTATTATGATTAATAATAATAATAAAGGTCGAGTTGTTGCAGTTGTTTGTGACCTTGTAATTCACCTGGCCTGACCGACTCTGCAACAATGGCTTGTCTGAGGATAAAACCATCCACGACTCAGATTGTCTGGAGTTAACTAACTGTAAACCTCTGGCACCTGCACCCCTGTGTGAGTGTCCAGGCATTTGCACCAGTGTGTGAGTGTCCAGACATCTGCACCAGTGTGTGAGTGTCCAGACATCTGCACCACTGTGAGTGTCCAGACATCTGCACCAGTGTGCGAGTGTCCAGACATCTGCACCAGTGTGTGAGTGTCCAGACATCTGCACCAGTGTGCGAGTGTCCAGACATCTGCACCAGTGTGCGAGTGTCCAGACATCTGCACCAGTGTGTGTGTCCAGACATTTGCACCAGCGTGTGAGTGTCCAGACACCTGCACCAGTGTGTGAGTGTCCAGACACCTGCACCAGTGTGTGAGTGTCCAGACACCTGCACCAGCGTGTGAGTGTCCAGACATCTGCACCAGTGTGTGAGTGTCCAGACACCTGCACCAGTGTGTGAGTGTCCAGACACCTGCACCAGTGTGTGAGTGTCCAGACACCTGCACCAGTGTGTGAGTGTCCAGACACCTGCACCAGTGTGTGAGTGTCCAGACATTTGCACCAGTGTGCGAGTGTCCAGACATTTGCACCAGTGTGCGAGTGTCCAGACACCTGCACCAGTGTGTGAGTGTCCAGACACCTGCACCAGTGTGTGAGTGTCCAGACACCTGCACCAGTGTGTGAGTGTCCAGACACCTGCACCAGTGTGTGAGTGTCCAGACACCTGCACCAGTGTGTGAGTGTCCAGACACCTGCACCAGTGTGCGAGTGTCCAGACATTTGCACCAGTGTGTGAGTGTCCAGACATTTGCACCAGTGTGTGAGTGTCCAGACACCTGCACCAGTGTGTGAGTGTCCAGACACCTGCACCAGTGTGCGAGTGTCCAGACACCTGCACCAGTGTGCGAGTGTCCAGACACCTGCACCAGTGTGCGAGTGTCCAGACACCTGCACCAGTGTGCGAGTGTCCAGACACCTGCACCAGTGTGCGAGTGTCCAGACACCTGCACCAGTGTGTGAGTGTCCAGACACCTGCACCAGTGTGAGAGTGTCCAGACACCTGCACCAGTGTGCGAGTGTCCAGACACCTGCACCAGTGTGCGAGTGTCCAGACACCTGCACCAGTGTGCGAGTGTCCAGACACCTGCACCAGTGTGTGAGTGTCCAGACACCTGCACCAGTGTGTGAGTGTCCAGACACCTGCACCAGTGTGTGAGTGTCCAGACACCTGCACCAGTGTGTGAGTGTACAGACACCTGCACCAGTGTGTGAGTGTCCAGACACCTGCACCAGTGTGTGAGTGTCCAGACACCTGCACCAGTGTGTGAGTGTCCAGACATTTGCACCAGTGTGCGAGTGTCCAGACATTTGCACCAGTGTGCGAGTGTCCAGACACCTGCACCAGTGTGTGAGTGTCCAGACACCTGCACCAGTGTGTGAGTGTCCAGACACCTGCACCAGTGTGTGAGTGTCCAGACACCTGCACCAGTGTGTGAGTGTCCAGACACCTGCACCAGTGTGTGAGTGTCCAGACACCTGCACCAGTGTGTGAGTGTCCAGACACCTGCACCAGTGTGTGAGTGTCCAGACACCTGCACCAGTGTGTGAGTGTCCAGACACCTGCACCAGTGTGTGAGTGTCCAGACACCTGCACCAGTGTGTGAGTGTCCAGACACCTGCACCAGTGTGTGAGTGTCCAGACACCTGCACCAGTGTGTGAGTGTCCAGACAGCTGCACCAGTGTGTGAGTGTCCAGACACCTGCACCAGTGTGTGTGTGTCCAGACACCTGCACCAGTGTGTGAGTGTCCAGACACCTGCACCAGTGTGTGAGTGTCCAGACACCTGCACCAGTGTGTGAGTGTCCAGACACCTGCACCAGTGTGTGAGTGTCCAGACACCTGCACCAGTGTGTGAGTGTCCAGACACCTGCACCAGTGTGTGAGTGTCCAGACATCTGCACCAGTGTGTGAGTGTCCAGACACCTGCACCAGTGTGTGAGTGTCCAGACACCTGCACCAGTGTGTGAGTGTCCAGACACCTGCACCAGTGTGTGAGTGTCCAGACACCTGCACCAGTGAGTGTCCAGACACCTGCACCAGTGTGTGAGTGTCCAGACACCTGCACCAGTGTGTGAGTGTCCAGACACCTGCACCAGTGTGTGAGTGTCCAGACACCTGCACCAGTGTGTGAGTGTCCAGACACCTGCACCAGTGTGTGAGTGTCCAGACACCTGCACCAGTGTGTGAGTGTCCAGACACCTGCACCAGTGTGTGAGTGTCCAGACACCTGCACCAGTGTGTGAGTGTCCAGACACCTGCACCAGTGTGTGAGTGTCCAGACACCTGCACCAGTGTGTGAGTGTCCAGACACCTGCACCAGTGTGTGAGTGTCCAGACACCTGCACCAGTGTGTGAGTGTCCAGACACCTGCACCAGTGTGTGAGTGTCCAGGCAACTCACCACGTCTCCATGCCCACGGGCCGGGGCTACGACACGGGAAGGAGGAAGGGCGGCTCGCGGGCTGCGGTTGGCGATTCCCAGCCACGACACAACCATCAACCGAGTCGCAGACATGAGGCAAAAAAAAAAACCCCGCGAGGCGACGGGGCGTCCGCCACCAACCGGACCGCCAACCTCCGCGCGACGCACCGCGACGCGACGCGACACTGCCCCTCCCCCCCCCCCACACACACACACCCACACCCCGTGACCCGGCCGGCGTCGCGCGGCGCCCTCTGGGAAACGTAGTCCGCGCACGGGCCGTCGCCGCGCGCACTCCCGCCCGGCGCACTGCATCTCCCGTCACGCTAAGCGGCGCTTTTTTTTTCTCTCTCTCTCCCGGGGGTTTCATTTCCGCGCGCGCGCGCCCCCCCCAACCGCCTCGTCCTACGATTGACAGGGGAGGGGAGGGAGGTTAGCCAATCAGAAGCCGGGACGGCGGACCAATCGGATGAGGGAGAAGCGCTTGGGTGGGCGGGACTGAGTGCGTGCGGCGCCGGAGCAAAGCGCGAGGCGCGTCTGCGCGTCGCTCTCTCTGTCGCCCACTTTCTCCCTCACAGCGATGCCGATGTATAAGGTAAAGCCGTACTACAGCGAACACCGAGTCATTGACCCGCCCACCTGCATGTACAGGATAGCGAGCATTCACCAGGACACCGGACGTGGCTCTTCGGACGCGGAGGTAACGGGGGTCCCCCCGGGTTTCACTTGCACTGCTGAGTCGGCTTTTATTAGCACACGACGGCCGGGTCTGGGCCTGGGCCTGGTCTGGGTGGGGACTGGGTGGGGGGGGACTGGATGGGGGGGTGGGGGGGGACTGGGTGAGGGGGATGGGGGGACTGGATGGGGGGGTGGGGGGGACTGGATGGGGGGGTGGGGGGGACTGGATGGGGGGGACTGGGTGAGGGGAATGGAGGGGACTGGGTGGGGGGGAATGGGGGGGACTGGGATGGGGGGGACTGGGGTGGGGGGGGATGCTTCTCCCTTTTACCTCTTCATCTTCAAGTGGAATTTTCTTGTCATTTTTTTTTACCCCCAAACGTTTGCAGTGATGTGTGCGAATTGCTCATTTTTCAAATTGATTGATTGATTGATTTGTTTTGCTTCCTGATGGCTTGCACTGCCTGTACACTAACTTTCTGTGATGGGTGTACAAGGACACCTAAATCCCTCATTAGTCTCTTCCCCCCCCTCTAGAAAATAATCTGCTTTTCTATTTTTTCTACCGAGGTGAATAACTTCGCACTTCCCCACATTATACTCCATCTGCCAGCTTCTTGCCCACTCACTTAACCTGTCTCTATCCCTTTGAATCCTCCTTGTGTCCTCCTTACAGGTTACTTTCCCACCAAACTTTGTATTATCCGTGAATTTGGATATATTAAGCTCTATTTCCTCAACTAAATCATTGATGTGGACTGTAAACAGTCGAGGACCAAGCACTGATCCTTGCGTCACTCCACTAGTCACAACCTGCCAAATCTGAGGAGGACCCATTTATCCCGACTCTCTGTTTTCTGCCTGTTAACCACTCTTCGATCCATGATAATATATTACCCTTAATTCCATGAACCCTAATCTTATGTAACAACCTTTATTCTGGCACCTTGTTGAATGCCTATATCCACTGGTTCCCCCCTATCTCATCTGCTAGTTACATCTTCAAAAAAACTCAAACGATTTGTTAAACACGATTTTTCTTTCATAAAACCGTGTTGACTCTGCCTAATCATATTATGACTTTCTAAGTGCCCCACGATGACGTCCTTAATTATAGACTCTAGAATTTTCCCTACCACCGATGTCAGGCTAATTGGTCTGTGGTTCCCCATTTTTTCTCTTAACAACAAGAAGATTGCATTTATAGAGCGCCTTTCACGTCGGGAGGACGTCCCAAGGAGCTGGACAGTTGGGTTGGGACCCGAGCAGGGGGGAAATGGTCAGGGTGAAGGGAGGGAAGGGAGGGAAGGGAGGGAGCGAGGAGGGGGTGGAGAGTCGCGAGGGGAGCTGAAGGCACGGTTGAAGAGAAACTGTTTCCACCCTTCTTAAATAGCGGTGTTACATTTGCAATCTCGCAAACAACGGGAACAGTTCCAGAATTCGGGAAGATCAAAAACAATGCATCCACTATCTCCACAGCTATCTTTTTTAAAACCCTAGGATGCAGGCCATCAGGTCCAGGGGATTTATCAGTTTTTAGTCCCATCAATTTCTCTAGTATTATTACTTTACTGATATTAATTTCTTTAAGTTCTTCACTAACATTAGTCTCTTGTTTCCCCACTGTTTTTGGTAAGTGTTTAGTATCTTCCAACGTGAAGACAAAAGCAAAGTATTTGTTTAGTGACTCTGCCATTTCTTTATTCCCCATTATGATTTCTCCTGTCTATATGTTCTCCTGTAATTGTACCTTTTTAACTGTTGAGATGTTTTACTGATTCCAAAGTTTGCATTATTTTTGCTCTTTCAGGATGGGAAGAATGATCCAGCAATACAGGCTTTGGAGTCAAGGCAAGAAGAAATGCTAAAACGCCTGTATGAGTTGAAAGCAGTTGTTGACAACCTCTCAAAGACTGTTCTGACCCCAGATGCTGACCTCGATGTTACAGATATCAACCCAGCTAATTATATGCCGACCATCTGCACAACAGCCAATTTAGATTCAGTCCTTGGAGAGGTAAGTTCTAGTCTCTTAACCTATACCCTACCAAACCAACAAACTTCCAGATTAATTTAGTAGTTATCTGTTCTCAATGAGCTACATAATATTTCTAATAGTACTCTCTTTGAGATGTGATCCCAATCCCAGTGAACTATCGTTCTCAATGGTTCCAGTTTTCATATCTTTATACAATTTTTTGCTGCCTTTGTTCTCTTGATTTGAGGTGAGGAATGATACTACTGGCTTTCTATATGAAGATCCCATTTTTAAATACATCAACTCTTAATAATCTGCAATTACTCGGACTATCTTGGTTTTCAGGATCTGGATAATGGTTTGCCTGTTACAAACATAGCTGCCAAAAGAGAGACTTATTCTTTCCAATTTCCTTGCTTTCTTTGCTCTACTGTCCTAAAATCCATTTCAGTCATATTTGTCTGCCTCTCCACCTATCTGATTCCTATTCTGCATCCTCTTAAACAAATAACCCACAGATATCACAAACCTTACAGAAAAATAGGTGGCATAGTTGTAACCACAGTGTATGTCAGTCTTAGCACATAAGTAGAATTTGACCAAGTAATCCATTGTTGATAGAATTTTCTATATTGTAGGTATATATACTTACCCTGGCTCGGGTCCGAAACACTGAATTATCCAGTGCCTTGGGACATCCTCCTGATGTGAAAGGCGCTATATAAATGCATTTTGTTGTTGTTGTATAATTAAATTGTGAGCTTTTTATGTCTCTCTTATTTGTGTTGAATTCAAACAGTGTTCTGTTTGAGTTATCTTTAGGTAGTAACCATTGGCCTCTTTTCAGAGTGATGTTTCAATCCCAGGCTTAGCTAATTTGTGACCTACTATTGACAGCTCTTAAGTGAGCAGTTAAACATAAGACTCAAAAGCATTGAAACTTTCACCTTGGGGGTAGGGAAATAGAAAACCCTCATCTTGTACTGTTTGCTACTTTTTTAATCTACCAATTTATTTTAATTATGCTCCATTATTTTTTGTAAACTAGAGTTTTGGTGTCCTGAGAGATATTGTCATCAACGCCAACCCTTCTGAGCCCCCACTATCTCTACTGGTCCTGCATGGGTTGCTGTGCGAGCGTTACGAGGTGCTGTCTTCTGTGCACGTACACTCCTCTGTGGAGAACGTGCCCACTCGTCTCTTGAACTGTCTAGGTGAAGGAACCAAAAATCGGCCACGCCATGAGTACCAACTTGGCTTCACACTCATATGGAAACAAGGTGAGAGAATCTAGCTGCAGGATATTATGCTCAGAGCTTGTCTAAACAAACCAACCTAATCATATCATTGAAACATCTCAAAGCGCTTCACAGAACAAATAGTGTCCCACAAATTTAGATGTTAACTATAATTCAGTTCTTCCAGACTCCCTACCTTTCCGATAATTAGCAAAGAGCTGAGTTAACATTTTGGTCTTTTTTATTTTGCTTTAAAACTATAGTAGAAACTGGTTATAAGGTGGTAGTTGGAGTCCATAAATCCCAACCTGCCTTATAATGGGGTGCATTAGCTGATCAGTTTCATGCATTCACTGAATATGCAAGCAGAAAATCAGCCACTCTATCAGTGAACAGGAATCGTAATGGGATTCAACTGGATTCAGTTTGTATTGCACCGTTTCCTTTTCTTCCCCCAACCTCTATAATGATCTCTCCTCAAAGTGCTTTCAAAGCTTCCCTAAATTACCTCATTCAAAAGGTTCATTGTTTGTGTGTGAGTTGAGATCATTTATGTCAGCAGGCTATTTGACTGACACCAGATAAACACAGCTGAGGCAAAGCGCCATTCTACCAGAGCTCAAAGTCCCACTTGTGTGCATATTCCATCGGGCTGATATCACTGGATAGCAACCAGGAATGGAAACCCTGTTTCACTTATCCTCCCTCTCAGTTCCATACTTTGTGGTGACCGCACTAACCTTTGTGTAGCTGGAGTAGCAAGTTTTGTTTTCAAACTAGGTCAATTGCAATTCTAAGAGCAACAAGGCTTTCAGATGGATCTGTCATTGTGCAGTGCCTATGCTATCTGACACTGAACTGTTTTGTTTTATTTTCAGTGTTTAAACCACAGATGAAGTTTTGTGTTCAAAGTATGTGCCCCATCGAAGGTGAAGGAAACATTGCTCGTTTCCTCTTCTCGTTACTTGGCAACAGCTACAATCCTGTGACATCCACCATCATTGACAGCTGGGTGGACACTGCTATCTTCCAGCTGAAAGGGGGCAGCAACAAAGAGAAAGCAGCTGTAATGCGCTTGTTAAACACCAATCTCGGCAAGAGTCCTTGGATCATTGGTGCTGACCTCTCAGTGGCTGACGTTGTATTATATTGTACTTTGCAGCAGTCAGAAGGTGAAAATAGTGTTCCAACTAACGTTCAGAAATGGATCAAATCCTGTGAGAATCTGGCATCCTTCAATCTAGCACTAAAGCTGATGTAAAGACAAAATGTAGTTTTAACTCTTTCCATCTGATGTCTATGCAGTTAACCTTTCACATGTGAGACAGAACCTGTCTAACTCTCAAACTGATTAATAATAAATGTCTTAACATCATTCTTTGACTGAAGTCTTCCCTTTTTAATTTGGAATTCTACCAAATTTTGACGTTAGTCCATGGTATTGGAATATTTGGGTCTTCTGACTCTGCCATTATCTCCAACACTACAGTTGGAAGCGTCTCGTGACATGTTGACTTGTAGATATAGAAGGCTCGAAATCCAGAGCGAGTTTAGATTAATAATGTATGTGGAAGTCCTGTAGCTCAGTGATTACAGCAATCACCTCACAAGTGAGAAACCTGAGTTCAATTGCCCAAAATGTTGGGCAAGTTTCCTTATTCCACACACCTGTTTACCTAGCAGTGGTAGGAACCTGGTTGTTAAGTCAATTGGCAGATTGCTTTTCTGGGGTTAATAATACTTGCATTTGATATAGCACTTTTCACATCTTCTAGATGTCGCAAAGCACTTCACAAAATAGACTGTAAAGTGACTATATGTAATAAGTAAATGAATGTAATAATTCCTTAAAAATAATAAACATTCACTTCAATCCATGACTGTTTGTAGGACATTGCTGTGTGCAAGTGTCTGCCACATTTCGCCCACACAATAGTCAATTTGCTTCACAGTATATTCTGTGAAGTTCTTTGAGATTTCCCAAAGATATGATAAGGCACTATATCAAATGCAAGGTTTATTATTATTGTGTCAAAATGGTCAAAGTATAACTATAAAGATTGGAGGACTTAAGTCAGTTTTATGTTCCTCTTAACAGTCTTATGTCACAAAATTAGCAGTCCAAAGCCAAATCTGGACTTCCTTTCTTTCCTCCCCGCCCTCCATCTCTTAAATAATAAAGCCCCAATGCAGGTTACGCTGTGGCATATAAGTCATGTCCAAACAATTCTCCATGGATCAGAGCTCTTGGCTACATAACAGAAGTGTTTGTTTGGCTCAAGGTCCAGATCCATGCTGTGAGGTGAATGTGTGGCTGTACTCCCACATCGCTGTTGATAATCCGCAGGCCTTGCTGGTTGGCATGACTTGGGGCAGACCAGTCACAAGGGATTGGGTTCCTTCCCACACACCTTACAGAAGGACCTGGGATAGACTGAGTTTTCCTCACCTCTACAGCTGCATAACACATCAAGTGATGCATTTATTCACTGAGGCAACGATAATCTTCAAAGCTCCCACAAACTACACATCTGGATTCAAAATCACTTATAATTTGCCACCTGATCATAGATAGTAGTCACATCAACTGATTTTTCACTTTACATTTCCTATGAACAGGAATCCCAACTGAGGTACATCATTTCACCTAATTTAATAGTGCAGAATTAGCCATAAAATATTACTTATTTTACATAACATTAAATGAATACTGTACAGCCACACAATTTACTGTCATTCCATTCATACATAAATTTGCATTCATTCCATTCAAAGTGAAGGTGGGAGAAATAACATTAGATGGGAGAGGGAACATTTCTACATGAAGATCTCAACTCTGTCCTCTCCCAGTAACGAATGTGACTTCTTCCTGATTGAGCACCTTTTCACGCAGACTTCTGATTTCTGCTTCCTGATTCACCAGCTTCTCTCGTAGAATTCGGATTTCTTCCTCCTGCTCCACCACCTTCTGCTGCAGCTCCTCCAGTTGTGGAAAGTTATGTTCCACCTAGCCATGAAACAAAATAAGAGTAGTAAGATTGCTGGGATGGGGGTCTAGACAGGAGAAGTAGGAAAAGATAAAGTCTGGTGAAGCTAACTTGAAAAAATATTAATAATTAAGAAAAAATAGGCTGGGACTGATCTGGATAAATGGAATAAACCTAAAATTATCAATAAAAAGGGAGAAGAACGCAGGGGTTTAGTTGCTGGCACTATGGATTCCCAACCCAATTCTTGAGATGTAGGGTCGTCAGACAACACACCCCGACCAAAACAATGATGGTGTTAGTGCAGCACATCAAATGGATGGTGCACCAAGGGGTCTTTTTTTTTTTTGAATCAGGGCAAATCTGATTGTCATAATAATCCTCACAACCTCACAACTCCTTTCACATCAGTATGTCCCAATGCACTTCACAGGATATATTGTAAAGTGGAGTGACTCGTGTTTTGTGGGCGAGCATGGTCGGGAATTTGTACACAGCAATGACCCATGAACAATCATTAAATGAATGACCAATTTTTATTTGGGGACTTTGTTTGATACACTGACCAAAGTAACTGCCTTCTATTTTAAAGTCTACCTGAACAGGCAAATGTGGTTTAACATCTCAAGGATGGCACCTCCAACAATGAACCACACCCCCAGCACTGCATCGGAGGGCCATCTTAGACTATATGAAGTCCAAGTCCCAACGTGGGGTTTGAACCCACAACCTTTCGACTCAGAGCCGAGTGGAGTGCTATTGACTAAGCCGGCCTGCACACCATAACACACCATTCTCAGCATATGCTACCTTGTATGAAATTACTTCTGAAAAATCACTGTAAATAGAAATCCTGCTTAAAGGAACACAGGATGTTCCAACAGCCTGGGAAAAGACAAATGTGGTTCCTGTCTTCAAGGGATCATGGAGCCATACCTGGCAACTATAGACCCATTGGTCTGAACTCAATAACCAAGAAATGATAGAATTAATCATCTGAGGGATTCAAAAAATTACCTCTGAAAATAAACAATCCTTCCAGCTCCCACTATGTAGGAAGATGGGAGTAACTTTTTTTAAATATTAAAAAAAATGATTGGCTCAAAATGCTTCATTGTTAGTATGGAAGTCACCCTGACAATATCTGGTCAACTTCACATCTAAAAGAGGAAGTAGGAGACTGTGTTTACACCACAAGACTCAGTGTCTGGAAGTGTAAAATCACCTGCAGTTAGTGCTCTAAGGATTCATTGGAACAACACCTACGATGCAGGGTAATAACATTCTTAAGAACGACTATCAAGCCAAACATTGGGATTGCAACCCTTGCCAAAAAATAGTGAGTGACACTTGACTAACTTGAGCCTAAAGTGAAAAGAGTTTTATCCTTACCCCATCTGTAATGTGGAAGAGATTACTACCAAGTACTTGTGCTGCACTGGGCCTGTGGGCAGCTGTGCTGCTGGTAAGTAGCTTAATGTATTTTGTCTGTACAGGCCACTGGTGTCTGAAAGTATCTGGGATGTGCCCTTCTCGGAGACCTGCGAGTGTTTTGTTTCTTTCCATCTCTGTTCCAAACGGCTGAAAGAGTTCCAGCAGGATGATGCCTAGACTGTACATGTCCGACTGAAACACACACAGCGTTTCCAAAGTTAATATTTCAGCACTACAGAGTGAAAAGGGTTACAAAAACAACAACAATTTGGATTTACATAGCACCAGACGGCGTCTCAGAGCGCTTCACAGTAACGGATCCTGGGACCGAGCCAGGGGGAGGGGGAGGAAGGTGACCAAAGGCGCGGTCGAAAAGAAAGGTCTTCAGCAGAAAATTGAAAATAGGAAGAGAGGGAGCGAGACGAAGGGAGTGAGGAAGGGAGTTCCAGATCCTCAGGGCATAGTGGCTGAAGGCACGGCCGCAGAGGATGGAGCGGAGGACTCGGGGGACGAGGAGGAGGCCAGACCCAGAGGAACGAAGGCAACAGGCACTGTTTTGAGGAGAGGAGGTCAGAGAGGTAGGGGGGCGCAGAGGAGTGCAGGGTTACATTTAGAACATGTGACGAATTCAGATGCTTGCAGCTGGAAAGTAAAGTACTTCTGGTAACTACAATAAAGGTAAGTGGATGAAATTATTTTGGGAATCGGTTTTTATTCTTTCTCCAATTTTGCTGGTGCCCGAGAGGTTTGTGTATAACTTAGCAAAATAAAGGGGATCTAGACAAAAGAGCGGGCTGAAGCCTGAAAGAATGAATCAGGAGAAATAAAAAGATTCCAGAGATAGATAGAGAGAGATGGAAGCGGAAAGGGAGAAAGAGGGAATGGAGGAAAGAGGGAATGTTGAAAAGAGAAACAAAATACTCCCTAATTTTTTCATCTCTTTCCTTTGTTTTTTTTCTTTGTTTTGGTCACTCCTGACCACAATCCAGAGAACCCCCACTGAAAGGTCACACAGGTGGGCATTGGATGAGTACAGGAGCAACCTCAGCTGTGATGCTGTTATACAGACATATTGGCACTCTATGTCTAAGCTCACGCATGAAGAATTGCCACTCGGGTAAGAAAAAGAGGTGCTAGTGTTTGTGGAACAGTGCTCCAGAGTGAGTCAGAACCATCAGCAAAGGAAGGCAGGAAGATAACATAGGCTTCCAATGCGCAGGATTTCTGAGAATGCACAATTTACATAATTTATAATTAACAATTAAAAGCAATTCGCATCTTTAAATTAACCAGACATACAGAACTAAACAGAAATGAAATCTTGGAATTTACTGGTTTGTGATTCGAGAATATTCTGAGTTCGAGACAAGGAAGTGGCTGGCACAGTGTAGTGTGATAACTGTCCAAACAATAGGAGACTTTGATTCTCACACCCAACAATGTTCATGCAAACTGCTAATACCTGCTATTATCCTTGTTCAAGCTGTACTGTTTGATCATTGCTGGCCTGCATTCCACACAAACAGCATTAACCACAGAGTGAGGTGCGACACATTACCCTCAAGTGCACTATACATTAATAAAGTTTCCACTGTTGATTAACCATCTGCCTCCTGAAACCATCTGCTCCCACAGAAACTAACATTTTGAGTGCAGTGGGATGTTCCTCTTGCCCTTCCCACCCCATCCCACTCCACAGCCTTCAATTCTAGGGATATAATTACCTTAAAGTCATAGTGAGAACCCTTCAGTTGTTCAGGAGAGGCGTATAGGGAAGTTCCCACCCCTGAGGTATGCTCCAAATCTAGAAAGAAGAGGGTGGAAGACTGATCATTTCAATAATCTGTATCAAAGAAAGTTCGGAGGACAATTTAAAAAGTGAACGCTAGTAAATACAACCAGATATAGAAATCTCATACTTCCAACAAGATATGCTACAAATATCACCGAGTATGCTTCTTGCCTCCAAACCCCTTAGTTTTGTTATAGCCCCCACCCTCTTCCCAATTTAAAAGTGTATTTCCCTTCCATGCTAATCAAGCCTCCCCCATTTTTCTCGACTGTCCTGAAGCAGTTTGGCTCCTTTCACTCTCAAATTTGGGGGACTCCTCCACACGGACTCGTCCCTCTATGGTACCTCATTTAAGTGGATGTTATTCCCGTCTAAGCCCCAACAGTGTGAGTCAGAAGAGTGTGACCACGGGGAGAAATGCAGTGCACACACAATGCATTACTCTATCAATTTTTTTTGTTATTGTTGGGAAAAATAAATTTAAAAAACAGCCCCCTCAAATCATCAATTTTTCTTCATCTTAAAATATATATAAATTTAAAAAAAGACTCAAAACAGTCAAGTCAAGCCACACCCTGGCTTACGTATTCAGTGCTGCACACAAAGTAAGTTATGATTGCACTGAGTACATGACCCAAATACCCACCAGCCGTACTGATCGTCGGTGCCCAAGGATCCAAACTCTCGATGTCATCTTTGCAGGCCAGGCCAAAGTCCCCGATCCGAACATGACAGTTGGAGCCATGGAGGAAAATGTTCCTTGGCTTTAAAACAATGAATTGGAACGGTTACCCTCTGACTATAGATGATTTACACTGGATAGTGCATTGCATTTTCTCTCACAATATCTTTCACAACACATCTGGGTTCCAGTCCTGTGTGACCATCGCCTCTCATTCACTATGATAAACAATATATTTCGCTGTTCTTTTCTCCCTACATAGATTTGTTGGAAAGTGAGCTTAGAATGTAATAATGCAGCAACAGGCCATTCAATGTTTTATTCCATATCAGCCATCTGGTCTAGTCCTAATCTTCTGCTTGTGGCACATACCCTCTCATAAAACTTTTTAAAAACATCTGTTTATTGTACTTCACTGATTTAAAACCATCTCTAGCAGCTAAATAATGGATATATTAGTACAGAGTTGTACCAAACCCGAACTGTGCTATAGATCAGGTTAATAAAGCTTCTGGCTGAGGTAGCTGATCTTAACCATGACAATTAGCTACAATTAGCATAATTCCGGTGGGAGGAGGAGGAGGCAATCAATCAGACATTCAGATCAATGATCCAGAGATCCCCATTGGAAAGTGCCCATCTGCAGGTATGAATGAGAACAACCTGGGGCTTGACACTGGGCGCTAAAGTACAGAAATTCGATGATGTCCAGGCCTTTGGGTCCACAACAGAATTTCCAAACGGAACTCAAGGCTGCGATGTCATAATCTGCTGCCATCACAACCTGAAGCTCATCAAAACCCATGGACCAGCTTCTGCACCACAACACTGGGCATCCTGCCACCGCGTCAGCCAAGTAAGAGCAGTCATCGCAAGTCTGCCCTACAGAACCGACGCTCCTTTGTCCTCAAATCAATTGCCTCACTGGAATAGAGATCGCTCTGGGACTGAAGTTGTTCCATGTAAGCATTTCTGCCAAAGAGCCTTTCAACAGAGATGTGCGAATGTCAGGCTGAATTTAACAACCTTCACGCCAAACTTCACGACGCCATTATGAAAGGAGATTGTGAAAATATCACAGCCTTGCTGAAGATCCATCCAATCAACAATCCCATCACTATATGGAAAAACTGTGCCACGTTCCCCACACTTCAGACACAGGTAAGTCTAACACTTAACTTAAACCTTCCCTTTCTCTCAGTCTCTGAGGTTCTCTTGATAAAATATGTTGATTAAATTTATCCTCCTTCTCAGAGATGGTCATCATCCCACTATGAGACACACTCTGGACATACTGTCTTCCCCCAATCTCATATTGCATGAAGGTCTTGTCCACCAATTGGTCTCGAGTTCTTTTCAACACGAGTGTAGGCTAAGACTGCATATCAAATGGGAACCATTCATCAAAATCAAACAAGGAAATTATCTGACTGAGCATCAAACCTCATTTCATCAAGTTTCCCCCACTCCTGTAACCATATGTCAACACAAACCCCCACTTTCAGATCAGCAATGAAAGTTTGAAAATAAACAAAGAAGTATTATTCCCACATGTTGAGTCCAATCCAAAGAAAATAAAGCCCAATTTATTGTGGGACTTTTACCTACGATAGATTTTAATATCATCTCCCACAATTCAAAATACTTGTCTTAAAAAAAAAAGTTAACTACATTCCTCTCATCCGAAGGGATTAGCTGTTTTACCGATCCATCTGGCTGCAACATACAGAAAGGAAAAGAGTTTGCAGTGTCTACTTCAACTGAAGGCTGACATGGAGGCAAGGCAAGTTCGAGTCAATCTTGTCACAATATAAACTCATTATGGTTCTAAAATACCTTTTAAGGGCTTTTTAGAAGCATATTTTAAAGTCTTTTAATAGCCTAAAATGGTATTGGTGTTACTAGAACATAGTGGTTTTCACAAACAGGAATCAGTTTTAGTGGGGTATTAATTATGGCATCCTGTGAAAGGCATTAAGCCTTGTGCCACCCCATTCTTACCCTCAATATTGTCTTTGCCAAGAATTTCTTATGCCCTTGTAGAGAGCAAATGGTCTAACATAGTGTAAAGCTCAATTAGACATCTTCAGACATGAAAGGCACTATAGAAATGTACAAAGAGGCTCCTCTTCAGATCCTAAATGCTCTGCTCAACTATCTCTTAAATAAAAATCACCTTTTGAACTTGGGATCCAATGCATTTTTTATTCCCCTGCAGGGACAATCGGGGTCGAACGGCGCTTCATTTGATCATAATGCATTGGCCCAATATCGTGACAAACTGGATTGAACCAAAGACCAAATTTCAGAGAGCAATGGCTGCAATGCAAAACAGAACAGAGTCCTGCCTCCATTTGCTGTGCCAGCACGGAGTGCAGGTAAATGCCAGCATGGAGAGCGATAGCCAGCACACCCCAATGCACCTCGCTGTCCGCCATGGAGCCTTCCCTGCTATCTCCATTCTGGCCCAGCACGGGGCCAACATAAATGCCATCGACAAATACGGCATGACGCCATTACACATGGCCACTGGAATCCTGCATAAGGAGATGACGGAAAAACTGATCAGCTATGGAGCGGATGTCAACAGCAAAATCCCTCACTCGGGGAACACACCACTGAAGCTGGCTGTGTGCACAGCGTCTAGCAAGGGAGGCAAGCTGCTGGGTACCGACTTGGGCTGCATTCACGTGTTGCTGAGTTGCGGAGCTGAGGTCAATGCGCAGGACCAGGAAGGGAGAGCGGCCATTCACGACGCCTGCTTTGGGGGCAGGGAGGAAATCGTTGATCTGCTGTTGGAACATGACGCCGACTTTAACCTCCAAACGAAACTAGGGGAATCACCGCTGTTCCTTTTCCTGGATCGCCGCCCTAACCTGAAATGCACACGCCTTCTTGGCAAACTTCTCAGCCTCTCACACCCGTTGAGAATATCAACCGGAGGCGGGCTTCTCCCCAGTGGGCTGCTCTACCCGGAACACCAGCAGCACAAGGAGTTTCTGCTAACTTTGATCCAGGAGCCCCCAGGGCTCAGGGATATCTGCAGGATCAAAGTGAGGAAGATGTATGGTCACAGACACAGCGAGCGCCTGAAAGAGATCCTTCCAAAGGTTTTGTGGGAATTTGTCTACAGTTACCCGGACTATTCCGATCATTTTCACGAGATGACTAGAAAGCAACAGAGTAACACTCACCTGCACACTCGAGAACTTGACCAGAGGCTGGGCAACATGCATTTATCGTAAAGGGGGCCCGGTCAACAGGAGGAAACCAAATGCAAATGACATCATGTGCAACTAGTCAGAGGGTTATTTTACCAAATTAAATTTCAGAAACGCTTACAATTTGGTAGAAATGTTTTATCCTCCATACTCAAGCCGTTTCCAAATAAGTTGATCAAGGGACTGTGCAGTTTCACCTCACTCAACCAATGGAATAGGAAATGATGAGGGCAAATGCTCCCCACTCCTTCAGATTACACAGAGATAATTATCCTATGAATATTCTTTAATTGGTCCCACTGAGCAAAATGTACGTGCAGTTTGAATCTTGGACATACGGATTTGCTCTGATTGACAGCTGAATACATTTCTGAATTTGTAAGGATTTTTTTTTTCTTTTCTTGCATTTGTCTAGATTTTAATGGCTTCCAAAACACTTGCAGGCAAGGTACTGCTGAAAATAATACACCAATTTTAAATTAAAACCAAAAGCATTTTACTATCTGCCTAGAATTCTCATTGTTGTGTATGGCGAAGGTGGGTTTGTGATTATAATCACTATACTGTATAAGTATTTGGCAACTAACGTCTGTGCATCAGGAAATCACATGGGGTTCTCTTTGAGAGTACACATTAGACCCAATTATTTTACAATTGATCACTTGCAAAACACACTCAATCTGTGAGATTATAATAATATTCACTGACTACTGTCATGCATTACTTAATAAAAATATTTGCATTAAAACTCTATATGAAAAAAAATCTCACCTTCAAGTCTCTGTGCATGATACCCTTGGAGTGGATGTTATCCACCCCCTCCAGCAGCTGACGGAATATGTTCATGGTAAAATCAGGAATCACCAGATGAAAGGGACCTAACAAGGTTAATGTGTAACATTTCAGCAACAAAGAACACGTCAATCAGAATTTCTTCATTCGTCTTTACCTTGAGGTTTCCAAATATATAAAAGAGAAATAGTACGAGGCCATTCAGCCCCTCGAGCCTGTTCCTCCATTCTGTAAGATCATGGATCAAGAGTAGAGTCCTGTAGCTCAGAAGCGAATTGAACCTGGGTTCAATTTCCAACAGAAATATTGGGCAAGTTTGCTTACCCCACACACCTCTGTTTACCTAGCAGTAGGTAGGGACCCGGTTATTTGTCGATTGGCGGATCGCTTTTCCGGGGTAATAATTCCTTCAAAAGTCACTTCAATCTGCACCCGTTTATGGGACACTGCTGTTAGCAATTTGCTGCCGTGTTTCACCCACAAAATTCACTTTGCAGTGTATTCTGTGAAGCACTTTGAGACATCTCAAAGACGTGAAAGCACTATATCAAATGCAAGGATTATTATTGTCATGGCTGATCTGTACCTCAAGTCCAATTACCTGCCCTTGCCCCATATCCCTTAATACTCTGACCTAACAAATATATATCCGTATTATGACTGTCTGTTTGTAGGGAATTGTAGCAGCGATTTTGCATACAACATAGTCCTGTGAAAATACACAACTGAATGACCAAATCGTTATTTGTTGTTATTGGTCAGGACACTGGGAGAAACTCCCTTCTCTTCAAATAATGTCACATTATCTTTAATGTCCACCTGGAGAATAAAGATCATCTGAATGGCAGAACCAACAGCATTGCAGCTCTTGGGAGTGTCAGCCTAAATTTTGAACTCAAGTCCCGATGTGGGACTTGAACCTATGACCCTTTGTCCCAGCGGTGAAAGTACCAGCAACTGAACGAAGCCTGTGAACAAGGCACTGAACACGTAGGTTAAGTAACAATTTTGTAATGTTGCACAAAAAATAAATAATTAAACAGCAAAGGAAAGTAAACTCACAGGTAAGTGACATTCTCTCCCTCTGCCTGGCGTTCCTTTCCATAATCCAGTCCTGAAGCGATTCTTCACACAGTTGCATTTGTATATATAGCATGAGATGAAAATTGATCTAAAAACACAAAAAAAACGTCATTTTAAGTTTCCATTTCTCATTTTGACTGCTTTTTTTTCTTCTCAAATTTCATGTCAATTTCTGGTGCTGGTAAATTTCCAAAGGTTATGACAAAAAATATTTTTTTTAAAAAAAGGGTTGCTTGGTCAGCAAAAAAGATCAATCTGAATTTCTGCCAAGGTAGAAGCAGGGGTGTGATAATGACTCTCAACATTTGCAAAGTCTTGAACCAGATAGTGAGGTGGATTTGTGCTAAAAAGGCTAGTGAGGGATGGAGGGCTAGGGTTAGCCACTCCTGGAGGCAAAGTCAGCTTCATCTCTTGGCAAAGGCCCTTCACTTGAATTAAGCCGTCAGTTAGTATTGAGTAAACCTGGCACATGACAATTAGTTCCGAGTTACTTCAGGTACGAAATGAAGAAACACAAATAGTAGAATGCAAAAGCTAAAAAAAAAATCCCTTTTTGTTGAAGTTTCCTCCGTACCTTCGATTCTGTCCAACACAAGTCATCCTCTGAAGAACTGCTGTTCATGGAAAAAGAATGTTCTGCAAGCCCTTCTCTTGTGTCGCCGGTTGCCTCTTCCTCCTCCATGACCTCCACGGAGGGGACTGGTAGGCAGCTGGACTGTTCCAGTCGGGATCTTGCGCTCAAGCAAATGTCCCTGGTAACCTTGCGGACCAGCTTGCTCTCCGAACAAAACACCGAAGAGTTCATTTTGAAGGAGTTCCCTGACACACGAGGGGCCAGCGATTCAGAGAGAGGTTTGTTCGCAGCGGCTGCCCAGTTCTTCTGGATAACCTTATTCGGAATGTTCCCATCCATTCCGTCCGCCTCCACCTCTCCAGCCACAGAACCGCTGTCGCCAAAAACGATGCTGGAGCCACCACTCCACGTCTTCTGAACATTACTGTCTCTGTACAAGATTAAGTAGGGAATCCTTAACACACAGCAGGAACACCAGGAAACAAGCCAAATCTCAACTTGCAGTCAGGAAATAAAACATTTTCTGAAGCAAAGAAACAGATTTGGCCTGAATGTCATCTAAACAGAAATTACATTTCTTTATTTTTAAATCCCACTTTAAGATTTACCTCCTCGACTGTGGCTATACAATAAATTAATAGTCACAATACAGAATATCCTGGGAGGTGTTTTGAGGCGCTCTGCTGAAGTGAGAGATGCTTTAGCAAATGTTAGGATTATTATTATACTTTCCATCCCTCTGTTAGCAAAGGATTTCAGTAAGGCAGCTCTTACATTTGGTATACTTGACCAGATGGACCCACTAGTGCACGCAGAGCCACTTGATTGCCTAAAGGGTGCAAACATTGAGGAAAACAGTTGACTTGTGCCAGAATATGAAAAGTTTAAAAAGTTTTGTATTTATTTCAGTAACGGAGCTGGGTTGCAGCTGTACCTGTCAGGGCCGGCGGCAGCTGTACGTGCTCCATCCAGGCAGTGTGGTAGCCCACTATGTTGGGATGTTGAAGACCAGCCAGAACTTTAACTTCTCGGAGGACCTGAAACAGAACACCAGAGATACTGAGACTCAAAGTTTCCCATTATCTTAGCCTTAACAACACGGCAGAGTTCTGAAAAATTCAAAAGTCCAGTCTTAATTGGAAATTCCTAGTGCTATCCATCCCAGCCAAAAGCTCCTTCCCCACTCCTCACACTAGATCCACACACATGTACATTCTGGTAAAGATAATCAGCAGCACTGGCCAATTTGTCTCCTTCTCACTTCATCAGAAGCCTGGATGAGATAGCTAATTCAGTATAGCCCAATGAATCAAATTCAGGCATTCAGAATTTGTAATAGTTCATCAGTCCACTGCACAGTACGAGTACCCACTGACCACTGATGATCGATCACTTTGCAACTATTTTTAACTTCTGGCCTTTTTATGAAAATTTTAAAATTATATCTTTATAAATGCTATTCGCCCCCACCCTCCACCTCCGAGGATTAATGAACAAAATACTTTGTAGTTAACAGATTGTAAAATTACTTCCAGCTGTACACAATCATGATCAAATTCTACACCAGGCACTAATTCCATTTACAACAATTTTACCTTGTAACTGATTAATTTTCATGCATAGAATATTGATTGCCACTTCAGCAAATAACAATGCAGTACCTTCATACAGTCGTATCTTGTAACCTTCATCATGAGAATCTTTTTCACCGCATAGAATTGTCCATCCAATTTATTCCTAACCTGCAAGGTTTAATAACTTAATATCAATGGGCTTATAGCATGGTTAGAGTGAAAGGAATGAATGTTCTTCATATCCAATAAAACAGCAAGTAAAATTCTCCTTAAAATGATCCTAATGCTATCCTGAATCTGTGCTGTTGGAGTACAGGACCAGTCTGTAATGCTATGTATCTTCAGGTCTACATGACTATATTACTCATAGTAATGTAGACCTGAAGAATTTGGGATCTACCTCCTCTTCCAATGAGTAACAGAGAGGAGCTGGAGCAGCTCCATTGTGCTTAATATAGAAATTTTCTGTACTATTCGGCCCATTGTCATACGCTAATCACCCTTTGTTTTATTACCCACTTTCCACTGCTTTTCACCATATTCTTTAATCTTTTTATAGAGCTAATCCAATTTTGAACAAGCCTATTGATCCAACCTCAATATCCAAGTGTGGTAGTAAATTCTTTGTTTGTGAGGCATGTCAGAAAACGACAAACGTGGGAATAAACATGCCTGAGAACAGTCAATATCTGGCAACACTAAATAAAGGCCATCTGGACATTAATTTTAATTAAAAGATATGCAAAATAAATATCTGCGGAAATGTTTTGATGTATTGGAGGTCACTCTACCCTAATAGAAGTGAATAGGGCCAAAATGTCTGTAGAAGGGCAGAGAAAATGAGTTTGGGTTGAAAGAAGACTATCAGATTGTGGAGTAAACAGACTAGGGAATTATATTTTCAACTATTTGACACCAATCATAATTAGCATGCACAGCTCTGAGAGACAGGGGTCAGCTTGCCTTGTACACCTTTCCATAGCCCCCTTTTCCCAGCCTACTGACTTCCTCGAACTCGCTCATGTACCGAGATGGCTGTCCTTGGAAGAGATTTTCTTTCATCCTGAAGGGAGAAAGGCAGCATCAAAAATATTCTTCAATGAACACTTAACGCTGGCCTGAATGATTAAAGCATCAATAGAATTAGTTGAATGCATGCATACCTGCTGACACAAGCTGTAGAGGCATCTCTACTAATGTTGTCCTACAGGTGGAAAGAAAATATACAAGTCAAAAAGATGACCATGCTTCGTTGAAGAAGTTGTAGAGTGCAATTTGCTGCAAGTTCAATTCATGGTGACACTCACCTGGGTGTACAAACCATCCTGTGCTGCCATTAGTAGATTATTAAAGGCTTCCTTGTGCTGTAGTCTCACGGCACTGAACTCATCGCTGAAGGTAAACGGGGAAATCAAATGCATTCCAGCCAACTTTTGACAGAGCACTGCAAGAAAACGTTAGGGGTCAGCAGAAATATTAAAAGCAAAACAAAAAAAGGACAGCCTGAATTAGTTGCACAATACACAGATATTCAATGCTAAGCTACTGAAAACAGCACTTTAGTTCACCTGGCAAAGCAAAATAAAATCCTACCCAATGGTGGTGAATGACGAGAGAGCATCAATTTAAGATAGTTAGCAGACAAGCAAATGGGAGGTTAGGAGATTTTTTAAATTAACTTTTTAAATTTTTTTTAACATACATGCAGTGTAGTTAGGATATGGAGGGCGGCAGTTAGAATCACAGATATACAGCACAGAAGGAGGCCATTCAGCCCGTTGTGTCTGTGCCGGCTCTTTGAAAATAACTATCCATATCAATCCCACTCCCCTGCTCTCTCCCCATAGCCCTGCAAACTTGTCATCCCCAAATAGTTATCTACTTCTCTCTTAAAAGTTGTTATCAAATTGGCTTCCACCACCCATTCAGGCAATGCATTCCAGATCCGAACAACTCGATGTGTGAAAAAATTTCTCCTCACCTCCTCTGTTTCTTTTAACAACTATTTTAAATCAGTGTCCTCAGGTTACGGGTTGAACCAGAAGCCATATTAGCTTTCAAAAGGGAACTATATAATTACCTAAAAAGGAGTCAACTACAGGGGGAAGACTCGTTAAATAGGACTGAATAGACTGCACTTAAAGGAGCCAGCGCAGACACAATTGACTGAAAGGGTTTCTTCTGTACATTTGTATGGTTCTACATTATTTAATCTCTTGCACTCCTCAAGCAATTTGCCTTATTTGCTGAACAATCCAGCACACTTGTTCAGTTGGTTTCAGATTATTCAGCCAAACCCATGACACTCCTGGTCTGTGTGGCTCAGTACCACATTGGGCAATGGGTTCACCTACTGAACCAAGTAACCAGCAAGTCTTCAACAGCCAAATCTTCACTCCTTTTCACTAAATAAGGTTACTGAGAGCCTATAAAGTCTCGCTTAAGCCTTTAATTTACATGTTTGAAATCTGATTTCAATTTACAAGTCTCTTTGGGCGCAATTTTTTTTTCCTTTTAAGTTAACCAGCAATGTATTTGCCAAAGTCACTTACGCTTAAAGAGGCAGATTGACCTCTCAGGACAACGCTCGTAAACAAAGCAGAGGTGTTCCAACAGCGAGACCAGCAACAGCTGATTAGGTATTACATCAGTGAAGTCCATCAACCCTGGAACTCTTTGGTTACATTTCACCAAACTTAACTCCTCGGACAAATCAGATTCTGCAATCATCAAAACAATGCAGTGAAATACCTCTCAACAGGGCTTCTTCACAAGCTGTACAGCAAATTACGAGTGAACGCTCGCCTTTGCTTTTTTTTCACGTCCAGAACGTCAAAACATTTTTAAACTTTGCAACAATTTTAACAGAGCAAAAAGAAAGCCATTCCTCTCAGTGGAACTGAGCTGTACAAGTCTCAGGTTCAGATGGTGACGAGTTAGCTAAACTCAGCCAGGGTTGAGGAAAGCAACAGAAAAATCAGTCAGTTTCCCACCCCTAATTACTGTTAAGACATCTACCTACTGGAATGTGCACATATTGCTTTTGGGTGAGATCAAGATCAGGAACTAGCACGAGTCAACGCTAGTGGGGAGACCTAAAATACACGTTTGCTTACAAAATACAGAGTCACTGTAGAATCCTTCACTGTAAGGATCCATCCTAGTCTGTACACTCCTTCACTGTAAATTTCAGTCTCTATAGAAACTTCCATGTCCCTCTATTGAACTCTTTAAATAACCAATGAGGTACTTTGTTGAATCCGTACCTTTGGAAGAAGAGAGTGGAGCCATAGAAGAAAAATATTGTTCAAACATTTCTGGAACATTCTGGAAAGCAGTCTGTACCAGAGGTGTGACTCCAGTAAAAGAAGGCGCTGCATTTTGCATTGGGGTTACCTAATATTTGGCTTCAAAGTGTAAACTGTGGCGGTCTGTATAACGTTAAATCCAGTAACATTTAATCGTCTGGGATCAGTCTTTCTGAAACCACGAGACAAGAGCCTGTGCTTGCACGAGCGTTGGCGTTTGCTCCCACCGAGCCAGGCATGTTGTGGATCACATATATTGTGGCCAAACACATCCAATACGAAGATCCTCAATCCTCACTTGTCCCCAGTACCCTGCTCGCAAAAACCTTTGCAACAAATACCGGCTGCTGCGGCTCCGCTCTCTCGGCCCCAGTGACCGCGCACGACAGCAAATCACGGTCACGCCGCACCTTTCAAATGGAAAGACGTCCCGAGGCGCCGGACAGTCAAGGGTTTGCGTTTGAGCCGAGGGTTGGGAATCAAGAGGGGGTTGGGGGGGGGGGAGAAGGGTCGGGAGCGCGACCGAAGGCACGATCGGAGAGGAAGGTCTTGAGACGAGCCTCCGCAGGAGCAAAGCGGAGGGATTTCAGCGATGGGTTTATTTCGCCCCCACCCCCCCACCCCCAAAAAAGTCCGTACGGTCAATTCCACTTCGCAGCGTATCGCGTGAAGCGCTTCGAGACGTCTCAACAACCCGATAAGGCGCTGTCTTGATTATTAATATTATGATGACGAGGACGAGGGTGATGATGATGATGATGATGGTGATGGGGAGGGAGTTCTTACACGAACCCCAGGTAAGTTCTTACCGTCCAGCGTGGCCTCGGGCTCCTGCGGGAAGCTGATGGCCAGCTTCACCCGGGGATTCCTGACTTTCTGCCTGATCCCCGCGCTCGGGCCTCCCCCCAGCCAGCCAGCCCGGCCCGCCATCCGGCCCGCCCCGGCCCGCCTGGCCCAGCATCGGGCACCACCACCACCACCACCAGCAGCAGCCCCGGAGCCGCTCACTCGCTCACTCACTCGCTCACTCGCTCTTCTCTTCACTCCCGGTCAACAGTCAGACATTTGAAAACGCTCAAAAATAACACCCAAGTCCCCGCCAACTGCCGAGGCGCCGACATTGACGCGCAGGACAGGACATGTCGGGTCAGGGACAGGACAGGACAGGGCCGCGGGGTGGGAGGAGGCGGGGAGGAGGAGGAGGAGGGAGGCGGGGAAGGAGGGGAAGGAGGGAGGTGTAACCCAACAGGAAGAGGAGAGCAAGTTCGGAGCCCGCCAACCCGCCGCCCCGCCCCGCAGCTCGGCCTGTTGCTGCCCTCTCTCTCCCTCTCTCTCTCTCTCTCCCTTCCCGCCCGAGCCCGGCTCCTGCCGTTCGGGCCACGGCGCCCATTTCACAGCCTCATGGCGCCGTGAGGACGCGTTAACGAACATCCCCTTTCCCTTCTCCCCCCCCCGACCACTGGCCTTTTAAGCCCCGAGACTCTGGTTGCGATACAACTGTCGTTGCTCCTCCCCGCCGGGGGGTGGCGCTGTTTTTTTTTTGTCTCGATTACTCCCCTTTCCCCCCCCCCACCGACAACCGAATCAGCGGCGCTGTTTCGCTCCGCATGTCGCTCACCTCCTTCCTCCCTCCCACCGGTTGGTGGCGCTGTTGCGGGTTCTCGCGCGTGGAGGAAGACGAGGAGGAGGAGAAGGAAGGAAGGTAGGTGGAGAGGGGGCGCGGCACCACACCACCACAATGCCCGGATGCGCTGATTGTGCGCTCAGCGCCTCGCTCGCCGACCAGCACCACCGCATCGTCGTTGGGGGGGGGGGGCGGGAAGGGGGAAGGGGGCGGGCGGCCGGGTGGGTGGGTGGGGATTGTCGCCGCTGCGCCGCCGCCGCCGTCGTCGGGATGGAAACAGACGGGTAGGTACCGGTGGAGGGAGGGGGGGGGGGGCAGCAGCAGGGGTGTAGTGTAACCCACATCGGGGTGGGGGTGGTCACACACAGCACTCCTCGGCCTCGCTCCACCTCCCCCCCCCTCCCCCCCCTCACACACGCACACACCGTCGCCGGTCAATTCCCGGCCTTTAAATGGCGGCTGTCGGCGGGCACCGCCGCGCGGTAAATGCTCTTGATTTACTCCCCTCCCACCCGAGCGAGCGAGCGAAGGGAACGGGAAAGGGAAACGGGCGGCGGCGGTGTTTATTTTTAATTTGAAAACCCGAGAGACGAGAATTTTTTTTGAAAAAAAAACCCTCAACATTTTTTTCAAAAAAAAAGGGAAGATGTCCGCCCTCCCGCTCGCCCTCCCTCCCTCCCGCTCGCCTTCCCGCCCGCCCGCCCGCTGCTCTCTCCCTCCCTCCCTCGCTCTCGCTCGCTCGCTTTGCAGCGTGTAGGCCCCGGTCGAGCCGGCTCCTCTCACCCTGCCCTCCCCTCCGCTCTGACTGACTGACTGGAGGGCGCGCGTGTGTGTGTGTGTGTGTGTGTGGCTTTGTTTTCTCTTTTGCCGTTTTTTTTGTGTGTGTGTGTAGATTTTTTTTTACTTCGAAAAAAAATTAGAAAATCTGGTTTGAAACCCCCCCCACCCCTCCTCCAGCAGATGGATGGATGGATGGAAGGAAGGAAGGAAGGAAGGGGGGGAGGGAGGAAAGAAAGAAAGAAAGAACAAGAGGGAGAGGCACCCGACTGTGTGAGCTTTTGTCGAAACGACTTGAGGGGGGGAGGAGGAGGAGGAGGAGGAGGAAGGCTCCTTTCACTTTCCTTTTTTTTGAATGAATCGTTTCAGACACTCACTTAACAACTGCTAACACCACCGCTCGTCAACGCAAAGGCGGATTTGCATAGGAAAGACCCGGCGGGTTTTGTTGGGGGAATAGGAGAGTTTATGTGGTTTAGAAATCGACGTGGGGTTTTTTTTTTTTTTTTGGGGGGGGGGGGGGAGTGGGGGCTGTTTTATCTTTCGAAAAGTAGCTGTTTTATTTTGGGTCGTTGTTGAAACATCCAGTGTTTATCCTGTTAGCTTTTCATTCAAAGGGTGTGAAATCCGTGTGTGTTGAGGCGAAACTAACCTGTAGTTTATTTTGTCTGGTTAATTTGTTTTTTTTTTGTATATGTTTTGCGGTGTTTCGCTTGCTGAGAATGGAGAATACAAGGGAGGGGTAAACAACACGGTTGGTTTGGGAGTGAAGAACATCTTTTCTAGACCCATTATTGTGTACGTTTTGTGCACTGGGAAATCGGACCTTGTTACTTTGCTTTGATGTGTGTGTCGGGTTTGAAAACGTAGAAGAAGCCCCGGGTTTTTGGGTGTATAAAATGTGTCGATATTTGAAATGGCATTGTACAGAAGCAGGAATTGAGGGGAATTCAAATCTTGATTTGATCTTCTGAGGTTTCAGCTTCAGGAAAGTAGTCCTGAGACGAAATTGTTTCTGTGAGCTCTAAGTCATTTGGATAGTAGACATATCTGTAAGAAAAGAAGGAAAACACAGTTGTTGGAGAACAAAGCAAGTCTGGTAGCTCTTGCCGAGCTAAAATATAGATGCAGATATTGGCATTTGTTTGGAGCAAATATTGATGAACAATATGAAGCAGTAGGATCTCCTTCCATAACTGGACAAGAGAAAGGTGTTTCTTCCCATGTCTTGACTAACAATGCCTCAGGTAAAGCAGTAGCCCTTGAAATTCCTTTTCAAGAGTATTTTATGAGAATTTGTTGATCGTATAGGGACACTGTGAGTTACATTAGTCTTTCGTAGAACTCTTGTATTTCTCTTTTAGTGCTGAATTTCCTCTTCTTCCCCTTCCTGAACTCCTACATACTGATCTGGGCAAATACTTGAATCCAGTATGTGGATTACTCAACAACAACAAAATTACATTTATAGAGCACCTTTCACGTCAGGAGGACGTCCCAAGGTGCTGGACAGTCAGGGGTCAGGACGCGAGCATGGGCGAGGTGTAGGGGTGAGGGAAGGCAGGGAGGTGGGAGGGCGACTGAAGGCACAATCAACGAGGAGGGTCTTGAGACTGGCTTTGGAGGAAGCAAGGCGAAGGGACTGTGGGATGGGTTCCAGAGTGTAGGGGCACAGAGGCTGAAAGCCCAGTCACCGATGGTAGGGCGTGTCCGGCGGGAGCCGGAGGGAGCGGGCAGGTTGGTAGAGAGTCAGCAGGTCAGAGCGGTAGGAGGGGGCAAGGCCATAGATGGCCTTGAAAGTGAGGACGAAGGTCTTGACTTTGATCCTCTGAGGGATGGGGAGCCAGTGGAGTCGGGCGAGGGTGGGAGTGATGGAGTCACGGAGCCTGGTGCACGAGAGTACACAAGCTGCAGAGTTTTGGATGACCTGCAGCTTGTGAAGGGAAGAGTTGGGAAGGCTGATGAAGAGGTTCATAATCGTGCCTTGATGTGACAAATGCGTGGGTGAGGGGTGAGGCAGTGGCGGAGTCTGGCAATATTGCGGAGGTGGTGGTAAGCAGTGCCGGTCATGGTGCGGATGTGGGGGAGAAAGGACAGTTCAGGGTCAAACAAGACACCCAGGTTCCTGACTGGCTTAGTGTGGTTGAGTGTGTAGCCGTGGAGGCTGGTGCTGCCAACGCCCGAGGTGCGGAGGCGCTGGCACGAGCCAATCAGAAGGGCTTCGGTCTTTCTGATGTTCAGTTGGAGAAAGTTGTCCCTCGTCCAGGACTTGATGTCAGACAGGGGGTCGGTCAGGACGCCAGTCATGGGACATTGCTGTGCGCAATTGGCTGCCGCGTTCGCCCTCAAATATACAGTCAATTCACTTTACAGTATATTCTGTGAAGCGCTTTGGGACGTCCTTCCGACGTGAAAAGCGCTATATCAAATGCAAGGATTAGTAGTCCTGGAGTTGAGGGTGGAGGTATGTGGATTATTCAGTATAGAAATACAATACAAATTACATTTGTATAGTTCCTTTTACGTCGGGAGGACGTCTCCGGTGCAGATGCAGCCAGTTGGCATTTGGTAGTCCCCTTACCACTTAAGTCAGAAGATATTTGGGTTCATGGCCCCACGTTGTGAATTTGAATTCAGTCATGGCTGACATACTGGGGAAGGACTGGATTGTTGGAGGTCCCTTCAGATGGTGCATTCAACCGAGATCCTGTCTGAACGTTAATTTGTTTTTGCGTGAGAGCATTGTGACCATCTTCCTGTCCTCAACATTAAAGATCCCATGGCAGTATTTTTGTCCAGTGTAATATTAAAGCATACAGAGGAAAGGGTTGGAGGTTTGATTCCAGATCGGTGATGAGTTGGCTATTCTGTCAAGTCTTGTAGCATATTGGTTAGAGCACTTGCCTTGCAAGCTAGAGACCTGGGTTCAATTCCCAGGCAGTGCGAAACTTTAGGCACGTTTCCTTATTCCACACACCTCAGTTTACTCAGTAGTAAGTAGAAACTTGGTTGTTAGTTGATTGGAGATTGCATCCTGGGAGCAAAAATGCCATCCCAAAGAAAATAAGAATAATTTGGTCACCAATGCACGATTGTTTATGGGACAATTCTGTGTGCAATTGGCTGCCATATATTGCCCCCAAAATATAGTCAATTCACTTTACAGTATATTCTGTGAAGTGCTTTGACATATCTCAACAATGTGATAAGGCACTATATCAAGTACAAAAATTATTTTCTCCGCTGGGACGACTGTTGAAAGGAACAATTTGCATTTTTTAGCACCTATCATGTCAAAATGTTGTGGCTGTTTTTGTAGGTAAAATAGGACAGTTAATTGCACCAACAAGTCCACAAAACAGTCATGTGATGATTGACTGAATCTGGAGGATTCTTGGCCCGGATATGGGAGAATCATTTCAAGAAGCACCTTGGGATGTCCTCCTGGCATAAAAGGCGCTATACAAATACAATTTGTTGTTGTTGGATTTTTAATGTCCAACTGAACAGACCCTAAGACAGCATGTTCGCCTGCCTGCATTGGGTGTCTGTCGAGACTAGGATTTCAAGTCCCAACATGGAACTTGAACCCACAACCTTCTAACCCAGAGGTGAGAGTGCTATCATTTGATTCACACTGACAATTCACTTATCACGGTTGTCCAGAGACCGATATTGGCATATCGTGTTATGTGGGACATTTATTGAGGGGCATAGATGAGTTTGGACTTGCGCTTCCCACTGGTCCTACGATTTAGTTATACGTATAGTGGGAAAGAATTCTGGTCCTACAAAAGGCCCTAGGTACAAATATAATCTTCTGAATTTTCATTTGTCGGCTCTGTTTTTTTATTACAAAGGTATCATGGTAGCTCATTTTGCTGAGCACCAGATGTGGAGTCACAACGTCTGGATATGAATTTCGTGAATCCACTGACTGAAACTTTTGCCCCTTTCAGGTAGATAATGAACATCAAGTTTAAAAAGAGCTCCTGGAAGAGAGACAGAAAATAATTGGAACCTCCCTGGAGTGAAATCTCTAGATGAAATAAGGCAGATCCATAGTAATGAAAACTATAGTTGGTAGTTGATCTACAGTTATCCGGCTGTCCTATTAGTCAGTCCTATTCATCTTTGACATGTAAACATTTTGCAAACCTGCAAACCAAAATCTTGACAGGCAGGCGAGATATAGCATGCTCACTTGCATTTTTGCCAATGCTTTCAAAGCTGTTTTGGGGGAATTGTGATTCACCATTTTGCAATTCTTAGAAATCAAAAGACTATCTATTTGCATTCCGGGAATCGTAATTAAAGCAACAGTTTGTTTTTGAATATTGTAATTTAGACCCCATATGTTAAAATTAATGTGCTGTTTTCCCTGGAAAATACTGTTGTTTGCCGACCGAGGTGCATCCACACCGCTTAGTAAGACTGCCACAAGATTGCCTACGCTGATGTAAAATAATTCAAGTGCATCTGTGTAAAGTTCACTGCCAGACTTAGAAAAAGTGTTTTCTTTTGCATTGAAATCCAAAATGGTGCCATGTTGGAATAGTGATGCTGAATATCCTTTATAAAGAATGCAATGCTCAGTCCAGTCATTAAAATCATTTTAGGGCTAATTTGAGACTCCTGTTGTTGAGGAAATCAAGGTGTGTGTGTGGAAATAGATGGTATAAAATTCAGCCTGATATTACGTTCAGGCAAATGAAACATTTGGTGATCCTTGAAGAACGGGCTGAAAGTTGAGCTTGGATATAAGTTGCTCATTTTTGTATTTCTGCTGGAAAAGATGTGGAAAAAGAGTTGGATGACAGTACTTTGACATTGGGCAATAAATGTGAAGTACAAACCCTATGGGATTTGTTAGTTTAAAAGAATGTTCATAGTTTGTGAAAGAGACTTGTAGAGAATAAGTGAGTGCTAAATGTATTACAGTATTAAGCTCTTGTCAATTTACAAAGGAAAACAGCTCTGTTTGGTACCTAATGGATTTTCAAAATGTAACTTTTTGTTTTTGTTTCTTTCTTGCAGAAATGAATAATGACCATAGTTGATAAAGTTTCAGAGACCTCAAACATTGCATCTTGCAAGAATCGGACCTGCAGCTCTGTGGCACCTTTCTCTGGACTAGTCAAAGAGAAAATCATGGAGTCTGGGTCAGCAGGTTGGGTTGCCACATCTCCTGTTACAGAAGTAACAAAGAATAAAATGTCTTTAGGATCCATACCTGGAGCAGCATTGTATTCCAGTGCAGTGTGTGTGCAAGAGAAACCCAAGCAGCCAGTACAGAAAGATCAAAGTGAGTTTTTCCTGCAATTTTTATTTTCCTTTTAAACTACATCTTGTAAACTCTATAGCACTGCTAAAGGGACTTTAAATACATCTGTTTGTTAAATCTGCTGTATCCATTTGTACCACTTTACCAGAAGGCTGGTTGGACATCTGGTGTTTGCTCTGGACCAATTTGTGAGTTGAATTGGTGTCCCAATTTTCTTTCTCAATTTACCCGACCTCTTCAGCCAAGAAAATTGACTGCTTTCAATGCCTCTGGCAATATATTGTCAAGTCAGGTACTGGGGGGGGCAAACATTACAGTTATGTTTGATGTGGTGTAAAGGAGGGTCAGTGTTAGCGATATGAGAAACAATGAGAGAGCTACTTTGGCCTTGAAAAGGATCTTTTCAGAGGCAGTATTGCTGACTTGTGCAAGAGTATGAATGGGATTGAGAAGTAAACTCAAAACAATAATTTCAGATACCCCAAGGGAACAGGGCGAAAGAGCACATATACTTGATTGCAAAGGTCAATTTCTGGGCGAATGGCACAAAATATTTCTTTATGCACAGTGGTAATTAATGTCTGAAAATGGTTTACCAGGAAGAATGTTTGAGACTAGAATGCTGGACTTTTTTAAGAAACCGCTTGTTGCTACAATGAGAAGATGGAGATTCTGGATGACTGAAAGGTCTTCATCTCTACCTCTCTTGTGATCTTCTGAAGTTATCTAATGTAACATTGTAATGTAATGTCAGTTGTAGCTTTTGCGTTTTCTTTTTTCTCCTTCCCTGTTTCTGCTTGTTGGGCCATTCATACATAGCCTTTGCTGAGGATCCCCCAAAATCATGCAGCCCAATCCTGTGGAGCACCAAGCAATCTCTTGAAAATTAGTTAAGGTGACAAGTCTTGTTACTTTAAACCTAAAAATGCATGTAACACAGCAGTTCAGTCCCCATTCAGAAGAGGAACCTTGTTTGGCATTTCAAACATCTTCCTCTTTTGAGTGCTGAGTGACCCAATTTGTATTTTTAGCATTTGTTTTCAGATTTCCATCATCTCCAGTTTTCTTTTTAGCTCGTGTGACAAATCTTGATTCTTTGTTCGGTTGTGGATAGTTTTCTGTTACCATTGACAATCTAACCTAGGGGCTCCGGAGTGCACCAATTTGTAATACTCTGAAATCATTATCACACATGCCCTGTAGCTCTGTGGCAGTTTAATGTTGTCAGCTGTATTAAAATCACAGAGTTGATGCAAACTTCTTACTGCAGTAAGATGATCAGCGTTTTTTTAAAAAAAAACATTGTGCCATGTATGTTTGCTGTCTGTTTCAGGTGTGATGGGCATTGGCGATGGAATTGCACCCCCACAGAAAATACTATTTCCAGCAGAGAAAATATCCTTGAAGTGGCAGCAAATGCATAAAATAGGAGCTGGCCTCCAAAACCTAGGCAACACCTGCTTCCTAAACTCCGCACTACAGTGTTTGACCTACACGCCACCTCTTGCAAACTACATGCTGTCTCGCGAACACTCAAGAACATGTATGTACCTGTCCTATTTGATTACAGTGTATTTCATTCCCTTTACGTATTTCATGTCTTTCTTGGAACCGCTTAGTCAGTTTGGCAACTAAAGCAACTAGGTTGTAGGGTACTCTTGACTAGGAACCGGGTGTTTACCCCAGTATCCTAAATTCACCCAAACAAACAGATTAATTGGTCATTTATCTCATTACTGTTTGTGGGATGGTGTGAGTTTTTTGCATACATATATCAGTACATTTCTACGTGATTAACTGAGTGAGCACTTTGAGATGTTTCAACATAAGATGTTATATCAAATATAAGTCATTAAAATTGTTTTTATTAAACCATTAATCATCCAAATTAAAAATTCAAACAAACTAGAAATGATTCCTCAAATATTTTACATTTCTCAAAAAAACACAGTGAAAACCTCTCCTCGAATAATGCCTAGGTCACAATTCTCTTTTATTAATCTAGTTCCAAATTTCATCTGTTTTATTAAAAGTTCTAAGTCTACCTGTCATGGAATAATTATTTACATATGCTGTGTGATGATGCAAAACATTGTTTGCTTTGCTGCATTATAATCTGCTCAAATTGATCTAAATTGAAAATTGAGCTTTATAATTTCAGATTTAATCAACTGCATTCAGCACCCTGATGCTCTTAATAGGTTTCAACTAAATCAAGGCCCTTGATATGCAACCGTACAATGACAGCCCCATATCTTGAATGCTAACAAGGGATATTAATAGTAATAATCCTTGCATTTGATTTTATCATGTCTTCAAACGTCTCAAAGTGCTTCACTGTGTCATGGTATCATCTCTGGGTGGGAATTACAAGCTACTTCCAGGTGCACGCTGAAAGGAGCGATTCTTCTTAATTTTGTTGAAGATAAAGTGCCCGCTCCGAGCGGTCTCACAAACTACACTCAACACGTGGCTTTTAATACAGTCTTTCTTGTTTATTGAACCTATAAAATTCAATATGAACATATTCCCACATTCGGAGCAATCAATGTAAAAATAACAAACATAATTATTGTGTAGTACTTTGATCAAAACTATATTAACAAACCACTGAGCCTGAACACTAGGGGTAAACAAATAGTGTAACCTTAACCCAAATTCAAACTTCTTGTTAGCTCCTGAATTTCAGAGTTTTCATAATTAGAAATATTAGTCAAATGTTAGTCAAAACTCCAAAGCTGAACAACTGTCCCATATAACTCAACCCCCTCCCTTTTATACCCCTATTGTGCCCATGTGACTTTTTTATTATTATGTTGCTTTTGTTACCCAAGCAATCCTGAGCACCTCTGACCCCACGCAATGAAATCAAATATTCACCCTATTTTGATTAACCCTTTACTACCTCAAAACAGAATATACTATAAAGTATATACTGTATGTTTTGTGGGAGAAATTTTATTCTACTTGGTCAGTTTTTCCTTGTTCTGCATTAGTGTGGGGGAGGGGGGGTGAAATCGGATAGGATAGAAAAGCTTTCACTTTTAATGGCTAGCGTTTCAAGACTATGTATAGGAAGATTGAAAATACCTGGTTATCTGTTTCCGATAAGTCAATGCATGCCCTGTACTATGGAAGAGGAGTTATCCACACTTCTAATTAGATAGGCCATCTATATTTCTATCTCTTCCTGATTGCAGTAAGTTCATTTCTTTGAGAGGTGCAAAAATATGGTTCTTCTAAACAGGTTTCTGAATACCCTCTAAGGTCCTTTTTGCAGTTATATGTAGAATTTATGATTTTGTCTGTAACAAGTTATCCCTAGGAAAGCAGCATCCTTGAAACGTGACATTCATGTATTTCACGATTTCCTGCTGTTTCTCCACTAGCTCTCTGTCTTGCTGAACTAATTGACATAAAAATAATATACCCCTCAGGAGTGCCCTCAGGCACCCACACAGACCTATTGCAGTCTTGTTTAGCATTGCAAAAGTCTACAGCTTTGTGTTCAGATTACTGAATGAATGCTGTAGATTTCCAAGATATTCTTTTTATTTTAGATTTATAACTTTCCCTTTAATTGATATTAATCCTGTCAATAAGTATGTTTTCAAGCCATGGGTAGTATTAAGAAGGAAAACCGCAGTAAGAAAACAACCAAAGCATGGTTGTAAATCATGCCTTCAGATTCATCTATATTGAAGTTCAGCATGCCTCGGATAAAGAAAATAGTTGTAATTGTACCGTCGTGGGCTGGAGAGTATATGAATGTTCTCATTCCATGGAATTCTGGAGGCATCACAGATGGCCCAACTGCTGGTTATCTGTCTGCCAAGCTTTTCACCCTTTACCTCACTGGTTTTAAAAGGGACAGGTACAGATCCCCACTCTGGTAAATTCTATCCCCCAAATTTACTACTGATCCCTTAGGCAAAGAGTCTATCAGGTGAAAGGAACATATCCATACTTTTTTCAGAGAATTCAGGTGAATAATTATGGATAATGTGCCATTAGCCCATTGGCACTCAGCTATGTGCCTCCCATCCATATTCATCCATATATTATCTTTAAGAGTATCCCTTATTCGAGTAGGTAGCCCATGACATCCTAGTCGAATATTGACAGTCTTCCCACTCCCTTGTATGTTCAAAAGATGAAAAATTAGGAAAGAAGAGAAATTCCAAGGGCAGTGTTGTCTGAGATGGGGCAACTGTGCTCCTGAAAATACCTTTTGCACATATCCTCTTAAAAACCTATTCTATTCCTGGAAAGAGAAAAAAAGTACCCTATATCCCTCCTCAGCACAGGGGAATATCTCACCTAGAGCAGGTAAATTGGTTGATCCTGAACATCAAAACCTTAGACTAAAAGATGTATGATGCAAATGAAAAATGGGGTCAGCCTCCCACAACCTCATCTCCAGAACAAACTGTCTTTATTCCACCAGTACACAACACTTTGTACACAGTGCACAACACTTGTCAAGGAACAAAGCTTAACGTTATATTAATAACTTTACTCTTGTAAATACTATATTTACAGTGCTTCCATAGCTGTCGTCTTGATTTTTCCTGTGTTCAGAGTATTAGGTGCAAAGTAAAGTTTTTGTTTAACATTTGTAATTCAGGGGTTCGTGCAGACAATGGGGAAAGTAATCATCAATTGAACTCCCATCAGATTCTTCCTCTGCCTCTCAAGCTCAGCCACAGGGAAGATATGACTTAATGGCTCTGCCACTGAAGAGAGTGCATCTCTGTACTTTGTATGATCTTGGCCCAGTGTTGGAATGAGAGATGCATGGGAGCAATGACCCAGAGTTTCTCTTCTAGCAGTGACTTGTGCACTAGGACATGATGTGCTTGTTACATTTCCACAGGGAGGTTAAAGGTCAGGCCTATCTTTATGTAAATATTATAGGTCCATTTCTGGAAATGAGCAGAGTTTAATTGTCAGGAACCTACTCCACACATTCTATTCCATCGCATGCCATTAAGTATTCACCCTCAAACCTTGCTGCTGAAGTGGGTGTAGTTTTGAAAGAAACCAGCTCATCTCTGCCAACTGTTCTCTACAATTAGAAACAGAGGTGATACCAATTACTGTATTCATGTTTTGGGGCACTTCATTCTTTGATGTTCTCGTTGTATTACCTTCCACTCTTTGGGCTTGTCTATAGAACAAACATTACTTGGATATTTATCCCTTTAGCTATAAATAGTGAGCGTAATCTTTTATCTTCAGGATTGTCTAACCATCAGCATGTTCTTGTGCTTAAGAGGAAATAACAGGAGGAAGAATACACTGAATACCTCATTCTCTCCCTCCTTCAGTTAATGGAGAAAAATCATTAAATATGTAGAAGAAACCTAGTTTTCTTTCTTTCCTTGCTGGAAACCTGCCGACTCTGCTTCAAAAACAAGAAATCAGATACTCGGTTAATAGGAATACTATAGATATCTACAATATTTGATTTTCAGATCATCTGGAGCAGCTTTTTATTCTGGTAAATCTCCAGCAACTTATCTTTGAAGTATTTTTTTATTCCCTCTCTAAACCAGCAGGAGGAATATTTTAGTTTTTCATCCTCTTTATGGGGGGTTTGTTTTAAAGTTGCAATTGCTTTGTACCCTTTGTGGAGTAAGCAAGTTTCCTTACTCCACACGCCTGATAATAATCCCTCAAGAAAAAATATAATAATAAATTTGTCAATTCAATCCAGAACTGTTTGTGTGACACTGCTGTGCACAATTGGCTGCCATGTTTCGCCCACAAATATACAGTCAATTCACTTTACAGTATATTCTATGAAACGCTTTGAGACGTCTGGAAGACGTGAAAAGCGCTATATCAAATGCAAGGATTATTATTATTACCCTAAACACAGTACATTTCCCATTTATACTCTCTGTTAGTGCACTTAATGTTTTAATATTTGATACTGCTTCAGGCATTTTACCATGCCTGGATAGATTTGTTTCCATTTCCTTTCTTTATCCTACCTTTTATGTGTGAAGAATTGTTCCTACTCTATTCCGTGATTAACGTGAGGAAAGAGGTTGATTTCGTTGCTGATTCTTGCCAAAGGGCCACCATAGACTACTGAAATAAAGATGGCCCATTTGATCAGGTATTCTTGTAGATACAGGAAAGAAGGATACCTTTGAGTCCTTAAATGGATTTGTCTATTTGTGATTATCCCAGTTGTGTGGCTTTTTGTTATCCTGATGTAGAGAATCATTTTCTCAATAATTGACTCCACCTAAAGGTAAATATTGCATCCTATATTTAAAAAAAATTCAAATGTGATGTCCGTAAAACATTCATTGAACATAGGATCTGTAAAAATAAATATTAACCCTGCAGGAACCAACCCACACAAGTTAATGACATTTAAACTTGATGATCATAACCAGTTTCCTACCTTGTTATAATACAATAATATCATAAAATTATAGTAATTAAACGTGTGATAAAAGAACATCTGCATTGAGCACAGAGTACAGGTCGCTTTTAGTTTGTTATGGCTTTAATAATTTTTTTCAGAGAAAGTATAATTTGAAGTGGGAAATATTGAGTTTGATCATGAGTAAAGATCAAATATTCCTTTGTCTTTCCAGGTAATGAGCAAGGATTCTGTATGATGTGTACGATGCAGACTCATATTACTCAAGTCTTTTCCAGCTCTGGAAATGTCATCAAACCTATGGCTGTCATTAATGACCTCCGACGTAAGCAGAACCTTTTCTCCCCTTTTACTAATAATTTTGTTGATTTATCTCTTATGTGTTCATGTATCATTAGTGATCCCACTTGATTTGGAGAAATAAGTGAGCCCATGAGTGTATTGCTTCTAGTTTATAAGTTTGGCAGTACAATACAATATCTATTCAGTTTTCATTGCCCACTCAAAATAGTGAAAAGGATCCAGGGATGATGGGAAGGATTTTGTTATGAGGTGTTCAACTAGCTTTTCAAGATCTCATCAGATTTACAGTTCATTTTGAAAAGGACACATTTTGAAGCATAAAATATTTGCCTGGTTTTAGTATGTGCACTCCCAACTTAGCATTTTAGGTGTGGTCCAAATTTGTACAATTTAGCTATCAAATATGTAATTGCACACAAATGGAAAGTTCCCCTACTTTAAAAAAAACTCCTTGCTGTGCTTTCACAAACCTTTGCGTTTGAATATCCATTCAGTAACTTGAAAGCAGTCACCAAACTTGATCAGCTCTGTTCAGGCTCATAATTGATGCTAGCAGTAAGTGAAATTGATACACCAACTGCTTGCATTTATGTATCTAGGCGTAGGTTTATGATCTCAGTAAGTTAGATGATATTTGTTTTCAAAACTTCTGAGGGACTTTACCATCGTAAGCTGGATGGACTTTTTTTAAAAAGTAGGGGAACTTTCCATTTGGGTGCAATTACATATCTGATAGCTAAATTGTACACATTTGGACCACACCTGAAATGCTGAGTAGGGAGTGGACATATTAAAACCAGGCAAATATATTATGCTTCAAAAAGTTTCCTTTTTAATTTGCTAATGCTAAATTGTTAAGTTACATTTAAATGTATTTTATGTCTTCTGATACTTGACATTTAACAATCTTTGCTATTTCATTTTTTGGTTGGATATGGATTTCTTTTGTGACATAAAAGCAGGCACCACTTACACCATCTGAAAGACTGATCTTTCCTGAAATGCTAGCAGAATTGCCTAGTAATTTGATAGCAGTGTTAGTTTTTCTGGCTGAAGTATACTTCCATTTACATTCTCTTTCAATCAATGTTGAATAAATGCTTCAGGGTTTGAATTTCATAGCAGAATGCTGTGTAGAAAGTTCCACTTATCTATTACAATTGCTGCTTGTGCTACCAGGGAATATCTTAAGTACTGTATGTGGAATGGTTTGATATTTGGAGCTGTTGAGTTTGACTTTTTTTTCCAACAGTGACTTGCAGCAAAAATATTCCAGACTTAGAGTATAAGAGTAGGGAAGTCTTGTTGCAACTGTATAGGGCCCTGGTGAGACCACACCTGGAATACTGTGTGCAGTTTTGGTCTCCTTATTTAAGGAAGGATGTACTTGCCTTGGAGGGGGTGCAGTGTAGATTTTCCAGGTTAGTACCAGGGATGAAGGGGATGAGTTACGAGGATAGGCTGACCAATTTGGGCCTATATTCTCTAGAATATAGAAGAATTAGAGGGATCTTTTAGAAACCTATAAGATCATCAAAGGGCAATGATAGAGTAGATAGTGGGAGATTGTTTCCCCTGGTTGGAGAAACTAAAACCAGGGGTCACAACCTTAAAATCAGAGGCCAGCCCTTTCGCACTGAGTTAAGGAAGAACTTCTTCACTCAAGGGTGGTGAATGTATGGAACTCGCTACCCCAAAGGGCTGTTGACGCTCAGTCCTTGAACATATTCAAGACTGAGATAGATAGATTTCTTATTGTAAAAGGATTAAGGGATATGGGGATAAAGCAGAGTTAGGTTATTAGCTGGAGTTAGATTAGAAGATCAGCCATGATTGAATGGCGGGGCAGGCTCGAGGGGACGAATGGCCTACTCCTGCTCCTACATGTTATGTCATGACTACAAATATCAACTCGTACACGGTTATATAAGCACACAAGAAATGCTAGACGACAAAAGTATAAGGTCCGTCTAGTTCGCCTTCCACCTTCCTGGCGGGCACATGCACATGTCCCAAACTACCTATGTACTATATCCCATAATGTTATATCATAAAAGAAAACTATCTAATCTGTGTTTGAAAGAATCAACACTTCCTGCTTCAAACATCTCCCTAGAGAGCCTGTTCCACAATTTCACTATTCACTCACTGTAATAGTGTTTGCATAGATTCGTTCTGAATTGACCCCCCTTTCAATCGCAGGCCGTGTCCTCCAGTTTTACTATTTTGGACAAGTTGAAACAGCCTGTCATGATCTATATTGTTTTGCCCCTTTAGAATGTTACAGACACCTCTCAATCTTCTCTTATCCAGCTTGAACATGTCCAATTTATTTAGTCCCTCCTCATAGTCTAGTCCTTCCATTCCCTCAATCATTTTGGTTGCCCTCCTCTGTATCTTCTCGTTTTCTACAATATCCTTTTTGTACTGCAGCGACCAGAACTACACAGTACTCTTAAGTATAGTCTCACAAATCATTTATCAAGTGTCTGGATTACCCCACTATTTCGGTTTGCTATTGATTTTTTGACACATCCCACATCTGGTTTGTTTTACTCACTGCCACAGAGCATTGTTGGGACAGCTTCAATTTATTGTCAATCAGGACCCCCAGATCCTTTTCATTTTCCATACATATTATTTTCCTTCTGTTCAAATAATAGTCCTGCAACTTGCTGTGTCAAAGTATAAATCTGATTTTTGATTGATATGGCAAATGCCATTTGTAGAATAGCAAAATCAATATACATTTAATGGACAATCGGTGAAAAGCAAATCATTCGATACAATGAATGATTCATGTTCCCTTCAAAATATGGAGGTTTTGTGTTGTGGTATGGTTCAATTGAGTTGACTTATTTGTCAGGCCCAGTTTCTATTTCCATTGTATTTGGTAACTGGAAAAATAGCTTTATAGTGGAAAAAATGTCAAAATGGACTTGTTCAAGATGCAGGAAAGCACTCATACGTTTTATTTAAGTAACATTGATCTCAAAAGAATTCTGATTGAGAAAACAGCAAGGAGGCCTTCAGTTCTGGTCTCCCTCTGCTGGCTGAAAAATCTATAGGAAATGGCCATGGTAATTTCAGACCTCTTGGACCTTGTTCCTGCTGCCTGTTTTGAGGATGGAAATGGGATTCTCAAGGATTTTCCTTCTCAAATTTTACATTCATCCCATGTTTGTATACTCTATTCAGTGGGGATTAATTTATTTATGTGTTTAATTTATGAATGTATGTTTTGAGAGAAAACTGTAGATAGACGTGGGTTGAGTGTAAATTAGCAGTGTATTTTTAATCAAGTTTGAAGTTGTAGTGTATACTAGTCCATATGTTGCCATTTTCAGGCTTTTGTACTAGAAATTTACAGTTGTGAATGTAAAGGCAATTGACAGGTAATCTGATGCTTTCAGACTCCAGTAATTTCAAGCAACTTATGGGCAATATGCAACCTATTGAAGCAGGAGAGTGAGCTACCAAGAAGAATTTTTAAAAATATTTCACATGTGTTTGTCCATAAAATACAATCAATCCACTTTACAGTATATTCTGTAAAGCTCCTTGACAGCATGATAAGACAGTATAGCAAATGCAAGGATTATTATTACACTGACTTATTACATTAAAGTTGTTACACTATCTAAGTTGTCTTTTCTATACTTTTAGGAATAGCAAAACATTTTCGATTTGGAAACCAGGAAGATGCCCATGAATTTCTGCGCTACACTGTTGATGCTCTCCAGAAAGCATGCTTAAATGGAAGCAACAAGTAAGTACAAATTTAAATAACAAGCTATTTAGCTAGACTGGCCTTTTCGAGACACTTTTCACCCTCCTCGCCTATGAGTGTTTTGACTTTTGGAGTTCCATCGTCGCTCTCTGGTGCCTAACTCAATTAACTATTATTTATCCATGAGTCGTCAAAGTAAGTGTTGGTACGCCACTTGATTGGGGGTACGAGAGGGGAAAGAGTCATAGTCTTATTTGTCAGGCCCAGTTTCAATTTCCATTGGATATCCAATCCTATTAACATCCAGGGTTCATCCAGTGGCAACTTTCATTGAGGAACCATTTTTATTTTAGCAGTGATGTCCTCGCACAAACCTTTGGCTGTGGAAATCCCCTTATCTCCAGAAAATCTTCCCGCGCGACCTGAAGATGGGGAAAGAAGGGGCGAGGCGGAGGGATAGAGGAAGAGTGTTCCAGAGTTTCTGGGCATAGTGGCTGAAAGCACGGCCATCGATGGTGGAATGGAGGGCACGAGGGTCATGCAGGAGGCTGGAGCCAATCGAGTAGAGGCAGCGGGTCATGGCTTTGGGAGTAAGTGGGTTGGAGAGGTAGGGAGATGCCAGGGCATGAAGCGATTTGAAGACAGTCAGGAAATCCTATACATAAACAATGTGCTGTGCCACTGTTGAACTGATGTGGCCTCGATTCTTAAAGGTTACAGAATAATACTGAGGTAATTTTAAGTATGGAAAGTATATAGAGTGTTCTTTCTGATATTCCTACAGATTAGATCGACAAACTCAAGCTACTACGCTGATTTATCAGATTTTTGGAGGTTACCTGAGGTCAAGAGGTATGTTGGATTTTTTTTAAAAAGCGAGGATAGTTTTAAGCACATGACTGATTCATCAAATTAATTAAAATTAATTAATTAATTAAAATTGTTTTTGTTTACCGAGCAGTGATAATTTAGAGGTCTAAACCTTATTTTTTTAGTAGGTTGGAAATAAAATGCTTTAATACTTAAAATTAATGAGGAAATTAATAAAACATTGTCTGATGCAATTTGTTTCCATTTTAGTAAAATGTTTGAACTGCAAGGGAGTTTCTGACACATATGACCCATATCTGGATATTGCCCTGGAAATAAAGGTACAAGAATACTCTGGTCTTTGCGAGCCAAATTCAGTTAACTTGATATTTGTCTTCAGTGATGTTGAGCCTAAAAGCTTTTATACAAACTGTTAAAGTTGGTGGACTGGTGTAAATATGAACTGCAGGAGAAGATTTGCTTTGTTTTTAAAGACAGTGACCCATAATAATAGCATTTGTGGCCCTGAATGAGTGTGTGTGTATTTGTGCTATTTTGATCTGACAATGCAAGTAGAAACATAAACTTTATTGAAGCTGAATTCCAAATCCTCATATCACAAAGCCAAATTCTGATCCCTTGTGGATGACAATTTCATAACTGGCTGGATTTCTGGCCACTTTGTTGACTGGATTTATGATGCATTATAGTTTGGTTTTATTTCATATATATATATTCATTTAAGAAATGTTGTGTTTAATCCCAGTGCTTTTTCTTTTTGTCATATCCCATAGTAACTCTACTACCCAAATATCTGTGACTCTTTTACAATGTTTGCCACCTGGACAAAAGAAATCCAGCTGTATTCTACAGTATTTTTCTCAAACTGTTGTTGCTGTTAGACCTACACTATATTAAGTGATGGTCCAGTGTAATTATCTATCTAAAAATCTATTTTATAGACCGCACCAAACATCACAAAAGCCCTAGAACAGTTTGTAAAGCCTGAACAGCTGGATGGTGAAAATGCTTACAAATGCACCAAGTAAGTACAAATGATTTTAGCACATTTTCCTTGCAGCACTTGACTTAGTGAGTAGCTTTTCTGCTTTGTGGTACACGACTCCTCTGTGACTGCACTGCTCACTTATTCTATATCTGGTTTATTCGTGGTGCCATCATAAAATTCTACAATTCCAATAGCATTGTAGCCATTCCTGCCTATTAGTACTAGGCAGGACTAATAGGATTTGCATAGATTACCACACTGCAAAGTTGCATCACAGCCTCAGTATTTTACAACCACTGAGTTGATTTTCAAAAATCATAAGAATATGCTGGATTATTCATTTGAAAACTGAAGTATTACTAAATACAAAAATAGCATTTTGGTAAACTGGAAGAGGGAAACCTTGTAAAATATGCTGTAGTAAACATGTGGTAAAATTTCTGTCTATTTTGTATAATTGATGTTTTCTTGTCTAATGTTTTCTAACTTGAATGCTTTATTAAATTCTTAAACCAGGTGCAAGAAAATGGTACCAGCTTCTAAGCGATTCACGATTCACCGACCATCAAATGTGTTGACACTCTCTCTAAAACGCTTTGCTAACTTTACTGGTGGAAAGATTACAAAGGTACTTTAAAAGTTGTGTTTATTTTCTTACGCACAATAGATATTTAATAATCCAACCAATCTGATAAGGGAAGCTCTTATTACAATAGAACGCACCTATAGGAGGCTTTGTTATAATACAGTTTGCTAATTGAGGTGTGGATGCCAACATTTACTTATTCTAAAAATCCAAAATGAGTGCAGTTCATTCAGCTACATTGTATGATTCTGAATGCAGTTGTAGGTAATTTTGAATGCTCTGTTTTCTGGGCTCTTCTGCTGCATTAAATTCTTAAACCAGGTGCAAGAAAATGGTACCAGCCTCCAAGCGATTCACGATTCATCGACCATCAAATATGGAATGGGACTGTTCCAACCCCACTGTTATAACTTCCCATCTATCTAGGTCACAATCTGCTGAAGATTGGGGTCCCGTATTTTGATTCCGAAACCTGCTATGAAAGAAAACCATCCTTGGCGTTTGCTTCATAATTTGTCCTTTTCCCTTGCCCAGTCCAATTCTAATTGCTATATTCTAAATTATTGTAAGACAATCTAAAGCTCTTTGTGGTTAGCTTGTAATGTGGTGTGGGCAGGTTGTCTTGGTAAATAAGCAGAGAACAAAAGAGTACTCATGAAAAGAAAACCCTAAGAATACCTGTGCTACCTGTTGAACTTCATTCCAAGATTGTTACGTTTGTAGATTAGTAATTTGCTTTTAAAATAGTCATCAGTTGGCCCTTTCCAAGGCAGTTAGTTCAAGTGAAGCATTCCATTCAATAACTGTATTAAACTGTAACTTTACAAGCATGAATTCACCTACTTAAAACTATTTTCTAACAGAGTAAAGCTGACTTGGATACATTTCTGAATTTATACACTCTGTATGTCCTGGAATGTTGTACTGTTTTGTTGCTGGGACACTCCACAACAAAGTAATAGCACAAAAGATTTCCTTCAAAGATAGGTGTAGCCAAGTACAAAGTTGAAGAGCAGAAAAAGTCACAAGATTTATGTAGTAGAACCTGTTCCCTAATATTCTCACTGTAAAGTTAGTATATTTCATGCAAAATGTTTGTAAATCTAGCTGTTATGTGATTTTTTTTCATGCCTTCAATTTCTCATCACTTCCCACTTCAGGAAGAATATTAAGGTCTTGGAGGGGCCGGAAGAGATTTACGAGAATGACACCTAGGATAAAAGGCTATAGTTATGAGGGGAGATTGGAGAAATTGGGCCCATTTAATTGGAGCAAAGAGGTTTGCGAGGGACCTGATAGCAAGTGTACACAATTCTGTGGAGTTCTGATAGAGTAAATAGGGAGAAGCTACCTTCACTAGTAATTTGAAGATAGATTCATAATCGCAAATTTTGTTTCTTTTCAGGATGTGAGGTACTCTGAATTTCTGGATGTTCGACCCTATATGTCTCAGTCAAGTGGAGAGCCAGTAGTGTATGTACTATATGCAGTACTTGTACATTCAGGGTTCAGCTGCCATGCTGGGCATTACTACTGCTACATAAAGGTAATACTTGGTCAAATTGATCAAAAATACTATATAAAAATGTAAGCTTTAGGAAATGTTATGCATTTTAATAATAATAATAATCCTTGCATTTGATATAGCGCTTTTCACGTCGGGAGGACGTCCCAAAGCGCTTCACAGAATAGACTGTAAAGTGAATTGACTGTATATTTGTGGGCGAACGCGGCAGACAATTGCGCACAGCAATGTCCTACAAACAGTCGTAGATTGAAAATGACCAATTTATTATTGTTTTGGGTTTTGGAAGGATTATTATTAGGCGTATGGAGTAAGGAAACTTGCCCAAGGTTTCGCCCTGCCTGGAATTGAACTCAGGTCTCTCACTTGCAAAGCGAGTGCTCTAACCACTGAGCTACAGGACTCCACGCTCCATTCTGTGAGCGTGCTTGTCAAGGGCTCTAGGACCCTACCCTATGTGAGAGTACTAAATAAATGCAAGTTATTGCTGTTTTACGTTTACTTTAAAGTTTGGTAATGATGTGAATGTTGTATTTATCAAAAAATAATATAATATTGTAGTTGAAACAATTAATACTTTTTCATAAGCATCAAGGCCTGGCATTTGAAATTAAAAATGTGAAACACAATTTTTACCCCTAGGCCAGTAACGGGCAGTGGTACCAGATGAACGATTCGATTGTATCCTCAAGTGACATCAGATCGGTGTTAAACCAACAGGCCTATGTACTGTTTTATATCAGGTACTGAAACAATTTTAGGCATTGCAGGTCATTTGTGGAATACATATTTTTTATACTAATAGCACCATTGGTTATTTTCCAGATCTCATGACTCAAAAAATGGAGCAGAACATTCTCACCCTCATTTAGGCCAGTCATCTCCAAGACCACCTGTTAGTCAGCGATTAACTGCTAACCAAACTGGTTTTATTGGACCACAGCTTCCACCACACGTGACCAAGGTAGGAAACAGGGATGCGAATTAAGCCTGAATTCAAATTCATTTTGGTGAGGCTAATTGACTTAACACAGTTGCACAAAGCAGACTATATTCATAGTTGGTGCACTTGCATTTAAATTCTGCATAGCATGGAATTTTATTTCGGGAGAAATGTAATGCCTGAATAAGAGCACGGAAATGGGCTATTCAGCCATCTGTCTGAACCTGAATAGTACATTTGATTTTTATTTTGATCAGACTAATACTTTGATAAGGTATTCATTCCCTAATAATGAAATGTAAAATGATTTTCATTCCACAGGCTTGAGCTTCCTACCTTGCACATTTATAAATAAACTCCCTGGGAAACAAATTGCATTGGTTCATTAGCCACTTGCAACATACTGGTTTGGTAGACAGACACCTGTGTAGATCTTTGCCATGTGGTGTGCTCCTACAGCTGATGGGAATATATATTTGAAAATTCTTTACTTTTCATCGTTTTAAGGCTGTATTCAATTTCTGTAAAAAAAAAAGTGTAAGCCCTTTTTCTATCCATTTCACCTGGTTGCATACCTGGTGCGATCAAGAGAGTAAGTCACCTGCTTCCAGCTGTCACCAGTACTGGACTGAACTGGCTGCTGGCAGATTCACAGCCTAAGCTTTGCAGATAAATAATCTAGTGCTATTATAAATGTTAATTGCCCCAGCAATGAAAAAAGCCTACTTCAAGAAATTTTACTTATTTCTCCAAAGAGTACCTCAACAATGCAGTGTACACTCCTTACAAGAGCATTTAAAATACAAAAACAATCTTCAGTGACACAACTGAAATTGTAGTGTAACTGATTGATCTTAAGATTTGGGTTTGTACAATTGGAAAGGTCTTATTGTAATTGATCTATTCTTATGTTTGGGGAAAAAGAATATAAATATTCTTACTTTCTGTTAGCAACTTTAAAATGCTGCAGTTATCAATAGCAAAAAAATTTTCTTACTGTACAGAACTCAAACCACTTAACGAATGGAAACTGCTCAGTGAAGGAGGTTCCCAGCAGCGCAGTCCCGAGCACGAGCAGCACAAGTGGTATCAGGAACATTTCTACTCCTTCCGGGTCCCCTCAGAGTCGGTCGCTGCCCAGACCATCAGTGATTCCTGAACCTTCCAAACGGCAGAAGCTGTCCTTCAGTATACAGACTCCTAAGCAGGGGACAAGGCAAGGCCAGAATCAGACCAGCCTTCATACTAGTCCACTGGAGAATTTGTACAAACCTAGTGTATCCCATACTAATGTGTCTCAGTCTACCTCAGGAACTCTACCAACATCAACTCCAGCAAAATCAGCTCCAGCAACTTCAATTCCACCATCATCTGCTGCGTCCACATCTACTGCTTCTGCCTCCACATCTTCTGTTGCTGAAGCCTCCACATCTTCTGCAGCCTCCACATCTTCTGCTGCTGAAGCCGCCACAGCTTCCACATCTCCTGCAGCTTCCACATCTGCCACAGCTTCCACATCTACTGCTGCTGAAGCCTCCACATCTGCCATAGTCTCCACATCTACTACCGCCACAGCCTCCAGGTCTGCCACTGCCTCTACATCTGCTGTTGCTGCCTCCACATCTGCTGCAGCGCCTAAGCCAGTAACATCCAACTCTTCTCACTTAATGGTGAATGGTCAGTCAAAAGGATCTTCTGGATCCGCTAGTTCTTTAGTCCCTTATAATGAGGAATCTTCAGAAGAATCCGACGAGGAACCTAAAGGCTTGGTTAAGGAAAATGGTTATGTGAAGACTGTGAACGGAACGGTTAATGGAACTGGATCCAGTGTACATCTCAAACCAATCTCTACATATATAGATGCTAAAGATGAAAATTTCCATTCTGAGACAGTCGGAGCAAAAAATAATGCAGTTAGGAGAATGGGAGATCATGGAAAGAATCGTCAGATGTGTGAATCCATTGTTTCTCCAGTCCAGTCTATGAATTGTTCTGCAAATGGTTTGTCTACTATAACAGGATCACATACTAATGAAGTAAGTAGTTTGTGCTAGTTGCAAGTTTATTAAATGTGCGTTTATATTAAGCCTTTCAAAACTGGTTTGGTCTGTTCAAATATGTCTTCTGAGTGCCGTGCATTCTTGTGGACAAAGTTCACAACTTCTTAAACAAAAATCACTCCCGTAGTTTGTATTTGACATATTGATGATATTCATCTGCTCACATTTAAGCTGAAAAAGTAGCTTTTTTTTAAAAAAAAGGGAATTTTGTTGCAGGGCAACCTATGTTTATTCTGGAAAGTGGGAACCTTTCGCTAATTTAGGCAACCAGTATGTATATCAAGCATTCCCATGATGGATACAACATGGTTAGGTGCCCCAACAATTAGCCCCAATCTCCCTGACCAGTGTGGAATTTTCTGCTTCCTGTACAAGCCATCCTGTGGCTTCTGAGTGTGATTGCCAAATTAGAACATAAGAACATAAGAATTAGGAGCAGGAGTAGGCCATTCGGTCCCTCGAGCCTGTGCCCCGCCATTTGATAAGATCATGGCTGATCTTCAGACCTAACTCTAATTACCTGCCCTATCCCCATATCCCCTAATCCCTCTTTTTTTAAAAATCTATCAGTCTCAGCCTTGAAGATGTTCAAGGACTGAGCATCTACAGCCTTCTGAGGTAGTGAATTCCATAAATTCACTACCCTCTGAGTGAAGAAATGTTTCCTCAACTCTGTTCTAAAAGCTGACCCTTAATTTTAAGACTGTGACTCCTGGTTATAGATTCTCCTACCAGGGGGAACAGACCCTCAGTGTCTACTTTATTCAGCCCTTTAAGAATCTTATGTTTCAATAAGATCTCCCCTAATTCTTCTGTACTCTAGAGAATACAGCCCTAGTTTATTCAGCCTATCCTCATAGGTCAGTCCCCTCATCCCAGGAACTAACCGAGTGAATCTACGCTGCACCCCCTCTCGGGCAAGTATGTCCTTTTTTAAATAAGGAGACCAAAACTGCACACAATACTCTAGGTGCGGTCTCACCAAGGCCCTTTTCAGTTGCAGCAAGACTTCCCTACTCTTGTACTCTAAACTTTTTGCAATGAACGCTGACATGCCTTTCGCCTTCTTAGTTGCTTGCTGCACCTGCAGACTAACTTTGAGACTGGTAAATTAGGGACAGTTTTATTCCTTGGGTCCTTTTGCCTCCTGGAGACTGGATGGAAACTGTCCAAACTCAATTACGTTATTCCCCTTTTACAGCTAACGGCCAGATCCTGGGCTAAATCTCAGCATGTCTCACCCACTATGCCACCCAATACTTTTTTTTTATATAAAATATTTCAAGGTTTTTAAAAAAAATCTATTGAAGAATTTGAACATGTGGTAGAATCTAACATAAGTTTGTAAGCGCATTTTTAGGAATAGTTGCTTCTTACTTTTCCCTGGTTAATAATTGGAGACATTGTAGATACATATTATATATATTAATTTTATAGCAATGCTTTTATTTGCATTTCAGTATTCAAGTATACAAGATGGGTCCCCCTTAATGAGATAATGGGTACACCCTTAGAAGGTTATTTAAGTTTGTGTGACAATCGCATGGTTTAGTTCTGGTAGTGAAATGCAGAACACCTGTGCGGAGGTCCCAAGATTATTAAAACCCAGCCTCGAGTCATCTTCAGACTGGGCAAGTTCCGTTTACTGGCCAGCAGGTGGCAGCGGTAACGTGAATGTAATAGGAGGACTTTTGATTGTATTAAACTTGTGTTTTGAAACTTCCTCCGCTAAAGTGTGTAGCTTTTGTGACAAGTTTACATCGCTGTGAAACGCTATTTGACAATAATGTAGCTGGGATCTTGAAAGCTAAAGATGAATTGTGACTTAAGATTCTGTTACTGTACTGAAAAACACAAAAGTGGTAGCAAACCGAGACTTAAGACAGAAGCAATTTGCTCATTACTTCTCTCATCTTTCCTCAAGCTTCCTAAGGTCCAAAAGAGATCTCAAGTTTGCTTTCTCTACTCTATTCTTGTGTTGAAATCAAACCTGATTGGACCGTCTAGAATTCATTCTCACTCAAGAACTCAAAACTTTCAAATCCCTTCCTTCTCTCCCTCAACCATCACTTCATGCTACAAGGCTTTTAAAACCAAAGCTTGATATTGCCTCACCAGGAGCTTGTCTTGTTTTCTCTCCTATCCTTGGTGTCAAATACCATGTGCCTTGATGTCTTGCACAATGAACCTTGACTCTTTACCTTGGTTCCAACTAAGTGTTACCCACTTGAAAACATTCTCAAACATTTTAATTTAATGCTTCTTTTGTTCACGATGACCTGTATTATTATATTTTCTAACCTTTTCTGGTTTTCTGCCTCCAGTTTTACCTTCCCCTCTCCTTTCTTGAAGGCACTGACTCATGCTGGGTACCATAGCATTGGTGCTGGCAGCCCTCTGGTGGCCTTATTTAAAGTGTGAGCCAAAAGCAAATGTTGGCAAGATGGTTGATTGTGATAAGCATCACAGCAAGCCTAATCCTGTACACAGAAATTCACTTTTCCAGCAGACTGCACTGGGTAACAGTCATGAGCGGGAATACCGGATGATTATTTCCTCCCTAGCCCAGGGATACAGCTTAATAGTAGCATTCTTAACTACTTCTTCAACTGAGTTCAGCACAACCTGGGGATCAAAATAGGCATCATCTTAATCTGTATCTGTTTCATTAAGAACATAAAAAATTGCTAGGTGAGAGAAGATCAAGGTCCATCTAGTTCTCCTTCCACCATCCTGGCAGTCTCATTCTAGGTAGTGACGTTATCATATGAGCCAATGGGGAGTGCTATATTTTACAATAACTTGTGTAATGCTTGGTGGTATTTGTCTTTACAGAGCTGTCAGGTACTGAAATTTCTACATTCTAGTTTTTGAGATTTTATATGCAGCTCCATATCATGGTGTGCTTAGGGCAATGTGCATTATTATAAACCTTGTGCTTGTGTTGTATATCTGACAATTTTGTTTAAAAGTTCTTTGAGTTGAGGTTTAAGTGCAGAGGTAGATATTTTTGTTTGTTTGGTGAGTATCAAGACTCACAGGAACTGACTCACAGCCCTTCTTATTCCCTATGTTATGAACACCATTTCTTTACCACACTCCTTGTGGGAGCCATATCTGAGATTATCATGACACCCCTGGTGTGTAAACCTGCCTGTGTAGTCCTAAACCTGAGACCAGAAGCTCCTATCTGTACCCTTCCTTATCTGTGCTGAGTTAGCTGATCACAATCCAGTTAACCATTCGAATGCAACAATTGACTAGGTAGCAATATTCAGCCAGTTCCTGTTATGATTGACTGCAGGAAAGTGTGTGTGTCTGAACATCTGACTAGTGTCGAGCATGGCTGGATTTCCTTTTTCTTCTGCCCCATTGAATAATCTGCTGCCGAAGTGCTTCCATGAAGAATGGTCAGTTACACAAAGTACATCATGTGGAGAGTGACCAACACTCATGATGGAACTATAGTCCAGCAAAAGGCAGCATCTCCTGGAGTGGAGATAAAGAAAGAGGAAAAATAAAATAAATTGACCCTAAAGTTTAGACATTTCATTTTGGGTTTAGGAATGCATTCTTTACTTATAACTACCTCACAGCTAAATCTGGAAGTGGAATGTCTTATCCCTTTACTTGTGGAATACTACTCTCTAACCACACAATTGAAGGCTAAGCGTGACCCTGCTTGGAGTAATGTGCTACTGGATTTGAGGGCCCTACTATCCTTATACTATCTCTTGAAATGGCAGATATTGCAACTCATACCAACAGTTTACAGGCTAATATATCCAATTTTATTTGCAATCTAAATTTGAATAAGAACACAATCATAGAGCACAGTTTTGCAATTTAGACAAAGTACAAAATAACTCCTCAATGGGTTATTTTACTGTGGGTTTAACCAGCGCTTGCTGTCACCTCTGCCAAATGAGTGAAAGACTTTACTGAATAGCTTCCTCGGGTATCGGGGGTTTGCCCATTACGAATTTTTGGCAGTCATCTACTGCTTTGTACAAGAGACTGAGCCCTTTATCCTGAATAATGGCCACTTATACGTCACTGCATGTGACACACTCTGTACGAGTCGTCTTAAAGCTGATATCTGATCAGTTTGCTGGTGGGGGAAAAAAGTTTAAATGCTAAACTGTGAAAAAGGCCACACTTTGTGACCGCTTTGATGTTACCTGTGTTCTTGAGACATCACAAATAATATAGGCTTTCTAACAATTGCACAGGATACTGACAAAGTCTCTTCTCGGCTCCAGTCATCCAACATATAATAGTGGAAAAGAGTGCATATTCTTTACGAACATAAGAGGTGTCATACAAAGTCTGACTTGGTTGGGGCTGCCATATCTGCACTTCAAACTGATCTGAGATAAACAGTTAAAGGAACAAAAAGGTTTGTTTACAGCTAAGTGAACAAGTAAGAAGAAGGGCTTAATCAGAACAGATGGCTTTAATATACATGTGTTTGGAATTTCAGATGAAATGCCCCCTATGTGTTTTTCACACCTTTTACACTCAAGTGGCAATGCATGTGTCAGCTTTTTGTTACCCAAATCCCTTGACCCGTCTATCTTTAATCCTTTCTAAGACCCTGGACAGACTGGACAAGCAAACTAGTGTTAACCCAACTACTTACAAAGTGTAAAGCAAGTTATATAATATTAAAGCGCAGTCTTGTTTGTACTCCACTAAAATGGTGTTTCAAAAATTACTTTCTTTAGTTATCCAGCAATCGTCTTGATCCACTTTGTGTGGAACACTCATCAATCGTGTATTGATATTATATTTTTCAGATGATTTAATTTTGATTAAATCACATTAAAATTTGTATATTTAGCTATAAAGTGTTAGTAATTAGCCTGGTGTTTAATCTTTCAGATAATTATATCATAACAAATTTAAACATACAATGATTTTAATTCAGATGTTAAAAATTATATTATTTGAATATTGCAATATCAATACAGGTGAGAGTTATAAAAACTGCCTCACAAAAGTTGGTGAAGATGGTATTCTAGATTAGGAGAGGCGAGAGAAGCCAGGATTATTCTCCTTGGAGCAGAGAACGTTAAGAGGAGACTTAATAGAAGTTTTCAAAATTATGAGGGGATTTGATAGGGTGAACAAAGAGAAACTATTTCCACTGGTGGTTGAGTCAGTAACCCGAGGACACAGATTTAAAGTAGATGTTAAAATAAACAGAGAGGAGATGAGGAGAAATTTTTTCACACAGTGAGTTGTTCGGATCTGGAATGCATTGCCTGAAAGGGTGGTGGAAGCCGATTCGATAACAACTTTTAAGAGAGAAGTAAATAATTATTTGGGGAGGACAAGTTTGCAGGGCTATGGGGAGAGAGCGGGGGAGTGGGACTGATTTGGATAGCTCTTTTCAAAGAGCTGACACAGACAAGATGGGCCAAATGGCCTCCGTCTGTGCTGTATAATTCTATGATTATAAATGCGTAAAAAGGATGTGTTTTTAAATATGTGCTTTGACATTGTCTAGAACCCTGAACTAATTTGCAATTTCATTACCCTGAAATACGCATCATTTTTAAAAGTTGAACTTTTATAGTTTGTATCAAATACTATTTAATTTAAAAAAATCAAATTGTGACCACATTGACTCAATGTATAAATGCATATTATGCCTTGGTGCAAAGGGTGTATGTGCAATCTAGGTGTCTACAGGGACAGCTGTGGCTTTGATGGCGCTACTATTTTCTTTCTCTCCCCCTCCCCCTATATGTTGAATAACCTGGCATCACTCACTGGCTCACTCATAAAGAATGGCCACTTGACAGGCAACCAACCACTTTAAGGCTTCCAACACCAGTAGAACTAAACCCCACGAATCACTGGTCACTACGTTCAGAGGAGATGGGGAGATAATTTGTGTATTTTGTGGTCTGGCTTCTCTCCCCTTGCATCTGTGACGGGGTTGTTCAAGTAATCTTCAGCCCACAATCCACTAATGGTGGTCTTTCATTGGCCAGAAATCTGAGCAGGAATTTTTCCTTCTGTAAAGTTTCCCCTTGCTCAGATAAGCAATCTGGAGCAGCTCAAATGTGAATGAAGGATAATATCTCTGGTCTCCTGGTTGAGTCAACTATGTAACATTGTTGATCTGCACCTTTTTCGAGTCTGAGTGCATTAGTGATGTATTTTGACAAGTAAATGCTGTTATGTGTAGACTTTAATCTATTTACTATGTTGTGTTGCTTCGTCTATATAAATTGCTTTAAACATTTTTTTTCTCTCTTCTAGGCTTGTCCTGTTTCACTGCGTGCAAACACTAAAAAGATACTGCAGAATTGTTCAGCAGGCTGCGCAAAACAAGAGAGCTGCACTAAACAAGAAATCCGGTAAGAGTCTGTGTTTTTAAAATGTATTTGTTTACAAAGATATCAGAAAATGTTCTTAATTATCTCCCAGGAAGCTTGTAATCCAATCTAGTGTTTGTAGAGAATATATGCAGTCACTAAACTTTACTGTAAATCCTGTGAAGTTTTGAGACTTCCAGATGTGAACGTGCACTATATCAAGTGCAAGGATTATTTAGCAAGAATTGACTTTTGGCCAGTAATGTACTTGGTTGTTTTTCAGTCAAGTAGTAACTAATTTGTATAAAGTATTACTTTAGTGGTGGGCTAGAGACCTCTAATGTGGTCTTACATAAGTAGTGATAATACCTTTTGATTATCAGGTGGTTTTAAATCAGCTTGAAAGAAGACCAATCTTTCTACTTGGAGAAATATAGTGAGATAAAATCAGGAGATTGGCCTTACATTGACTTGCTCCCATTCAAAACTACCACCATTGCTATCATCATTAATGTCTCAGCCTGGTGCAATGGTAGCAATCTCGCCTCTGAGTCAGAAAGTGTGGGTTCAAGCCCTCATGTCAGGAATTGGAATCACATAGTCTAAGCTGACACTTTGATGCAGTGCTGGGGGGTGTTGCATTGTTGGAGGTGCCATCCTTTGGATGAGACATTAAACTAAGGTCCCATCACATCTGCCTGTTCAGGTGAACGTTGAAGATCCCATTCCTCTATTGGAAAACAGACAGAAGTTTCTCCCAGTGTCCCGGCCAACAATCCCCCAAATAAAATTGGTATTGTGTAGACTTTGTCCCTTTTACTTTCTTGAGCTATGCCATTCACTAAGTGTCCCTTTGGACACTGGGTGATCCTGTATCTGTTTATAGAGTAAATAATGCTCTCTTACAAAACAGATAATCAAGGTTTTGTACAATTCATATTCCAGAATTTGAAGCTAGTAGTGTTTTATGTCCTCCGTAAATTCGATATTCTGCCAATTTTATTTTTTTATGTTGAAGCTCAGTTTAAGATGAACTGTTTAATGATTATTGTCAGATACCTCTCAGGCATTTGATCAATGTTGAAATTAAAGTCTAAAGCAAATGCCAATAAGAATACAATTAAGCAAGCCTTTGTTTTACAGGGCAAATGTGAATGAAAACCACTTGCTGATGCATGCAAAGGCACCTTCTGCAGTGAATCATTGTGGTGGTGGTGGTGATGCGGATACAGTCCGTGTACATACAGTTGAGAAACAAGCAAACCTGCCAGTCTGTCCACTAAAAGAAGTCACTGATGCTCTATCTGTACCATCCACACCTGGTCCCATTCAAAAAAAGAATTGTGAAAGTAAAAGCAGAAATAATGAAGAGTCCCATCTTGTTAGCAGCAATCCTAGCAGGCAAAGTCTTGTTACTAATGTAAAGATAAAATTAGAAAATAATGATATTGAGAAGCCAAAAGAAGAAAGATTAAATCCTAGTCAGGTTAGGGAGTTGGTACCGATTGTTGACCATGAGACTAATGGACACAATGGTCAGAAAATAGAGAGATTTGATCAGGAAAAAAGTGCATTATCAGTAATTGAAGATGTCAGCAGTGCTCATCAAACTAATGCTGACAAGGTGGAAACTTTGGAAAGAGAAAGCCAACCTAGTGTGCAGCAGTCTCCTGCTAAGGAAAAGACCAGACAAGCCAGTGAAAACAAGTCATCAGAAAAGGATGAGCTTTGCATTGAAAAACTTGAATCTGGCATTAGAGAAAGGAACAATCAAAACAAAAGTAGGAAGGCTGATGAAAATGGTCGACTTCTTGACCGTGATCAATATCCAGGAAGGGAGGGAATCAGTCAAGTTAGACAGAGGATGTCAGAGCAGCAGACCACTGACCTAGCCAAATTGCCCGTTGAGGAAAGTTCTAATCAAGATCAAAACAAAATTTCAGAAAATTACGGCACGGGCAGAGATTTAATTCTGCCTGCAAATAGGGGTAAGGCTGGTCAAGAAGAAAACCGATTTCAAGAGGAGAGCTCTCCTATTGTCCAAAAAAAATTGGAAAGTAAGGAAAAGACTAATGCGGTCAATAGTAGAATTTTACAAAATGATAAAAGTGATTCCAATTATAGGCACAGATCTAGAGAACACAAGGATAGCCGATGGTCTCAAACTGAAAGGGAGCCTGAAAAACCAGCAAACCATAACTACAGCAGTCGAGCCTATAAACAAGAATATTATCAGGAGAAACGAATTGACAAATATAAAGCTAGAGATAATGGACATCCAGTCGAGGATGGAAAGGGCTACCGGCGCTCAAAGCTTGACTCACAGTCATTTAATCATTCTCATCGTCGTGAAGACAAGATCTCCAGAGAAAAGCAACATACTTTGGACTTTAGTGGAAGGACTTTGAATAAGGAGATTAACCACAGTTGTCAAGAAAGAAAATGGGAGCGGAAGAGGAAACATAGCAGCAGTGAGAATGGTGAAAGTGACGTCGACAAGAAACGCAAAAAACTCTTGTGTGATCCATCTTTGGAGGAGCGAAGGATAAAAAAGCATAAGAAATCAAAGAAGAAGAAGGCATCAAAAGACAAACGCAGAGAAAGGGACCACAAGTAAGATTCTTAGTGTTCTTGCAATACTTGTAGCATTGATATTATGTTTCATTGGTCAAAAATGAGAGTGTGTTGAGCTGGTATATTAGCATTTCTGTCTTTAAATATTTCCATACTATTTGGGGGGGCAACACGTATCCTTTTATCCCCACCACCTCAACCCTGGAAATAATAAACTGGCCAGTTTGTGTCCTTTGACAATAAACTCTTAAGGCACCTAAGTAGATATGTACAGTATGGGAAAAGGCTGCTACTGTACTAATGGCCCGAAGCATACAAAACAAATAAATAATCCTACATCATTATTATAATATTGTAGGATAATTTATTCGATCTACTTCTACAATCTTTCTTTGATGAGTTTTTTTTTACTCGGGGCCAATATTTTTAATGTCTGCATTTTGACCACTGCCCTCTTCAGTTTGCTAATACAATCCACCATCTCCCCAGATAATTTCCTCTCTATATATATAATATATATATACCATTCTGTGTAAAGTAATTAAATCTGTTTGTGATCTTGTATTGATCTGCACCATCTGTCTTAGCAACTAATAGTTCATTAGACTTGACTGGTTCCAGGACATTTTTGATGAGCTATTTTTGCAAAAGTGCATTCCTCAAGATCCATAGAGCCTATTTCAGGTTTATTCCTATATCCTGCTGACAATATTTTACAACAGATTATGGTCTTTAATTGTATTTGATTTGTGTTGCCCGTGTTGTGATAGTGTTATAATCTATACTCTTTAGGCATCAGTCTTTGGACTCATCCGAAGTAAACTCTGAAGCTGATGAAAGGAAACGTAGGAAAAAGAAGAAAAAGAAGAAGAAAAGGCATCACAATGACAAAGACGTCCATTACCATTCCAGAAAGCACCAGGAGATTCCATCAGCTAACAAGAAGAGTGATATCCTAAGCGATTCTGAAAGGATTCACAAGTCCACTCGAAGCCTTTGTTCTGAAGATCGGATAATGCACAGTCACAAACAACAAGCATATGAAGAGAACAAGGTGTCACCGAAAGCAAAATTTGGGCATTTGGACACCAAGCAAAACAGTTGCTACGTAGACTATGTCCACAGCAAAGGTAAGATGCAGCAATGAACCAATATCAGTAAAATGATGTGCCTTTTGGATGAAAGTGTAAAACTGGGATTAATTTGGTCAAACTTCATGAAGTTTGAATTTCTGAGATTTTAATATAAAGTGGGATAAAAAGCAACTTTATTCATATTGCTAGTCAGTATACAATTTGTAACAAATTGGCATCTAAACCCCACTTGATTTTGCTTAGCAGCATGTTATAGATGTGAAGGATTCATTAATTCTATTATTCCATGAAATCTGTGAAACATGCTTTATTTTACATTGTGTTTTATTAAGTTACCTTAGAACGGCATCGGTAGAGACATTAAAATTACATTTTAGATGCCAATGTATTTTTGTTACTCAGGGCCAGTGTTTTTAATGTCTACATTTTATTCCCTTCAGAATCCTTGTGATTGGTGTTTTAAGAAACAAAAACTGCATTGCAAAAACAAAGTCCTTCAAATTAAACAAGTACCCTGGAAAAGGTGGTGGTTGATTGACTACATTCGGCCCTGCATGAATTTGAATGGGACTCTTCACTAAATCTCTATGTCAGACTCTTGTTATTGGCAATGATTTATTAATGTAAATTTGTACCCTGGATTGAGGAGGGTACCAGTAATATAATAATCCTTGCATTTGATATAGCACCTTATCATGCCGTCAAACACCTCAAAGTCCTTCATAGGATTTACTGTAAAGTGTGATGACTGTACTTGTCGCCGAACGCAGCAAACAATTTGAGCATAACAATGTCCCACAAACAGACATGAATAACCAATTTGATTTGGGGGATTGTTGATGAGAATACGAGGAAAATCTCAATTCACCAGCCAGTAGAATGAGTGTTGGAACCTGAAGATTGTGTTAACGAGCAACAATATGAAGCATTTATAGGGATTGGGGAGGTGGTGTATGTGAGGGGAGACGGTGATCAGGTAATAATTAAACCCTCGATGAAATAGTGCCATTTCTTTGTTGTATTAAATGTACCTTTAAAAGGTATCGAGGTATAGAATGAATGAAGAATGTATATTTAACTCCAAGATTCTCTTAATCATTCATTACTGTACTGTTTGTTTTAGAAGAAACGTTGAATGTGCATAATGGAAATTCAAATCGGCATCTTGTGAACTGTGTTGGATCGGGCTCTCTCACTGTACACCAGAGTGACTGGTCCAGGCTGAGGCTAGAAAATGGCAGTGACCAACATAAACCGATTTCAAAGCAGGATAAAGAACACTGTAAGTCCTACTTTGGTTTGTTTTTTAAAAAAACTTTAATTCCCACTTATAACTGCCTTTAATGGTGGCTGACGTTTCAAGTGTGCTTCACAAGGCACGATAAATCACTGTGCTAATTTTCTTCTACTCTTAATTCCCTTCAAAAAACAATTTCATAAAAGACCAACCAAGAGTGAGCTCATCTGTAGGCATCTCTGGGGGTAATAGGAGTGTGATGAAGAGAACCTAAGGTGGTTGAGTGCAGTGTTGGTTACAGCTAGGATTCAAGCTCAAGCCCTGTAAATGGGAGCTTACCACAAAATAAAACAGGCATGTTGGGTAGTCATTAATGTAATGTGCGGACATATATAATAAGCCTTGCGTTTGACTTTAAACATCTTAAAAGGACTTCACAATGTTTCTGTGAAGTGTAATGACTGTGTATTTGTTGACAAATATACATAGTAAACCTAAACTGTTCCTCAAAAAAAAAAATTTCTTCTATTAGATTGCGCCATCTTTAACACCAGTTGTCCCATAGATGGTACCTTGGGACGTCCTCCTGACGTGAAAGGCGTTATACAAATGTAATTTGTTGGTGGTGTTGGTCCAGAAGCCTATAAAGTAGATAGTTTGTACACCAAAACTTGTACACCCTTCAGAAGTCTCCCTGCTACTGTCTGTTGTCTCACTTTTACCTCCAGTCTGGATGGAATATCTAGTTTATAATTCTGTTTCCGTGAGGCTACATACATCGTATTAGATTGCCATCTCTGCAAACGCAGCTTACAAAATTGGACCAAATGGCCCTTGAAGAGTGAGAAGTCTGGGGTCTGAATATCTAGTATATTTCAGTACAATTTGTGTAAAATAATCTAGGATGTTTCACAATTAGTTTAATAACTTCAGTCAAAGTGTAATTTCCTGTAAAACCTAATTTTAAGCCTAAATGCGGATGGACTGATTGAGTTCCGGCTATTGATTCCTGCCTGATCCTGTTTCCCTTTCAGCATAATCCAATGCCAAATATATTATTCTTTATCCCTAAATAATCCAAAAGGGGTTGGTGGGGAGGGTCTTCTATCTGATAGGCAAGTGGTGGGATTCCAATTTTTTTTAATGTTCACACTGGGTTGTTTTACTGCCTGAATTTTGTAATCTTGAGGTTTTCAAGGCTGATTTTTGTGGGGATTTTATTTATATAACTATGTTAAATGCATTTGTAATTTTATTTGTAGTCCGAGAAAGGCATTATTCGCACAATTACAACAAGGAATACAGTGAAAAGGACAGCAGACGAGACTTGACGAGTGGTAGTTCTTTCAGAGATTCGACAAGATGGAAGGTAATATGAGTATGTGTGTGTAAATATATTATACATAATAAACACACATAAACTACCATCAATGTTTTATTTGTAAAATCCTCAAACTCAATGCTGATTAAAATCTGCTTCAAAAATCTACACTGGGAAAAGCAAGAACTGGTGACCTTGGAGATGAGGTGTCGCAGTCATTGAGCCTCTGGGATTTGGATTTAAATCCAGTATGATCAGTGGGATGATTGTGGGATTTCCTTTCTGCTGACTGTTAGGGTCCTACATAAAATGCTTGATCATTCTCACCCATTATCTGTGAGTCCACAGTACAATACTTGGAATAACTGTGTAACTGTCTATCTCACTCAGAGAGGTCCAATAAAGAATTGGCACTGTTAAAGAAAGAGCCGTCTTTGATTTGGAGAACTGAATTCAATTTATCCTGAAACTAGGGCTCAAAGCTGGCCTGGAAGTTTTTCCCATTCCCTGCTAATGACATCCCTAACCACTTTGAATTCAAATATGTGTCTGAAAAATAAAAAACCCGCATAGTGATCTTAATATAAGATCATCAATACTGGTCAGAAAACACATTTTAAATTGTTAGACTATAATAATAATAATTATTGCATTTGATATAACACTTTATCATATCGTTGAGACGTCTCAAAGCGCTTGACAGAATATATTGTAAAGTGGATCGACTGTCTATGTTGTAGCGAAACTTGGCAATCAGTTGCACACAGCAGTGTCCCACAAACAGTCGTGGATTGATTGAGTGACTTTTTTTTAGGGATTATTACTATATTGGTAGAATTATTTAGAGGCTTTTAAACTGATGCATTTGTACATTCTGTCACATGGAGAATGCTTGGAGAAGATCACAAACGTTTTTTTGACATTTTCTGTTTACAGACTGGTGAAAAGAGACATGAAGAACAGAAGGCCCACTAAGCCTACCAGTAGTAGAGACCTTAGTTGCAAGTAAGTCGTTAAAAAAAAATGAAACTGAAGACAAATTCTGCTTCTGTGGATTAACTGATATAAGGTTACAAGAAGTGATTTAAGATAAACTTTGTTGAAAATCAAATTTTCATGATTTTCCATTCACAGCAATATTTTTCAGATCAAATTCCACTTACGGTCTATTCCATAATGATTTGAAATCAAATCATGAGTTTCGTTCCTCATATCCCATCACCATTATTTATATTGCATGGGTACAAATTGAGCCTTTCACTTAATTGACAAATGTGGCAACCCAAAATTTTCTCTGAAACCAAAGAATGTTTACAGAAAAGTAAGTGGCCTTTCAGCCCAACGTGCTGGTTCCCCGGAGCTGGAGCAGTCTTGTGAATTTAACTACACTTTTCTCATGACCCTTTATATCTTCATGCTTTTAAGTGCTTATCTCATTCCTTTTTAAATCATGACATTGATTTTGCTTTGATAACCCACCTATAGCACTATAACAATCAAAAGTTAATTTTAGTAATTGTTTGTGCTGTAGATATTTTTCTACATTGATGTATGTATGTATGTGATGCTTGTAATTGTACAGAAATATACTATTCTGGTTTGGTTACTCTTATCCATTTCAATTGTGTTTGTTTGCAAGCGATGTCATTAAGTCTAGAGGGATGCCGGGGTTCCTTTTATTATTTGATCTGGGAAGTACTTTAACTTCTGTATAATAATTCGATAAATCCTGGGACCAGTAAGCAGGAAGGAATTTCAGAAGGATTTCTTACTGGTTCGTTTGCGAGAAAATGGTGGAGAAAAAAACCCAAAATGTTTACCTCTTCATCTGGTTCTGTTTTCTCTCTCCCAAACAGATGCAAAACAGTGGAATAAACCAGCTGTATGCAGCAAAAAAACATGAAAAGCTTCAAAGAATTCACACTCCTGGATCCAGAATGTGGTGCTTTATTCCTTTAAATACTGTACAGAATTTTACCATCTGGGTGGGTGGGAGAACTTTAGTTTTTTGGGGGAATTTTTTTTTATTTACACATTTAGTGAAAAATCCAAATGGATTGTTTGTTTCTGTTCCTTGTTGAACACTGTACAAATACTGTATAAATAACTGTAATATATAAATGGTCACCCTGGAATTTTTTTAAAGACTCGAATGCTGCTCAGCCACAGACTCAGGTTTGATTACTACTCATGTGTTATGTGTAAATTTTTAGTGGTTAAATTTCGGGTGCAAACTGGTGCAAAAAAAGAGGAGGACCAGGAAATGGCTTTTTTTTGGAATGCAGGAATAGTGCAACAGACTGTGAAATCAATGGTTTGTTTCAAATGAACCAAGCACTAGATTTTATTTTATGAACCCAAAGTTTTTTTTTCACGAACAACAGTCATAGAAGATAGAAACAGAATAGTTTAGATTTATGGGGGGAAAAATCTCAAGTGACTTATTTGTATTGGGATGCTGTCTGAAACTAGAAACAAAATCATTTTAACTGCTTTTTAAAAAAAAAAAATGCCTGAAAAAGAAAACTTAAAAAAACATAAACCTAAAGTATTGAGCATGTATTCAAGATCGAGATTAATTTTAACGGAATATTGACTTGAGTTACAAATACTTCATTTGTTTAATTTTAAATTCCTTGTTATAATTTGTGCAACATAAGGGCTTGGAAACGAGATTTTCTTTCACTCTCACAATTACATATTGGAAATTACTTTGTATTCAGAGTATGCTTTGTACAATTTAATTTCTTTTAAGGTGCTCCTATTGTAATAACATACGATTAGTACATTAGGGGAAAGAATTACTTAAACCCCCAAAAACTCTGCAACGTTGCTATATTGTTAATTGAATCAAATCCCCACTTTAGTACGATGGTGAAGAAATACAGCATAAGCTTAAGCTGCCAAGATGTGATCTCGAATGTGTTCCTTTTTTGTGTATCGGTGCTTCCTACCCTCTTGTGGATCACAACACAGTCACTTTAAAGTTTCTAGTTGCAGACAGAAGCGGATCCTGTGAATTGTATTAATACTGAGACACTGTCAAACTGTGATGCCAGCTATTTCAACTTTGGTCCTGTATCAGGAAAACAAGTCAAATGTAATCTGTGATTCTTATGAAAGTGTGTGTGGTTCAGAGCTGTATTGAAGTACGTTTTACTTTAATTGGTCAACGGACATTTCGGATGGAACTGCCATCTGCCCATATTGTACTGTAGCATGTGAAATTTGTAGAATGTACAAACATGAAGTAAAGCCGAAAAGAAATATGTATAATGCACTGTGTTAATGCATTTACTTTCGCAGTCCACGAGTAAATGCCCAACGTAACTGCTCTATTTGCCCCACGTATCACCGATCCTTCCTTGTGGCAAATGCCAATTTATGGTGCCTTCTGTTTTTGTGAGACTTCCAAACGTGTGATTGTTGTACTGTGGTTCATAGAAGAGCTTGAGATAACCCTCACCTTTGGTGGAAGGCTATCTTGACAGCAAGAATGTCCCAACACAGATTTTCTAAGCTTGGAGGACTGGACTGCACCATTAGGAAAACATTTTTCTAAACTTCTGGACTGGAGATCGGGGATCATGTTTAGGAGTGCACTTCTGTAAGGTAATTAAGCTGATGGATGAGGAGGGGCAAATGCAGCTGATGTATCCTACTTGGATTTTCAGAAGGCATTTGACAAAGTGCCTCATGCAAAACTTGTAAATAAGATTCTGAAATATAGACAGAAAAATTAGGCAATTGCAGGTTTTAATTTCAAGAAATATGTTGAAACAACAATAGCAGGGAAGGCATAAGAGGGAGCCTCTGAATCATCTCCATCCACTAAAGCAGCAGTCACATCATCAGCAGCACATCTCCAGTTTTGACAATGTCCTTCCTAATTGTAAGCGGAAATTAATGATTGCAGAAGTAATCATTCCTCAAAGCAAATGTAAAACTTGCCTCCCTGACAACCTCTCTCTTGTTTCGATTGTTGCAATATAATACGTCGAGACCATAAATTTGAAGCTTGACTTTGTTACTAGCAGTATATTTGTAAAATGTCTTTCACTTCCCAAGGCACTGGACAGACGAGTGTTACGGACCCGAGCTGGGGGTTGGGGTGGGGGAGGCTGGAGGACAGTGGGGTAAGGAGGGAAAATGAAAGAGAAGGGGTCTTGAGACAGGTCTTGAAGGTGGCGAGGGAGGGAGCGAGGCGGAGGGACTGTGGGATGGAGTTCCAGAGGGTGGGGACAGAGTGGCAGAAATGGATGTGTTTTTCTCATTTAACTTTGATTTTTTTTCAGCCTCCAAAAGCAAACATATTCCTCGTTCGTACACATTTCCCTCCCTACTTTCCTCTTTCTACTTTTTTTAATTCCTGTACCTCTTCCTAGCCAACTCTTCTTTCTACCTACCTCTTCTTTCAACCTAAATCCTTCCTTCCCACCAACTAATCCTTTTGTCCTCTGTCCAGAAGCGCTTGTAGTTTTTCTATGCTTTATTCTGTATATCAGTTGCACACCTCACTGAGTGCTGGTTTATTCCCTGGGAAACAGCTCTAATGGGTGATATTTGATTAATACAACTTCAACCTTTTATCTCTGTGGGTTTTTTCTCCCAATTGGATGATGTCCTATTCACTTGTACATAGAAAAAGTATAATGAATAAGGTAATGCTGAAGGTAGGTAAATACAATTTACCTTTATATAACGCCTTTGTGGCGGGAGGATGTCTCAAAGCACTGACCAATGTAGATAATAGGCTACAAATCAACATTTTAGCTGACCTAGTTTCCCCATTTGACTGGCAGTATTATTCAGAAATCTTCACTGAAACATTCACTCTTTTTTGGTCTAGAATAGCTCTGAATTTGCCAGGCATTTCTTGAGAACAACAAAAGTAATCTCGTGATACCTTTCAATAAGATGTAATTGTGATAAAGTAACTATCAAGTAACTAACAACCGGGTTCCTACTTACTGCTAGGTAAATGGGTGTGTGGGGTAAGGAAACTTACCCAACATTTTGCCCTGCTGGGAATCGACCTTAATTAATTTAACTGGTAACTTGAGATCTATTTAAACTATTTCCAATCCATTATAGGGTTCTCCCATGATATTAATTAAATCATGTTTTAATTGAAGTTGTTTGGAAAATATTGGGCTTTAATACGTGGGAGACTTAAATAAGTGCAGAATCCTTTGCGTAAGGAGAAGTATGGCTCACCAACCCATGAGAAAGCTTCTCCAAAACCAGATCACTTGAGGCAGTTTTCCTTAAGGAATCTCATACTGTACATCACTGTGTAGTAACCTTTTCATGGCTTTACATTTTTGTGATTGTTTTGCTTTTTTCCTTTGTAATGTCAAACCATTTATATATTGATCAGTTCTGTCTAGCGGCATTCATATCAGCAATACAGATTGTACATTAACCAACCCCTACAATTTAATCTGCCTTTGTCTACTGACAGCCAGGAAAACACTAGGGACTCCTGCAACATTATTCCGCTACCTTCAGGTCCTGTGTCACCTTCAGGTAAGTGATGCACAGGTTAAAATAGGTGGAGTCCTGTAGCTCAGTGGTCAGAGCACTCGCTTTGCAAGTGAGCGACCTGGGTTCAATTCCCGGCAGGTCAGGGCGAAACCTTGGGCAAGTTTCCTTACTCCACACACCTGATAATAATCCCTCCAAAACAAAATAATAAATTGGTCATTTTCAATCCACGACTGTTTGTGGGACACTGCTGTGCGCAATTGGCTGCCGCGTTTCGCCCACAAAAATACAGTCGCTACATTTTACAGCATATTCTGTGAAGCACTTTGAGACGTCTAGTAGACGTAAAAAGCGCTATATCAAATGCAAGGATTATTATTATATTAAATAAATGAACAATAGTCCTTACATTTGATATGGAACCTTTCACCGGAGGACATCTCAAAAGCATTTCATAGGATTTGCTGTATATTATTTTCAGTGGGCATGGCAGCCACTTTGCACACAATACCCCACAGCAGTCTTGAAGTGAACAGTCAATCGTATATGGGAGATTGTCGGCAAAGTCACTAGGAGAAACTCTTTCATTTCAGAAAAGGATTTAAATGTACCTGTACATGAGTTTTGTTTTTCAGACATGACCTTTTGTCAGAGCCAAGTCACAGTTTGATGGATGCCAGAGTCGATAAATTGTCACACTTAAAATGTACTTTTCTTTGAAATGCTGATCAGCCTGCTGGCTATTTACAACCTTTTATTCTTTAGATTTTCAGCAATCATCGTTTGGTTTCATCGTTTAACTGTATTTCTGTCTCGACTGTTAAGATCAGCTCGTAGTTTTTAACCATTCTGTAACCCCATTGATATATTGATTCAGTGTGCATTTTTCCTCCAAACACATTTGCTCCAGATATTAGAATGGAAAGGATTTTTTTTTAGTATATTTAGCACTTAAAAGGGCCAGTGCCCCTAGTGCAGGATGTCACCAAATTTGGAAGATGGCAAGAAATCAAGTAGAGTTTGGATGAGATGAACGCTTGGGTTTTAATATTTTGTAGATTGTCAGAGGATGGGAAAGTAGGAGGAGGTAAGGTATTCTACGCTTGAGGTTCTAAGGAAAAATAAGCTTGAGCAAGAGAAAATAAGTCGTGATTTCAATACAGTGAAGGGATTGTATTCTTGGGAGCTTATGAAATAAGTGGAAAAACAGAAGAGTATTCACTATAAACAAAGTAAAAGAATAAGGTGATGGGAAATAGTGCATGACAGATTGAAGGCTAGAAGTGAGATATTTACCAGAGGCAGGTCTGTCTTTACAGAGATTATGTTTACCCTCCAGACTCTAAGCGGTGCTGGAAGAATGCCCCAGTTAACATGACTTGCAATGCAAATGGCCAAGAATATCAGTGGATGAATGATAAAAGTGGCACTATGCATTTCTCCTGGGTTTCTTTGTAGTGCTCAGTAGGATGAGAATAATGACCTCAATTGTCTAGCTAATGAGTCTATATTCCCTCTGGTGATGGATTAGATGTGCACCCTAGATTCATTGTATCTATCGAGCTTTGTGCTTATACAATGAATTCCCTGTTAAAAGCAAAATGTTGACAAGGTTGTTTACGTGGCAAATTTCAGAAAAGGTCTGTAATTCTGTTAGCTGCACACTCTGGACTCTATCCAGCTACAGGCCACCTAGAGTACTTGAATACGCATGCAAAAAAACACATCCCATTGAACGTGTGCAGTTTAGTGGTGGAGAATGAAAATATTCATCTTATCAGGTGTCGCTAAACTACAAGCACATACCAGTCAACATTCGTTTATATTTCAGGAAAATGTCAATTTCAAACTGCATTCATCTTCCTCGGCAGATATGTTATTAATATATTTATACAACAGTCAGGTTTTCAGATGTAATAAGTTTTATTTTTTGCAGGCCACTGACAATAGTCTAACATGTATCATAACAAAAGTATCAATAACGTAAATCTGTACATTATTTACACATAACTTAAGATCTTTTAACAATTACAATAAACAGTTTGCATTTGACTAAGAAAATAAATATACAATTACAATGTTAAAGTACAGAATATGTTATAGGTCTGAGTGAGACTAAGATGGTCTCATCCTTCAACCACAGACATCACTAAATGTACAATTTAGGGCCTCTCTAGTTGTGACATTATTAGTGCTTTGTTCTTTCTATACTGTTAAATAATGAAAATTACTTGTGCCTTAGACTAATATTGGGTTATTAGAGTTTTGAATAGAATAAATGTTGCTTAGGCAGCATTAAAATATCCTAATAGAAAGTCTTCCAACCTTACACACTCCGATGTCAGACCCGCTGAGTTCGAAGGTGTTGCACAGACATTTGCCCTCAATAGAAAATGGTTTCTGTGCAAAAATTTAAAACTTAAGTGTTAACACAATTTCATACACTGAGCACTACTTGTTTTGAGAGAGAGGGGGACTAAAACCTGTAAAACTGCCAAAATGTTTCTTTGCCTAAACTCTTATATACAGAAGAACACCAGAATTATTTTTCTCCTTCATTTGAAAAGTTTTCAGCAATTATTATGTATTATGAAGCTGAGGTGCAGGTCTAACGCAGTTACTTTTTATTGGCAATTCTCCTTTTTCTCGTCGCCAACATATCGTAGAAAGGGTCCTTGCTGATACTAGCTCTGAAAGGGAAGAATGTCACAAATGAGCACTGTATCCTGACGTACTGAGAAAGTGGTTGACAAGCAGGGTTCATCTTTACTATAGAACGGACTAGTCCTAAACCTATTTGCTAGAGAAAATATCGAATCAAACAGTCTTTGGCTCTTAATAATAATAATTATTAATGGTGCTGTGTTTTACTGTAATAAGGTTCATTAAATATTTAGATGTACATTTTCAAACAGCACTGAAAGAATAAATACATTACCTGTATAGGAGAAATTAGAAAGTGGAAAAATGTCAGCTCCCCCAGCAAGCCTACCATCACTGGCTAACCTGTCATTAACAGTCCCCCTGGAACTGGACTACCATGACCACTGCAGAGTATTGACTCAATTCTGATAGTTCATTGCCTCTTTAAAAACTGCTACCTATAACTTTTAATAGACCAAGAGGTCTTAAGGGAGATGTTTGGCCCACGTTTGACTGACGCTGAAAGGAATGAAGTCCAGCTCAAGATTCATGCCTGCAGGCTCGTGCCTCACTCTGTTTCAGCTTGTTTGAGAGCATTCTTGAGAAGTCATTGTAAAATGTGATTAGTTTACGCCCTACTGTTGTAGGTATGGCCACACCCTCTGCGCTGAGCAAATGGGGTGGGGAAAACTATCTTATGATGCAGTATGATGGACTATCTTATGATCTAATGTACGTGTGTTCACTTGTACTCCTACCCTAGGAAGGGTTGGCGTGAAAATAGAGCAAAATTATGCAATATCATTTCCCAACTCAAAGTGGTGATGAGCAATGAGCTACGTAGGTAGTGCTTAAGAAAAAAAGCTTTGGACCTCCTCTGGAAGGAATTTGACAGATAATCTTTTTTTTTAATCAATGAATTGTACAATTACACTAGAACCAGTGTTAAAAAAAAATGAGGATTATACTGGAGGTTTTGTTAAAAAAATTTTTTGGTGAAATCTGTTTAAAATGCACTTTCCATTTCAAGTGGGGAGTAAATTAAGAACTCCCATTTGACTCAGCTGCAGATAAAACTCCTTCTCTCCTGCTCCATCCTCTCCACATCAGCCTTCCTATGGCCTCTCTGAAGTGAGATTGCCAGCTTTGTGCTATAAGGCCATTCCCATTACATTTTGAGACCAGCTAAAATACAATTCCAGCAAAGGCCTCTAATGCTCAAGAGCACTACACCACATTAAAGGTAAGGTCTTGGCATTACCTGATAAGGTGAAGCCATGTTTTAACCCAACTCCTTGTATTCAATCTACCAGAGAAATTGTATACCAATAAAATCAATTCAAAATGTGGGCACTGGACTCGGTGTCCATGTTTAAGGGCTTATATAGCGCCCCATGTGAAGGACGCTATACAAATACAAATTGTTGTTTTTCTCCTCCACCCTTATTTATAGAGCGTTGAAAATCAGTCTCATCAGTACCTTATCACATCATGAACATCTCTGCCTTTCACTGACCAACGGGAAGGATTGTTGGTCAGGATAATGGGAGAAACTTTCTTTAAACATAGGATCTTTCCTGTTCATCTGAACAGGCATTTTCACATAGACTTTGGTTTAACATCTCTATTCAAGACCCCTCCAATACTGCACTGGAGCCAATTTAGTCTGTCAGCTCAAGTCCAGATGTGGGCTTCAAACCATTCGAACCATAGGCAAGAGCGCACACAGACCTGAAGCAGATGCAAGCTTTCCACTTACTTGATGGATTTAATCCATTCTTCTTTCTCCTCTGGGGTAGGGGCAGATATTCTGTAAACCACATGATTGCCTTCCACCACCCGACCATCAGCTTCCGTTTTGCAGGCTTTGATCACTTGGCCTTTGTGACTGGGATTGAAAAGCTCAAAACAGTTCTAGGGAATGACAGGAAACTCAAATCAAACCAAGCTGAAAAAACAACCATGCAAATCTTTCTTCAGACTCACTCAGCAAAGTATTGTACTGCAGAATGGGCTGGTAATACTTTTTTTTAAAAAAAACACAAACATTTGCTGGCAGTTTGAAAACTCTCCCATTAAAAGTATAGTAACACCTACTTTCACCCAACAGCTAAATGGAACACATCCACGGTGTTAGATCAGATTATATGAATTCCAAGTCCCTATGTGGGGCTTGAACCCACAACTCTATGGCAGAAATGCTAGCAACTGAGCTCGGCTGACCCACACACACATACACAGCAATTGAGCCACGCTGCCACACACACATACACAGCGATTGAGCCAGGCTGACACACACAGCAACTGAGCCAGACACACAAGGAGAACCTGACTTACTACTTCAACATACATGAATGCTCAACTTATCTGTAGAAATTAAATCCTACAGCAGCTGTACACAGAGACATGATAGAGACCTTTTTTGCTTGATTCAGGTACTCAACAAACTGCTATCTGAAGACACAAGTTCCTAATCGTTTATCCAATATTACTCTCCCCAGCCATATACTTGGTACACACTTGGTCAATTCCCTGCTCGGGCAGTGGAAAGCAACATCCCTATTTTCTGCACAATAGCCATGAATTAAAGTACCATTGCAATGGGGGCACACAGTTATTTTAACATTACATCCTCTCTAGATCATCGGAAATGTAATGACTACTCCAGCATTTTAATTTAATTTTCTAATTTAAAAATCCCTGACGATAACTAAAGTGGCAGATTTAGACAAAACGTATTGACAATTAACAGGTTTGCTATTTTCTGCTGCACAGATAGATGGTTTGAGTATGTATCATGTAACTAAAGAAATCAGCTTACAGGTTTCCTTGGGTCTTCAACTTCTCGTATGCTGAGATTTTCTAAAGGAATTATTCCTCTTGGTTCTTTGTCCTGCAATTTAAAAACACACTTAAATCAGTGCCACTTCATCAGCTATAACACATTTACCCAAGTCCTTCAAAGAATGGATCTTTGTTAACTCAGGACAATATACATCTCTTCAATTAGCAAATAGCTGAACAGTTTCTTTTGGCGATGGAATATGCTTGAGTAACTATGTTAGCAGGCCCAATTCACAGATGCCGGCTGCTCTTGCCCAAGTATTCATTAGTTGTGTATGATTCCAGATATTATCACAGCAGGATGTTTGACCGAGGGAAAGAAGGGCTGAAACATGGTTGAACCCAAGCAAAGGATCACTGGATAATGTCCCAAAGTGTTTTGATATATTCCCCAGATGTACTAGCCTGTCTGATCAGCCAGTGAAGCTACCGTCAATAAAATAAACTTCTCTACTTATGCAAAACGACGTGAAGATACTTCAGCAGAACTGTGTCAACTTACAGTCGTGTATTCAAAGTAATAGAGGCAATTATCTGTCAGAATGAACCACCGCCGTTTCCACGTTTTTACTCGTCCTCCTAAAATAAAGAAGGAATTGTTGAAGCGGGAAAAAGTTTTACAACATGTGAGTGTTTCAGAATGGTTAATGCAATACTCCCACGCAAGTTTAAACATAATCTACATTTGGTTGTTAAACTAATCTTAAGTGGTCCCGTTTCTTCTTCCAGGGACTCATCTTTATAAAATGTTCCATCTGTTTCAATCCATAAGTGACCCTCTATAAAGCAGCATTTTTTATTGCTTTTTATAGTTCCTACACATTGAACGCTGCCAAATAAAAGTTACTTTTGGAAGAAAATTGTAAATTTGAGATGAAACAGTTGAGGGGGAGAACGTTCCCCCAAACACAGGAATGCACACGCCGGAAAAGACCATTATGAGCCATCTGGTCTGTCACTAAAAAAATTTTTTTTGTAAATCTCCACACTATTGTCGTTCTTATTCCCACTCAATTTTTTGATATGTTTTTCATGTGCTCAGTATGTTACAGTCAAAGATATAGTTCTAACAGAGCTGAAATTAATTCCTTAGAGTACTCCATGTATTCATTGGCACAATTAAACCTTTGCTGCTTAGATACTTTTCCATCCAGTTATTTTCTCGATTTAATTTTTTTAACCTAGATTTTAGCTAAGGGAGACAGACAGCAGTGGTAACGTTACACAAAGGTATTGGGTTTGAATCCTGCTGCGTTATGTAATACGAATTTAAACCTGAGTGAGCGCCAGAATCAGACTATTATAAACCTGCAGACTAGTTGAGCCAATAGTCATTTTCCGTGTATAATCTATGGTACTTTTTCTTTGATCTTGTTTATTTCACCGACATCTGAATTCCTGTTCTGGCCATGTCAGCAGCGATTTAGATCTGAACTTTTGAATTTGTGAGAAAAGGACTAAAACGAGTGTTGTCAAACTCAATGTAACATCAAAATTCGCTATATCAAATGTTTTACATCACCTTACAACTAAACTGCAGTCAGCTCCTACTAATGTTTTTTAGTTTGCATACAGATGAGAATTAAAGCACACTCTAATTAATCTGCCTGATCAACGATTGATTTGTGTTATCACAATTCTCAACCAACCAACCTGGATGACTAGTTCGGATGTTAAAATGTCCGTATCATCTGCACTGCATTCAATACCTTTGCACTTGGGTTTCTGAGCTGCATTTGTTTACAAGAAGAGTGGCTTGAAAGTGTCTCCCCTAGTTACTCTTTGTGTACATTAGGTGGCATAACAACAGAGTGAAGCCAATGGCAGTGAGAGCAGATGTCTCACAAATGTGACTCTAGTGGTCGCTCAGAAGATGGAAAGACTGGCCTCAATTCTGTTGGGGTCTCAAGGGCAAAAGAGAGGAATTCCTCCCGTCTCCCATTGCCTAACGCATGCACATATATTACCAAGACATTCCCAAGGCAGCCTGACAGAAAGACAAAGTAAGTTTTAAACGTGTTGAAATTCAAAGTAGGCAAATGCAAGTGCAGAGTTAAAGACTATGCGGGAGGGGGGCACCGTACAACAATATATTCATGCATTTAAATAAAAACAAAGAGGAAAATGGAAGAGAACAAGTAATCCAACTGATCAGGGCGCCTGGAAGCTCTTCTGGTACATACCTCCTAATGCAGAATAAGCAGAGACAGCCAGTCACAGAACAGAAAGGTGAGAGGTCATAGGCCATGAGGAAAACAAGAAGGCACATTTAAGCCAATTTTATTTTGGAAAAAAAACTAAAGCAAAGAAAAACAAAACAGGAAATCACAAACAATGCAGGAAAAAATAAAGGCATACATGAATTAACTTTAGTGGGGAAACCACACGCTTCTTGTGCAAAAGTTCCAAAACTCATGAAAATTACACTGCAAATTAGCTTTCATTCTGTAGCAAAATATTTTCAGATTGTTATATTCTTCCCTCTATTGTATTTACTAAAGCTACGGTATAGATCCAGCATCATTGAACACATCCTGTATATATAGTCAATCGACGCACACTTCTCACACAGAAAGATTTAAGCATTAAAATGCAACACATCAGAGATTCTCTTTATAAAACAGGAAGACTGAGCAATACATTTTGCGACAAGAGACTACAATAGCACAGTCCTGTATCCTTCAATATATTATTTTAATGCAAATCCTTTTTTGTCTTTATGCAATAGAGTAGATTAAATCAAAAATGCAATGATTCAATTCTGGTTTAAAGCATCTTAATTTGTAAAATTACAGAATATAATTTTTTTAAAAAGTATATTCCAGAAACTATATCGGAATAAATCTAACAAAACCATATAAAGATGGGGGCAGGTCTTTAATTATTGCAATGCATTTTAACTTCTGGAGAAGCGAGACTGTACAATTCGATCATTGCATCGCGCTGTGGACGCACCATTATGTATGGTTTTATAACCATCATCTGATATGCAGAGTGCAGTTCACAGCCACAAGGTCGAGAGCAACGTCCAAACTAGTAAGCAAGAGCAGTGGAAGCAGGTCAACCACGAGAGGGCAACAACCTCTTTCTCTGTTACTTTGCCGAAATCTTAGGAGCGATTCGAGCTTGGGTTGCTATTGGCACTCAGACATCTGAAGCTACGCTCTTTCGTGTTTTTTGAAAACAGTCAAACAGCTATTCCATCACAGAATAATAGCAAGTGAAGGGCACATTTCATTCACACTTGTACCATTTGTTGTGCAAATAAAAAGGGTCACACTGAAGAGAGATGGATAACAAATGGTCCTGTTCTCAATCCTTAACCAATTCTAAAACAAAACCCTTGGCAATGCCCCTCTGCTCGAGCACAGGTCTGAATGTTACTCCCCCACTTACCTAATTTTAATAGCCAGCCTTCTCGGTCAGGATTGAAAAACGTGTGAGTTAGGTCATTGCCATCGTCTTCTGGGATCTTAAAGGGCTCGTTCTTAATGCTTTCATACAAGTTCTGCAAAAGCAGAGAAGGGTTTGGGTTAACCTGAAGCTAATAGCACAATCCAGCAGCCATCTCATTAGCAGTCAATACTGTCTGAATTAATGCCTTACTTGTTAATTCAAATAAACATTTCATTGTTGTTTAGGGTTTGCTGCTGACGCAGATTGGCTGCTCATTTGCCTATATAACAATGTTCACCACTTCTAATCAATATTACATTTTGTAAAGTGCTTTGAAACGGTTACTTTACACGAAAGGTGCTGTACAATTGCAAGTTATTACTACTTAATGGAGGTTGGGGGGGAAGAAGGCACTATACCTCCTTCCCTTTTTAAGTTCCTGGAATGAAGCACTTACCCTGAGCAGCTCCTCAGGGAGATCCCCACCATCATTAATGCCTCGATTCATGGATATAAACCTCTCCACAGGAGGCTTGTCTTTCACGTTGGGGTTGTGCAGACTCGTGTTCAGCATAATTATAGCAAATGAGAGTACATAGCACGTGTCTGAAAGAGAAAAGGCACATACTGGACTACTCTTAGATCGAAACCCTACAAGTACATCGCTGTACAAGAGCTGCTTGAGGATATAAAGGAGTTTCAACAAACACTTCATCTTCAGTCGACTTCAATTTCAAAAGTCTTCATTAATGCGATGCTCCCGGGAAAAGTCCACAGCAGGAGTCACTCTCCTTCCCATCAAATATTGTACAACGTAAACCATTTGAAGTAAAATGAAAAAGGTTAATTGGCTTGTACCTGTCCTGGCCAGGTGGAAGTCTGCTCAACACTGCACTAGGTAAACAATTAAGTTGACTGTAAATGAAGTGTTTATATACTAAAGAGCAGCTCTTGAATAAAAATGCTTTGGTTGCCACACTTGGCATACCCACAAAGTTTATTGCATTCAGACAATTGTAACTCAGATTAATTATTAGCCAATACTCTGGATCTTTCAAACTGAAATACTTGAATAATAAAATATTCTTGTGCTAAACCACTTTATCTGAAATAAACCTTGGGAGTACCAATCTTAAAAGGAATCCACATGAAACATGGTGATGTCAATAATGTATGTCTTAAGGATTCAATTTATTCTTAATGTACTGATTAGGAGAATTTTAAGAAATTGTTAACATTTTTAAAAAATCACAGCAGGGGATAATTGATGTAAAATCATAGCCTATCATGTGGTGTAGGCCAAAAACACTATTCCAATTATTGACTGGACACAAGCCCGAGGGAACTTATGTCTTTAAGAAAACTTAGTTACAATAAGAGAAATTTAAAGACCATAAAAATGTGCTCAAACAAGATGTGAGCAGAGTACGATTGGTAAGAATCCAATGCTCATCAAGACTCATCTTTAAAATGGCAAATGGATCAACTTGTGTAAATCAAGAATCCGCTAGGAAAGCGCAGAGTCATGACTGATAAGACATTTAAGATTAATATTAATTCTACAGCAGACTGAAATAAGTCTGACAAATATGTGTCCTTCAATAGCCTATCTGTCTGAGCTGCAGTGCCTCGAGGTCATTTCATAATCAAAACTTCCATGAGTGCACTTACAACTAAAAATGAGTTCCTCTCTCTGCCCTCCACCCACGCCCCCACACCACACACACATCTGTTTTGGAATGACTTATTTATTTTTTTCCTGCAGAGATGGAGACCAGGAAGCAGAAGGAATTTGTACTTATAGTGCTGACCCGAGTTCCTGTCAATCCTACAACCGGGCCAGGAGCAGAGGGCAGCAGCTCGCATTCCGGAAATTATGAAGAGGATGCAGTAAATAATCCAACTTTAGGTGTCCCTCCTGCCTATCCTTATGGAAATGTTGCATGCCGGGCACCTGCAGTGACCTTAACAGTGGACATTCGAGTGGTGTAACTCAGAATGTGATTCAACCTCATGTAGCAAACATCTTCCTGTCTCTGGGTCCAGGAGACAGACACTATTGCATACCCATTTTCCAAGCATCAAATACATGTTGCTTTGTATTAGAAGCTAGCTTGCACAGACACGATGGGCCGAATGGCCTCCTTCTGTGCTGTATAATTCTATGATTCTATACCACCAGTCTTCATCATCTATCTTGAAAATAACAAACTCCATCTATATCGCACCTCAGGAGGACATCCCAAGATCCTGAGAATATAAGAGGATGAAGGGCTTTTCCAATGAGGATAACTAACTATACATAGTATTTAATAGGAGTGCACTTCACATTGTGAGCTGTTATTTACTCAGAGGGTAGGGTTTCTTTGCTGATATTCAGAACTGCTCTACCACTATTACACACTTGACTCATCATGTTTGTTGCAAATCCAACAATGCATTTAAGTATATCTGATCTGCAACAGGTTGTACTGGAATACACAGCCACTCCTCTAATCTCCCGCCCTCCCCCCCTCACCTTGAGAAAGACATTAGAACAAAATAAAAACACAACCGATGCTTGAAGACAAGGTGCAGACACTCCTTGGTTCATTCTGACCCACCTGTTGATTGGAAGACTCCTGGGTTACACTGGCAGTAACGCAAAGCAAAAGCTTCCATCATCCGATCTATTTTCTGTGCTTCACCGGGTAGCCTGAAGCTCCACAGGAACTGCCTGTTTTGTGTAACACAAAAGCAAACATACAACTGTGAAATCCTGTTCTAGTGAAAACTATGCAAATAAAATGTGAAATGTTGCCAGGTACCCACCGATTACCCCAATAAACAGCACAACACTGTTCAAATCGGTGAGTCTTGTTGCTTAATGGTTAGAGCATTTGCCTCGCAAGCAAGAGGACCTGGGTTTAATTTCCGGGCAGGGTGAAACGTTAGACAACTTTCCTTACGCCACACACCTGTTTACCGAGCAGTAAATATTGGCGGATTGCTTTTCCGGGGGTAATCATCCCTTTAAAATAAATAATGGTAGTAATTGGGTCACTTACTCCACGACTGTTTGTGGAACACTGATGTACTCAATTGGCTGCCGCATTTTGCCCACAATATATAGTCAATTCACTTTATAGTATAAAAATGTTTCTAATACATTGAAGCTGCCCCAAAAATCAGGAACTTTTATTGAAATTTCCATAAAATTCATGTAATTGCCATAAACTCGCAGTGTAATCAGTGTCAGTATATAAACCGGACTGTACAAATTGAACTCCCAGCATTGTAGTTGATGTGAAAAATTGCTGATTGAGCTTCAGATATTTAGGAATCAATACAGCACACGTGACATGCAAAATTTTAGATTTCATCCCGTAACCCTTCAGCCCAAAAGCACACCTGATACACTCGAGGGTTTTTTCGTAGGGATTTCTACACTTCAGGAGGAGAGTCACTAACCTGAGAGCTTGCACAAGATTAAGATCAGCAAATTCATGAAGCTCCACAAACGCTTGAAGAACCTTAAGGTTAAATTCATCTCTGCAACAAAAAGAGAGGAAAGAAAATATAGCGTCCAAACAAACATCCTTTAGTTTCAGACAAAACAATCCTTTAGTTTCTTTTGAGTGAGAAACTGATCCAAGGTCCCACCTGACTATTGGCGGACATTAAAGTATCCCACAACACGTTGGAAAGAGAAGGAAGTTCCTTGCCAACAGACAAATTGTTCAGTTACTTCATGGCCATTTGTGAGATCTTCTTGGCACAAATTAGCTGTCATGTTCAACTTTTTTAAAAAAAGTCTCTACACTTGAAAAACTTTGAGCAATTTTGATGTGATAAAAGCTTTAAAAAAAATACAAGTTTTTTTCTTCAGATCAATTATAGCATAAGTCCTTGTAAATATGAACAATGCTCACCTTTCACCAAGGTAATCGCCAATGACTGTTTTATTCAGCCCTTCCCCTTTGTAAAGGAACTGGGCTATGTCTTCAGGTGTGTTTTGAAGCAGGTCATTTTCTATTAGAAACTGTATACCCTGCAACCAAAGAAAGAGTTACACAATAATCCTGATGTGCAAACGGCCAATGCATCTGGACGTGTCTGCATTTCCCCTCGTCATCTTGTCCGACGTGGAGTCATTCTGGGGTACAATAGCATAAGTACCAGGATTTCTCCGAATACAAGGGATGGAATGAGAGAGNAAAAAATCAAGCTTGCTCATTAACAAACCACGTGCAATATACCACATGAGCCACATAGGCAGCAGGCAGGAGAGGTGACATGAAGACCAGAGATTGTTTACATTTACTCTATTCCAACAAAACCTGGTAATACATAAGTTGTTTGTCATGCTCTTACTCGCTATTCACCCAGAGCAGAGTGTGCTAGCAAACTATTTAGCCATGGAACTCTACATTGCTGTTAACCCTGAAACACTTCAGTTGTACCATGGGCCCCAGTGCATTTATAGACATACATTTTGACGCCAGATGTGAAATGCCCTACCAGGATCCATAAATCTACTTAAAGGGAATTAGACAACTGTTTGAAAAGAAAAATATTTCGGCCATAAATATACAGTCAATTCACTTTACAGTCTATCCTGTGAAGCGCTTCGAGAAGACGTGAAAAGCGCTGTATCAAATGCAAGGATTATTATTATATGGAACAGTATGGGGAAAAGGAACAAATACAGACAAAACAGTTTTTTATAGAGATAGCACAGACACAATGGGCTTCTTTCTATGTTGAGTTCTCATTCCAAGTCTGAGGTTTAACTGTTTTACATGTAACTTTACTGCTTCAATCTCCCTTCCATGGTTCAAGTGAATAGAATAGCACTGCATGGCATTTAAATGAGAAACTCTCCTCTTTACAAATGGTAGCTCACACACCAAGTTAAGGATCCCCTGTAGGACTAATGGCAAGAAATTGGCCAAGGTAAACTTAATTCAGTATAGACCTCAACCAGGTGGGAAGCAGAGGCTGGGGTGAGGAATATCAAGTTTGATCACTATCTAATCATCCCATTGCCAGTACGTGGACACTGAGCGAGGACAGGATCAGGACCGGTTGACTTCTTTCTTCTATCCAATCCACCCCTCTCCCACCTTCATAGTCAACCATCCAATGTTAAGATGGGCAAGGTGCCAGAGGACTGAATGATTAGTGTGAAAGTTAAATAACCAGCCAACTTTACTGATTTAATGGAAGCAGGAAAAAAATACTTTAGTACTAAGATTCACCACCTTTTAAGGTGCGTTAATCAAAATACATTTAATTGTACACCTTGAACTTATCAATCATTTAATTTTTTTAAAAATCCTCATTGCACTCAGATAGAACCTCATTGAAGTTGACTGAATAAATGGCCCTTTTATGAATGGAGTATAAGCTATGTCATACTTAACTGACACATTTCTAGCAGTAAGTGGCCCAGTTAACACCAACATTTAAATTTATGCCAATAAAAATAACTGCAGAATATCAGGCTTCGGGGGGAAAAGCTGGCAGTGACATGTCAAACTAGATCACATTTCTAAACCAGATGAGGGATTGATTGATTCACAATGAGGGAATCGGCAGCTTTGTTGCGATGGTGGTACATTGGAGGCACTGAAAATTAATTTGGATCTTAACAGGAAAATAATCTAAATCCACCAGTTGACCTACAAATACACAGTCACTACACTTTACACTAAAACCTGTAAAGCACTTTAGAGACGTCCTCCTGACATGAAAGGCTCTATATCAAAGGCAAGGATCATTATTATTAAATACACAATTAATCTTGTTTAAGGGACGATGAGACTTCACAGTAGCAATAATATCAACATAATAAAGTATCCAATGTGCTGAGTTATGTCATCCTGATGTGGATTTGTGGAGATGAGCAATCGGAAACAAAACGTTCATTCAACTCTGAAAAAAACAAGTGTCCACAGATTTTAACCCATTGCAAATAGAATTTAAAGGGGAGGCCAGAAAAGTGTTTACACTAAATTATGGGCTTCTCTGCCAAACACTGTGGAAGCAGAGACTTTAGATTCTATTAAAAATAAATGAGATAGATGCTTGACAGATTTTAAAGGAGAGATTAGACTAACACAGGCATGATGGACCAATGGCCTGTTTCTGCACTGTAACCATGTACAATATCTGTGCAGCAAGACAGAGGTTGCAAAATTCATTAGTACAAATTGACAGGCTAAGCAAAAAACATTACCTTTTTAGGGTCCATGTTAAATTTCTTTCTTCCCATTGCCATTTGTTTATTCCGCTGACTTGATTTACTGTAAAAGGAAAATAATTTGATAATGTAACAGACAAAAAATGTCATCCTCAGCCATTTACTGTTTGACTAAATGGGTCACATGATCCAGTTCATTCAATTAACCATAAGCCAGGAACATTATTCTGGCTAGATTAGTTACAAATAATGTTTCATTCTTTGTACATGTTAATACTGCAGTAAGGAATCCTCCTCCACCGATCTGCACTGTTTGCCCCTCTCACATACTGATCATTCCACCCACTGATGCCAAACTGTTCTTTTTCCTTCAGCCAGAGGGTAATTAGCAACTGGAGCAGGTCACCAGGAAGGATGGATGAGGCCAGAAATCATCTAAAAAGCATCCTTGATGCTGTGAAGGGAGGATGGTAGGGTCAGTATTCTCGAATATTGAGATCAGATGGGTCGAAGGGCCATTGCTCCTCTAAACAAATTCTGTGATGTGTGATCACTCGAAGTTCTGAGTCTGGTACTGGATTCTTGTTAAACACAAAGAGTAGGTTTCAGCGCTGCCCCAATGGCCAGTGTTGACTTCCCGAGTATTGATGTCTGGACGTTAAGATTGAAGCACTGACTGATGTTTCCACAGAGGGCACTGGATCTCTGGTGCTACACTACACTGGCCATTCGTCCTGAAAATCCATCAGGACTAATGGTTGCAACCCTGGCAATTCTGAAGCACCTTTACCATAGAGGACGCCCTATGTCGAAATCCCACAATTGCAACCAAGTCAGGAGGTTACGCAAACAACAACAACAACAACTCGCATTTATATATAGAAGATGGCACAGTTGATTTGAAAGCTCAATCACAGGATGGCTGAAAGCACAGCTTTAAGCACCGGATGAATTTTGTGACCAAATTGTGTAATTTGGTGCTCAACACCCCTGAAAAAAATTTTTTTTTTTGCTCCAATCTACCCTCCTCCCTCCTGCCCTCCCACACACTGGTGCAGGGGCGTTGGGTTTAAAGCAGTTTGGATGTGAAACATAATGAGCACTTCAAGCTTCAGTGCTTATTACGGGAATAAATCCCCGGATTGGCATGATCAAAAGCAATAAATTACATTTATATAAATTACTAACACAGGGAAGGCGGGGGTTGAGAAAGAGAAGAGAAAAAAACAAGTTCTTTTGGAGAAAACTGTATTTCAATGTTGTGCAGCACAATGGGGGGGTGTGGGAAGTTAGCTCAAATGCATTCCAAAAGACATGATGTTTGAATTTTAATAGGTTTGAGCAATTTTGGCCCTTGCTAAATTTGCCCCTTCAGCAAATGCACATTTGCTTTGCAAACACATTGTCCAAATGAAAAATAACTGTTTTTATTCAATATTTCTACAGGACGTACACAAGCGCAGTTCCTTGGGTTACCCTTAATAATAACAAAAAAAATTGCATTTACATAGCGCCCTTCACCAAGTGCAATGTCTCGGAGCGCTTAACAGTGACGGAACCTGGTGCAGAGCCAGGTGGAGGGAGGAGGTGATCGCAAGCACGGTCGAAGAGGAAGCCGTGATCTAAAAGAAGGGAAGGAGCGGCAAGGCTCAGGGATTGGGGGACAGAGTTCCAAAGCTTCCAAAATAAATTCACGCCCAACACAGATAATTGTTCAGAGCTACGGTGACACAAATGACCAAAACTTGAAGAGTGGCAGCCAGACATACCTTTCCTCGGTGCAAGTCAAGGTCTCGATCTCACTCATGACTTCAGCTATCTCATCTTTCAACCTCTGCAAGGCAAACAAGGCATTTCAACTTTAGCCTGCGACACACGCTGAGCAGCAGATGCGAGAGATGGCTTGCCTTAAGGCAGCACTTTTCTTCCTTGCAAGTCAGCCCTCAAACAGAATCTTGCAGAGGAAGTCGCTTACCAAACGTAAAGAAGATTCAGTAAAGCTTAACAGTTCCTCGTATGGCAAGCAGCTGGAGGCAGACTATAACACAAAATAAATCCCCTCCACGAGGTTTTGCACCCTGAGGGACTGAAACTTATTCTCTCCATTTAAGATTTTCCAGGGAAAGAGAAAGCTACAGCGATTGGGACACAATAATAACCCAGATGGCTAGGGGCCCAAACTAAAAGATATCTATTGGCTGCCTCTTCACAACGTGATGGCATCAGCCTCTCATCCAAAACAGAATGGCACATCCGTGGCAATGAGTTAGTGCCAGCACTGAAAAGGCAATCGATGTAGATCACAGGAGATAAAGCCAGTCTTAATATTGTAGCCAGAGCATTAGTGACATGCATGCTATTGATATACTCCATGCTCCTCTATCATATGTTTATGGGACAGAAAGTGTAGAGAAAGATGACATTTGGCTAGATTTGGCAAATCACATAATAACTTGCATTTACAGAATTACTGCTCGTTATTAATGAGTTTAATGCAATTCATATATAACCGCACAAGACAATAATCCTGATTTACCAGACTTATAAACCAAGTTACCCAAATCACCTCAATGTCAGCCATTAGTTCCTTTTTCCTTCTCCTAATATTGTCCAGCTCTTCTCGTTCTTCAAAGCAGAGGTCAGCCGGCACTGTGATGGGAATAAGAGAAACATTTGATTTCTTCAATTTCCTGATTTGCTGTTTCAGTTGCATATAAAAAATGGCAGTTCATTTTATATTAAAAAGATATCCGATAAATCCCTGATGTAGTAATAACCCTTGCATTTGGTGTAGCACCTTTCACGTGGGAAGGACATCCCAAAGCGCTTCATAGGATTTACTGTGAAAGCGGAGTGACTGTATTTATGAGTGATCATGGCAGCCAATTTGTACACAGCAATGTCCCATAAAAAGCGATGAAGTGAGTGACCAATTTTATTGGGGGTGGGGGGGTTGGTGCCCAGAACATTGGGAGTAACTCCTTTCTCTTTGTGAATAGGGGATCTTTAATGTACACCTGAACAGGCACACAGGGCCTCGGATTAACATCTCATCTGAAGGACGGCACCTCCACTGATTCCATGTCCCGGCGTATGGCTTGAACCCACAACCTTCTGACCCAAAGTGCTACCACTGAGCCAGGCTGATTATACTCAGCCTGAAATTCACACAGTTGTTTCCAAATAGTCACATAAAAACTTCCTTGCTTTATACGTGTTCCAGAGAATAGCGCAGAACAAGATAAACCTGATCGAAACACAAGCAAGTCAAAACGAGCCTTGTTAACACTATCAACAGGTCCTGGTCAGTCCAATCTTCCAAAACATTTCTTCCACGTGAAAGAGCATGGCTGCCGTTATCGGAAATCGTTCGCCTGTATGTGTGAATACATTGTATTGGTGGTTGGACTTGCTGCTTTCCCACCATTCAGTAGAGTGCAAGACGTTACAGTCTGTGCTGCAGCCATTCACTTTCCAACACCTGATTGCCTCACAACCGAGAATCATGTACCTTACAAACCCGTGTCTATAGAGCAGACCCTTCCCTTGTGTTACAGAACCGAGAACGTACAGCAAAGAAATTTTCAAAAAATTTGGTCACTCAATCCAGACTGTTTGTGGGACACTGCTGTGCACAATTGGCTGCCGCGTTTCGCCCACAAAATACACAGTCAATTCACTTTACAATATAGTCTGTGAAGCGCTTTGAGATGGCTCAGCGACTTAATAAAACGCTATATCAAATGCAAGGATAATTATTATTATTAGTTTGATATTGGGCTCACAGATGCCCTCCTCTGCACACTACTTACTTACCAGAGGCGAAGCAAACATGCAGGTTGAACAAAAGTAAGATAAATGCCGACACCCCACACACTACCAGTTGGTTCAGAGGGAGAAAGAAGTCCAAATATACCCGATGTAGTCTGAAACACTGGGTAGGAAGCCTACTCCATGTTCAACCATTACAGATCTTTCCAAAGCAGCTTGAGGTTTACAATACAAAGATTAATTGCAGGCTACAGCACATACAGGATGTGAAGCAGTTATCGCAATAAACCATTCCTCATTTACTGTCAGGAAATGAGACAAAACAAAAAAAATTATGGACAGGCTTTGCTCGTCTGCATTCTCTCTCTCTAATAGCTGTACTTTTAGGGATTAATCAGTCGACGCAAATTATTGCAAAAGGAAATTCAAGTCACCCAAAGATTCAACGCAATAGATAATGGTTTGACGGGATTCAAGGCTTATTGTCCTTCCGAATCCCTGAACTGCATTTTACCTTTTCTGAATTAGCAGACTGCATTACCGTAAGAGTTTACCAGATCATGGATTATTAGTGAAATAGTGATCAATACTGTAAATTTAAACAGACTTACAGGGACCTGCAACCTCCTGTAACCTAATGGTCCATCCACCAATCGGGCCATTACCCTCTATCAATTCATTGGATCACAGGCTCCCAATGATTTCAATACAAATGTAGAGTCAGTGGTTAGAGCACTCTCTTTGCAAGCGAGAGACCTGGGTTCGATTATAATAATAATAATAATAATAATCCTTGCATTTGATATAGCGCTTTTCACGTCAGGAGGACGTCCCAAAGCGCTTCACAGAACACACTGTAAAGTGAATTGACTGTATATTTGTGGGCGAACACGGCAGCCAATTGCGCACAGCAATGTCCCACAAACAGTCGTAGATTGAAAATGACCAATTTAATTATTGTTTTTGGTTTTTTGGAGGGATTATTATTAGGCGTGTGGAGTAACGAAACTTGCCCAAGGTTTCGCCCTCTGCCTGGAATTGAACTCAGGTCTCTCACTTGCAAAGCGAGTGCTCTAACCACTGAGCTACAGGACTCCACAGGGTGGAGTCTCAGCAGGGTGAAACCTTGGGCATCATCCATCATCCAATTTCAAAAATCATCCATTTTCTAAATGATACATATGCAAGGTAAGTAAACCGTGCCTTTAGACACGCCGTGTATCATGTAAGGATTCCTATCGCTGCTGCTGTCGTACTCCTAATTCGTACTGATTACCAAGTTGCAAGGCAGGAGAGGGGAGCAAACTCCAAGTGGCAACACGCGAGATCTTGGCCATAGTGTCAGAACGCAGCATCAAGTAGTAACAGGTCTTTATTTTGAGGAGGGAAGAGAGCTGCAGATCCCAATTGGAAGGCACAATACCTGGAAGCACATTGGCCATTCTGTGAGACAGGATATGGAGACACGGCATAGAAGCAGGAAGGCAAACATCAAAACTATATAGCACTTGTGTTCCAGCGCGGAATGCTTTCAGCTGTGGGAAACCTCAAAACAAAACAATTAACCAATAACATTTACGCTCTTAATGCCGTCATCTCCAAGCTTCAGAATTCTCACTTTTCTAGTGCACGCAAGGCTATGTGGCTCTCTGCTGATCTTCAGAAGGATTCATTTCATCCAAACATCAATCACCAATTGTCAACAAGTGAATTTTGGTGAGTTTCGTTGGGTTCCACTGGTCCAAGAATCTGAGACAAGTTTCCTTTTTAGTCAAGGAAACCCCAGGAAGTTCAAAGAACTTATTCCTTGAAAACACTATTAGAATTTGGTAAGTGAATCTAGTCTCCAATAAATCCAACCTTTGATATTCCTTTTATTACCCAATATACTGACTACAGAGTTGCAGTCCATTTGGTAACAGCTTTCAGAGATTTCAGGATGTTTAATAACATGTATGTGAATATACGAGCAAATGAACTGTGAACGTATTGAGAAAAACAAGGACAATATTCAGAATTACTTGTGATGACATGCATGTATTTTTCATTTAAGTTGTTATGCCTATTTAGGATAAAGTTCTGGAGTTCAATTCTAATTTGCACGTGTTTGGTGGCAGGTGCTATTAACAACAGATAGACCACTAGGCAGAGAACTAGATTAGGAAAGGTGCAGCTCCCAAGCCCAAATGAGACACAGCCAACCTATCAATGCCTTACACTTTTCATTGCCCAGTTTTTGTCTTGCAAAATCGAACTAAATATTGCATAACCTTATTTCAAATTTGTTTGCTCGAGTACAATAGAACCGTAAGGTACAATCGTTGGAACAAAATCATGGCAACTCTGCAGTCAGTATATTAGACAAAAAAAAACAGAACATCAAACGCTAGCTGTGTTTGATAATCAATTTGCTTCCCAAATGTTTTTGTTTGTTAATGGAATAAATATGAGCTAAATCATGCGATGGCTTATTTATAGAACAGCTCTCAGTTGTAACAGTCACATCTGCAGTACATTTACGCTACCTACGTAATACTAATGGCATGACTCAATCTAATCCACAAAGTTATACAGTCATTTTAAAAAAATCACCAATTTGGAAAGGTAGCCAATGCCCCCAAGAAAGGTTTTATTTCATGCTGTTTCTGGGAGTCGTGTGAAATGTCAAGAAAGCATAGGGTGAAAATCCACTTCTTCCCAGGTCACTGGTACAGTATATCAGTGCTAAAAACTTTGAGGGCAGGAACTCTTGAGGACCCGCTATAACATTGATGTATCCTTCTAAGAATAATATTATGCTTCAGCTAACGCCCACTTCATACAGACTGTAGCTACGACATGTAAAAAAAGACAATGCTGGAAAATGCACAGGAAGTCAATGAGCATCAGAAAGAGAAATGGGTTAATGTTTTGGATGCGAGTCTTCAGTGGCACTCTCAGATTAATGTACATGATATAGCAGAGTGCGGTTTCCAGTAGGGGAGTGATAGATAATAATAATAATCCTTGCATTTGATATAGCGCCTTTCACGTCTTCTAGACATCTCAAAGCGCTTCACAGAATAGACTGTAAAGTGAATTGACTGTATATTTGTGGGTGAAACGCAGCAGTCAATTGTGCACAACAAACACAAACAGTTGTGGATTGAAGTGACCAATTTTTTTTTTTTCTTTCAGCTGCCCAATTGAGGGATTATTATCAGAAATGTGGAGTAAGGAAACTTGCCCAAGGTTTCACCCTGATGGGAATCGCACCCAGGTCTCTCGTTTGCAAAGCGAGTGCTTTAACCACTGAGCTACAGGACAATTGATGTGTATAAATCGTATAATCACCTAAGTCGTACAGCTGCCCAAGTCCTGTTGAATTTCCCGTTCAATTATAAGTTTTGTCTTTCTCATACTTTCATAAATCATATTAAATGTATGGTCCCAACCGATATGATTTATGTGAGGTTTACTGTATATCAAAGTGTTCTGGTGAACATTGTTACAGTAAAACAACCTGATTTTCATCTGAATGTTTGAGTTGAGCACCTGTCTTACAGTTGCATCTCTAGTAACCAAGGTATTAAGCAATTAAACAGTACAACTCACATGAATCTGATCTATATAAATCATATAATCATCTAAGTCGTACAGCTGCCCAACTGAATTTCCCATTCTTATTTCACCTTATTCGTACTTATGTAATTGTACTGTTACTCCGAATTTCCTCAGAATGATGGTTACATAAAAGGTGCTTTGTTTCTTATAAACAAGCAAGGTAAACTGTGGGAACGGGGAAAGGAGAATACATTTAAAGGGAGAATAAAATGATTGTGGCACTCTAATATCTCTACCTTTACAAGCCCCCCCCCACCACCACCACCAAATAGAAA